AGCTAATAGTAGAATATTAGAAAAAAATAGCTACGCTACTACTACTAGTAATTCTACTACTTAAATTACTAGTAGTAGTAGCGTAGCTATTTTTTTCTAATATTCTACTACTAGCTACTACTAGCAGCGCGCGTAGCTATTTTTTTCTAACATTCTACTACTAGCTACTACTAGTAGTAGCAGCGTAGCTATTTTTCTCTAATATTCTACTAGAGTAGCTGCGCGTAGTAGCTAGTAGTAGAATATTAGAAAAAAACTCTAATAAAGTATAGCGCTATTTGCTAGCCTAGAGAAAGGTGTTAGAAAAAACTTAATTTAGGTATAGTACACCTTACTTAATCTTGCTTATCTAATATCTATAATATTAAACTACTACCTAGACCTAACTCTAAGCTACTAATACTATTTATCTCTAGTTCTTTAATATTACTTATCTAGATATATTAGACTAAAAAAAAAAGTATATTTAAGATATATCTTTACTACTATAAGCTACTAGAATATATTAGTCTAAAATTAAGACTAGACGTAACTATAAATAAAAGAATAGAGTACTATTTATAATAGTAGTAGAAATATAACCTATTCTTATATATATCTACCTCTAATTACCTAATATTATTTCTCTTTATACTTCTTTAAGCTAGCGTACCTTTATTAACTTTTTCTTTTATATACTATAGTCTAGTACTAACTTATAGCTCTAAAATAAGTTATTATACTTAAATAGTACTAAAAAGCTACTTTTAATAAGAAAATATCTATATTTTACTCTACTTATAGTAGATATATATACTACTACTATAGAAAAGTTTAAGAGTAGATAAATATAAAGTATATATACTTAAAGAATAGCTTAATAGTTTAGCTAGCTATAACTTAAAATAAGTAGCTAAACTTTCTCTAAACCTACGTTTATATTTAACTCTTATTAGAGGTTTAAATATAAACTAAGTAAGATAATATTTAAACTATAATCTATATTAACTTATATTTTAGCTATAATTTATATTAACTTAATATTAATATTTATATATAGGCTAAAAAGTATTTATATTAACCTACTACTATAATCTATATTAACCTCTAGTTTTTAGATATAAACTAAAAAGTATTTATATTAACCTATTACTATAATTTATATTAACTTAATATTTAATCTATATTAGCTTAATATTAATATTTATATATAGGCTAAAAAGTATTTATATTAACTTACTACTATAATTTATATTAACCTCTAGTTTCTAGATATAAACTAAAAAGTATTTATATTAACTTTATATTTTTATATATATATTTATATTAACCTACTTATATTAACCTACTATTATAATTTATACTAATATTATTTTTACTATAATTTATATTAATTTAATTTTTAAAGTATTTATATTAACTTAATATTAATATTTCTATATAAATAAAAAGTATTTATATTAATCTACTACTATAATTTATATTAACTCTCTAGTTTTACTTTATATAGACTAGAAAGTATTTATATTAACTTAATATAAATAACTTTAATATATATAAAGTATATACTATATAAGCTATTTTAGCTAAATAGAATAGAATAAAACTCTATAGTTCTAGATTTACTAGTTCTAGAAGTATTTAGTATATATAAAACCTATATATATATACTACTCTCTCTAAAATTAATATATAATCTTTATACTAAAATTTATTTTAAAAAAAATTACTTTTAGGTAGACTTTTATCTAGAAATTAAGGTATAGTTTTAGCTCTACTAGTTCTAGAACTATTTAAAGAATACTTAGTATATATATAAAGAAAACTTAGTATATATATATAAACTCTTTCTAATTTTAGTAAAAAAATCTATACATACTACTCTTACTAAAACTAGTATAACTTTTATACCTCTACTACTACCTTTATCTTTAAAAAGAAATTAATATAAATATATATTCTATAATAAATTTTTCTTATAAATATTATTTATAATTTTTTTTTTACTTTTACCTTTATTTTTATAGAAAAGTTCTATATTAAAAGTCTAATATTATTTTCTATACTAAGAAATTTTTTAGCTAATAGATAAGCTATAATAATAAAAGAATAGTATTATTTTATTAAGAATAATAGTAGTACTAGAAAATTAAATATACTTTTAAGAAGCTATATTAAGAATATAAATTCTTTATAATAAAGAAAAAAGTTATAAGAATAGTATAAAAATATATAAAATACTAGTAGAATAAAATAACTAAATACTAACTATATAGATTACTATAACTCTTAGAACTACTTATAGTACTATTCTAGTAATTATAAACTAATTTACTAAATATATATACTTCTATCTAACTAGTAAAACTCTTAAAGCTAAAGAACTAGCTTATAAGATAAGCTAATAACTATTTAGCTAGTATAAAATACTAGAATAAGTTATAATAAATAGAAATAAACTATTTATATCTAAATTCTAGAATATACTACTTAGCTAAATAGAAATAGCTAACTAAATATTAACTAGCTTTTATCTATAAACTAATAGCTAGATAGAATAAATAAACTAAACTCTAGAAAAATATCTAAAAAACTATATTAACTAGAAATAGAATAGCTAGTATATAATATAGTAAAATAAAAAACTATAGAAATAACTCTTTATTAGATATATTATAGCTATAAGACTAGAATATATAAATTTCTAATATATATAGCTATAATTTCTCTAAAAATAAAGAAAAAGAAATACTAAATAAAAATAATTTATAATAAACTATAAAGAATAGTAGAAAAAATAACTTAATAAATAAATAAAAAAAAAGTTAAAAGACTAACCTTTAAGAAAAAAGGTAAAGTTTTTATTTTATAAAAAAAATTATATACTAAATAATCTAGTAAAAAACTTAACTATCTATAAATTAGACTTTTTAAAATTAATAGATAGCTTAGACCTATTAACTTTAGGCTAAAACTACTACTAATAATATAAATATACTCTATATTCTATAAATCTAAACTTAAGCTAGCGCTTAATAATATACTACTTAATAAATAAACTAAGATAGAACTAGACTAGAACTTTAAAATTAAAGAGATACTAGATAAAAGGTATATATAAGATTAGTAGAAATACTAAGTAAGATAGAAAGAATATCTACTAGAAGAAGATACTTAGAAACCTTTAGAAAACCTTAAAAACTACTCTAGAAAACTTAAGAAGTTCTACTAGTAGTACTACTACTAATACTAGAAGACTAGAAACTAGAATTCTCTAAGTAGCTCTAGTTAAAGAACTAAAAAGAATTAACTAGAAAAATAAAAGGTTATAATAGTAAGAGTTACTATACCTTATACTCTAACTACTCTAACTTCTTAATATTAGCTAGGTTCTTTAGAAGTAGAATATTATAGCAACGCTATACTAACTCTAGCTACTTTTATAGATACTTACTATACGTATTTATAAACTACTAGGCTTTATATAGAAACGCCTTCTAGACCTACTAGGTTTTAGTAAGGCGCTTCGCCTTAAGACTAGTCTTAGACTACTAAGAATATAAATTAGCTACTAACTAATCTAGCTTCTCTACCTCTTTCTAATCTAATATCTTATTATAGAGATAGTTCTTTACTAAGTACTTAGAATAATAACTAGAGAATACCTCTATAATATAACGTAGGTTATAAGAGTAATATATACTATAGAAGTTATTTAATATATCTATATCTATATATAGAATAAGGTTAGTATAATAGTAATAATAAACTATTAAAGACTTAGTATATATAGGTAGTATAGTAGAGATAAGAAGAAAAGAGAGAATATAATACTATAGAATTATAGATAATACTACTCTTATATAAAAATAGTATAGATTAATAAAATACTATATCTAGAAATAAGGTAGAGCTTTAGAATAATACTTTAGAAAAAGAGGTAGGTATTATAATTATAGAATTAACTATAGAGTTAGCTAGCTAGAATAAAGAGAGTAGTAGGCTAAGCCTAGAGTTATAGAATAAGAGATTATATATAAAGTTATAAGAATAATTAAAGTTATATAATATAGATTAGATAGATTAGAGTTAAATCTATAGATTAGAACCTAATCTATAGAAGCTAGGTCTTAGTATCTAATCTAGCTAAGAAGGTATATATATATAACTAGAAGAAGCTTACTTTTTATAGCTTCTTATAGTTATTACTTTATTTATTAAAATTACTATAGTAAGTTATAATTTATAGTATTATTACGTCTACCTCTTTATTACTAAAGATACTAGCCTAAAGTATACCTTTTACCTTCTCTTATAAGAGTAAGCCTTAGTCTTAGTTAAGAGAATAGCTTATAATAGCTAGCTTATAGCTAGTTACTTAAAAAGAAACTATAAACTAGAATAAGAGTAAGAAGTAGTATAAAAGAGTAGTAGTATATAATAGCTAGCTAGCTTAGTAATACTATAGATACTATAGTAAGCTAGAGTATAATATATAAATATACTAGATAGTTAAAGATAATATAGATAAGTTAGATAGCTTATCTAGATTTATCTTAAGTAGCTTAAAGTTAGAGTAATCTAATTAAGATAGTAGCTTTTTAGTAGAGACTTAGTATTTTTAGATAGTTTAATAGTATAGGTAGTTTACTAGTAGAGTATATTAAAATTAAACTATATTATTAAAGATAGAAACTAGATTAAAACGCGAATTCTTAAGACTAGGTTTTAGACTTAACTTCTTTAAGGCTAGAATATTTAGGTAGTAAGTAATTCTCGCTTAAGCATTTACGTGGATAACTGGCGTCTTGGTTCGCATGCGAGTCTTTTGTTCACCTAAGAGCCTCTAGACGCTCTATCTAATTCGACTCTGTTATCGCGCGTACTACTCTTAACTAGAGAATTTTCCTGGCCTATGAATCCGGCTTACGTTCTTTATCGCAACAATGGCGGAACAACGTCGCTCTTGGCTGCAGGATGCATGGCGAACGTTTTCTTATTTCATCTGGAGACGCATAGAGATGTGCATCGGATACTTCTACGCCAAATACTACGAGGTTCCGAGGTACGAGCCTCTAAGAGACGACGAAGGCGGTACGGAAAACGATATTGGGGTTTGGCCACGAAGACTCCTCCACGTCCCGACAATGACATCTTACGAGTGGCAACCTGGCAACCGGTATGGACGATACACAAGCCCAAAGTACAACGCTCTCTCGTATACTTGGGGACGATTTGCACTGGGGATTGGCGAGAAAACGCATGTCCGGGGTCTGAGGGTCAATGGGATCACGTGGGATATACCGCGCATTGATCCCGAAACACATTTCAGCGTGGAAGCGTTCGAGAAGGTTATTCGGCAAGCGGTCAAGGATCACATGTATCACAATCGCTGGTCCGCCAGACAGCGAGACTTGAGGTTCCTATGGCTGGATATCGCTTGCATTGACCAGACCTTCCCACGATGGGCCACTCTCGAGATCGGCAGACAAGCAGCAATTTTCGGGAGGGCAAATCGCGTCTATGTGTGGTTAAGCCATCATCAAACGAACGGCTTGAAAAGCTGTCTTAGCGGTATCCTTAGTGCCAGCGACAAAGCATACCCGTCCACCGACGATTTGAGGACAGCATCACCGCCAAACGTAAGAGATTTTGCGGGAGATTGGGTGCAAAACATGACGTTGGCGCTACACTCTTTACTTGCCGACCCATATTTTAGCTCACTTTGGACTCTTCAAGAAGGATATCTTAGTCCTGGAGCCATCCTCATGTCCCAAGAAGCTGATACCATTATTGAAAAGAACGAGTCGAGTGTCACCCTATACGACCTTGCGCGCTCACTTGGACGAATTCACAGAAGGTGCGTGACGTTGATAGAGGTCGATTCCAATCAACGTGACGCATTTTGGCATCTTGCGGAGAGGATTGTCAAGAGTGGCATCGGCCTGTATATCATGGCACAGCCGATGGTGTTGTACGGGATTTCACGATATCGGCGCACGACGTACCCACAGGACAGAATATACGGGATCCAACAAGTCTTCGATTTTAGACTGGGTCGCACAAATCCATCCTCGGATCCTAACCGTTCATATACCCTTGAGGAGCTCGAAGATGAGCTTGGTAAAAAGTTGCTGGAGACTTGGCCATCAATGAGTCAGCTCTTTGTTCACTCTATGATTCCATCAATTGGGAGAGGGTGGCACATGACCAATGAGTCTGTGATCCCTTCTTTTGGCCATAATGGTCGACAAGTGCCCTCTGGATTCCTACGCGCATGCAGACTATTGACAGCAGACCACAACGGCGCTACCTGGGGCTTTGTGAAGGGTCTCTCCTGCACCTTCGGACGTATGAAGGACGCCTGGAGAGAGCTTTATGGGTATAAAGACAATTATCAGCACGGAAACGTGGTATTTTGCCACAGGATCGCGCTTGACGAAGAACTTCGTGCACAGCTCCCGGGAATACCGATGATATGCCCTCCAGCTGGGCGAGTGCAACACGACCTTGCAGAAGCAATTGCAGATTTAGAGATAGGTACCCAGCTCCGTGTCATACTTCTCGATGGTATTGAGCCTAGTCAGAATTGGGCAACCTACTACGGCATCCTTGTGCTCTTTCAGGAGAAGGAGGGAACAAGATATTGGCACAGACTCGGCATTTGTCAGTGGATTACTGTAGAAGAACTTGACGACAATGAAGCGGTGCCTTTTCTACGCGGTATTGGGCCTGATTGGCAGGAAGTGGAAGGGCTTTACACCTAAAAGGAGACTTCCTACGGGCGCTAGGCGACCAAGCTGCACAAGCCAACCCGATTTCGCTGCTCTTCACTTCGCAAGTGATCTCGCTTCGACTTCTTGAAGAATGGTGGTGGAAATGCGACGAGAATGCTCGACCTGAGATGAAACATCTGGCCGGCCGTCCTTTTGGTATTCTGTGAGCTTCCCATACGTGGAACTCCCCCATCTGTGGTACATGGTTCACAAGTTATTTCCAAGATATGGCTTTCTGGGAAGAGGAATCAAATCGCAGAAGGTGGAAAGGCGCATCTGGAGCATCTCGTAGGTGTACGGCGAAGGGCCGCTGAGGCCGCTGCAGCGATTCATGTTAGCAATCAATGAGATGATCCGACAAGTTCGAATGTTCGATAAATGAATTTGCATCTCCAACCATTGCTACCGTGACTTCTCTATAATCTGCTTCGCCATATCTTCCAACCCCCCAGCCACAACCTCCAACTTCGCATCGCTAAAAACATCAAGACACGCCTCCTTCTCCAGCACCGAACTCCACGCGCCCCGGAATCCAACCTTGGTCGCAGCCGCAACATCCCACAGATGGGCAGCAGCAAACCACTTTACGTCGTTCCCGCCTAGCCGCTTGCACACAGCCTGGTACGCGGGGAGCGCAGGCTTCGCCACGCCTAACGAGTCGCAGCTGATAAAATTCTCAACCGGCATCTCGACATTCGCCCGCTCGAAATACCCTTTCACGCGCTGCACATCGCCGGTCGTAAAACACCATACAGTGAAGCCATTCTCGCGCAGCAGCTGGAACGTCTCGCGGCAGCCCGGCCGCAGCTCCAACGCGCCGTAGCCCTCAATGCACTGATCGCGTTCCTCGTCGGTGGCCAGGACGCGCGGATCCGCGACGCCGCAGAGGCTAAGCGTGCGGTAGAAGAGCCCTCGAAGAACCTCCTTGTAGGCCTTGTAGCTCTCTGAGATGGACAGGAAGGTGAATTCCAGTTCTGCGGCAGTCTGCCAGGTGAAGCCGAAGTGTTGAGGCGTGATGGTGAGCTGGCGGAGTTTACGGCCCAGAACGGCGTCTATGCGGGCGTAGTAGGCGTCGAAGGAGACGCAGGTGCCGACGACGTCGAAGACGACGTGTTTCTGGGGCTGGGGCGACATTTGGCGGAGGCGGTGTGATAACTCGAGTTTCCGACCGCGGAGCTTCGATGCGCGTCTCGATTGGGATAGCAGAGCTAGATAACCGTGAGGAAAGCTGTCGCTGTGACACCGGGCCGGTGGCCGGCGGAGTTAGGATGTCCGCCGTAGCAAGTTCGCACCACAATGTGCCCATCCCACCCTTGATGCTATCGGACGGATCAGCTCCACGCCGTTTGTGCGCCGTTGTGCAAGGAAGAGCCGGGCAGACAAAATGGTCTTTATATTCGAGGGCGAAGTGTTGCTGGGAGCCGCACTAGCAGCTTGCTTTTTTTCTTCTCCCTCGTCCAGTCAGCATGGTCCTGCCCGTTGCCAACCCCACCAAGTCGTACTGGATCGAGGCCGCCAACTCGTCGCTGCGCAATCATCGCTCCAGTGACGGTCTGCCTGCGGAGACGGATGTGGCTATAATCGGCAGTGGGTATGCGGGTGCTGCCACAGCTTATTGGATGCACAGAGTGCGTGGGGGACACTCGCATCCTTGGTCGTTGAGCCCACGTTGACACATGTCCAGTATACCGAGAAGGCTCCGACGCAGCCTCACGTGACTATTTTGGAAGCTAGAGATGTCTGCGGCTCTGCCACGGGACGAAATGGTATTTACATGCCTGCGATGATGGAATGAATGCATTTTAGAACAAGCCCGCCAACCATCCATACAGGAGGACAATTGCGACCACACGCCTACTCTCGCTATTCGGTATGGAGCGAACGCTTCGGACCCCAAGGCGCAATGGACCTCATCGCCCACGAAATGGCACATTTGTCTGCTTTTGAAGAGCTAGCGAATGAAGAGGGTATCGCCGAGGAAGTATGTTTAAAGTTCGGCGAGACGTTCGATGCGGCCATGACACAGGAAGCCTGGACCCGGCTCAAGGGCGCATACGATGCTATGCGGAGAGATCACGGCGAAGATCACAAGATCGTTAAGCTGTGCAGAGTCGTTGAGGATGCGCTTGAGGCGGAGGAGGTTTCGCAGATGAAGGGTGCTATCGCGGCGGTGCTGCATCCTGCTGGACAAATGTGCATTTTTCCCATCCATCCCTTCTCCTCGCATTGCCGATCCATCCTTTAAAAAACAGCCGTCTGACCACCTCGCAGATGGCCCTACAAATTCGTACACGCCCTCCTCCGCATCCTCCTCCAAAAAGGTCATCTAAATCTACAGTCACACACACCCGCAACACATGTATCAAAGCGCGATGCCAACGGCTGGATCACGGTAACGACGCCCCACGGAAAGATACGTGCCAGATCCGTAGTCCACACCACGAACCGCTGGGCCTCGCACCTCCTCCCCGAATTCAGCAAGCTCATCCTGCCTGATCGTGGCGCCGTGGCCGCCATCAAGGCGCCTGAAGGCTTCATTAAGCGCACAGGCGCCCAGCACTGGGATGCTGTCGTGAATGTAAGTGAGCCCTTGCCCATCCAACCATCTATTCATTTGGATCAGACTTCGCTGCGTAAAACCGTTTTGGGCACCTCTCCAATACTGATACTGATGCTAACACGGCGTAGAATTACCACCTCCAACTTCCCCCGCCCTACAATACCATCATCATCGGCGGCGCCCGGCAACTCCTCATCCACCAGCCCGACTCATGCCACCAAAACGACGCAGAAGACAAGCACATCCCCGGCATAGTCGAGTTCTTCAAGACGTGGCCCAAGTCGGATATCGTGGACTGGCAAGGCTCCAGTAAAGCCGAGCTCGGCCTAGCCGACGAGCAGGGCGGTTCTTGGTCAGGCGGTACGCATAGACCTCGTTGAAGCTCCAAGCAGGCTTGTTTAAAATGAACTAATTAAATTGCAGTGGAAAGTTCAAGCGCAGACGGGTTTCCATTCGTAGGCTCTGTGCCCGAGAGGCAGGGTCACTTCATTGCCGCTGGCTTTGCGGGACATGGTACGTGACATTCTCACCTCACACGAGTCCATTCTCAAAAGCCTACAAGATTGACCTTTCAAAACCAGGCATGCCGCGCATCCTCCTCTCAGCCGCACACATCACGCCGCTCGTCCTTGGGTCCCTCAACATCTCATCCAGCATACCCCCTCTTGCCACTTCATTCCCAGCACTACCGAAGCCATTCCACGCCACGAGGGAACGCATCGAGAAGCTCCAGGAGACGGATTTGGAGGCGCTGAGGGAGGCGTATAGACAGAAGTGTAAGGACAGCGCGAAGAAGGAGTTTTGTAATACGGCGAGGAGTTTATGAGTAAGCGAGGCGAAGGTCTAGAGAGGGGAGGGGAGGTAGAGAGAATAGAGAAGAGAGAAGAGTAAGACTAGAGTAGAGAGTAGAGTATAGAGCACGAATAGTTAAATAAAATATAGTAAAGTAGATAATAGCCTTTATGAGTATAGTAAGTAATATCTATTATCTGCTAATACTATCTCTATTATATAATAGAGAGAAATCGCGGAGCTAGTTCGCTACTAGCTTTAGTGCCAACCTTGGACCTCGGGAAATATCAGGGATCTAGCCGACGCTTATCCGCATACAGCCTGTGCTCGGGTGTACTCTAGGTGCTTAGACTTGCCCAAGCTTTGAGATTGGGACGTCGGTCTTGCATGGAAACTTCGTGAACAGCCATGGCGTGTTTGTGTGAGTCTGTGTGTATGCTGGCCGTCTCTCCAGATGCCATGCATGTATGTATGTCTTTCTGCCACGCTCCGTGGGTCCTCGGCTAGCTAGCGTGCTGGCCGGTCCGGTCGTCGCCTCCGACCGGGCCGGTCGACGACAACACACTCTGCGAGGCTCCGTCGCCAAATCTCTCACCTCAGTCCGACGACCTACGCCTCTCGCCAATTTGCTATGGACGCTGAGCACCCAAGGCCTACAAAGAGGCGCCATTTGGCCGTCGAGGAGCGACAGCGAGCCATCCGCGCGTAAGACAGCACTGCCCTTCAGTGGTCTGCACCAGCATGGGCGATAGAACCTGAACTGACGTCCGTCGCGCAGCTGTGCCGAGTGTCGCCGCCTCAAGGAGAAATGCGAGGATGGCATACCGTGCAGGCGCTGTCGCCATCTACGCCGCCCGTGTGAAGTCGCTCCTGTGCCTGCTCCTGTGGACAGGCCAGCCCCGGACTTTGCCGGCTCGCTCAAGGATCTGATAGACCGCTTGCGATACATGGGGTTCATCCTAAAACACCATTTTCCAGACCTAGCGCTGGATATAGACTCTCTGCGGCGCATGTGCGACGCGCTGGCCTCGCGCACTCCACGCCCCGACCAACATGAGAACATGGTGGAGTCGTCCGAGCAACTCGCCAATGTCCAACCGACCGATAGCAGCCCTGGCATCGAAGACGAAGATTGCACTATTGACTCTGTAGACGATACGACAGTTCGTACGTTGTCCTTGAGCTTCTCGCTGCCAATTGCTCCACTGACAGCCTCTTCTCGCGCGCTACAGATTATTCGGGCGAATTCTCACACTGGAACTTTTCTATGCATATCAAACGCAATATAGACGAACTCATGGCTAAATCCAATGTGCCGGTACGCAACCACCCGCAGCCCTGGTCGTGTGTGCCTACCCTGCTTTATTCGTGCATCGGTGCTCACCTTGTCTCATAGAGCCTAGACAACGTCAACCGAGTGCCAGAATTCCACCGCGTCGGCGAGGCAGACCCAAGTTCGACTTCCATCGCAGATATTGTCGCCATGCTGCCGCCCCGTCCGGTAGCCGCTTTTTTGATCAATGTCTTTTTCAAGCATGCCACGAGTATCTACTACTTTGTAGACCGACGCTGGCTCGACGGCACTTTGGACCTCATTTACAACAATGTGACCAACCTGCGCTCAAAGGATGTCACTGCAGCGTGCGTCATGCTGATGGTGCTCGCCGTCGGAACCCAATATGTCCACCTGGAATCTCCTGAAAAGCAGGGTAAACGAAGCACTAACAATTCAACTTCCTCCAACACCCAAGGGAGCCGGGAGCTCGACATCGGATCTGCCTTTTACCGCCAAGTGGCAAAACTCATCTCGGAAGTCACCCACGCTGGCTCACTGCTCAGCGTTCAAGTTTTTCTACTTCTGGGCCTCTATTGGTTGCCTCTTGATGCCTCTGGACTGAGTTATGTCTATCTAAACCTGGCCATCAAGGTAGCCATACAAAACGGGATGCATCGAAATGTCTCTCGCAGCTCTTTTGATTCGAGCACCAAAGAGATCCGGCGCCGTATTTGGTGGACAGCTTACTGTATGGAAAGGTTTGTTTCAGCCCACCATCTTGATTCTTCTGCTCAAGAACATGAACAGAAAAATCGGCATATACCATGGCCGTCCGACGTCCATTGTGCGCTCCGAAATCGATGTAGATTTACCGCGAAGCCCTGATGCGAATAATCTGAATGATAACTCCTTTGACTCCTCCGGCCTGTTGGAGTCGATTCATCTTACAGGGCAAGCTGAACTATTCCTTCAAGAAATGTAAGCGCTTATTCACATCTAATCATTGGTGGAAATGGAAATGACGGACTTACCCTATTTTATCAGATCACGACTTCGGACATGCGAAAAGTCCGAAGTCAGGACAATCTTGAACCGTATCAAGCTCATGAAGACGAATTTCCAAGGACGGTGGTCTCCTCCTCAAAGAGATGTGCCACTAGTATCCACGTCCAGTCAAGTGGAGCAGCTAAAGTCACGTGCTGAGATACATGCTCGGTTGGAGTGCTGCTTATTGCACATGTTCATTGGGCGACCTTTCATTCTGGCCCACCGCCAAGTACGTGCAGGGATTGTTGTTCCGAGTCCTTCGAAAGCATCCCGGGCAACAGCACCCGAGCCGCATGCGCAGTGGACTTTCCTAGTTCAAGACTGTGTTGCGGCTGCAAAAGAAGTTATCAGCCTCTGTCATACCCTGCAGACGGGGCGCATGGGCCTCGCAAAGTCGTCATATACCGAGTACAGCTCATGCCGCGCATCCCTGCTGGTCTTGATTGCTTACAGTACCTGCTACCGCACAAACGAGTTCGCAAGCACTCTACAAAGAGGTCTTGATGCGATCAGAGAAATGGCTTCGGTGGGTGATTCGGCACGCTCAGAAGTCTCTCTTCTTGAGACGCTGGAGGCAGCGTTACATCGACTTCGAGTATTCGATCCATTACCCGAACCGCCGACGGACACAGGCGGAAACAGCTCAGCGGAAGAGAGTTACGCGGGTTTTCTCAACTGGTATACCAAACTGGGCGGCCCCGCCAATTCTCGTACCGATTCGACATACAACGGCGATGATGGGCAAGCGGCGAGGGCTCTGCAACCCCGTGAGCCCGAATCACAAATGGGGCCAATCAGATATGTCCCAGCGGTGCCCAGTATACCGAGCGATCCATCCCTCGATATCTACCCCTTTGACTTTAACCTGCTAAATCCGGATGGAAGCGCCGCTTTCTTTACACCAGACTTCAATGAGCACGGCAACCCTGAACGAGAATTGTTTGAGAATATTTTGTGGGTGCCCAGGTAGTCGATGTATTTACAACTGTCCAGATCCCATTGCACAAGCCTACGCGGCAAACGAGATATGCGATACACAATTGGCTCCGCAATTGCAGTCTAGGCCTGCGCGTACCATACTGGAATGAAAGGGTAATTATCGGATTCATCGCCCATCTCGCCGCTCACAATGTTGCCCGGACAGGTTCGCTTTCCACAATCTCTCTCCACAACTTCAATGACACGTGCTCCTTTGGTTGACTCCATCTGGCAGGCGAAATACGATACGGAACAGGCAGATCCACGTTTTCCGTGTCACCCGTGACGATCATGGAAGCGATTGCTTTCGCGGAGAAGAAGATCTGCGGCATGCCATGGCCGCTGAATCCTGCGCACAAGTATTGGCCAGGTCTGCCGGGAGCCGGTCCAACGTAGGGAAATCCATCATTCGAATAACCCATGACTAGCAGAAAAAGTCAGCTAGGGTATCCACTATACGCCGGTTTGCCGAGACGAACGAGACTTACTACCTGTCCAGACATCTTCGGTGCGGACGTCACTCTTTTCCCATCCGTAGAAATGCCGTTGCATGTACCCATCAAAGTAACGTCGCGCGCCTTTAATTAGACTGCTATCGTCGGAATTGTCGAACCAGTCGTTCAAGTTCCTAAAAAAGTCCCTCTTGGCACCTCCTACTATGACACTACCATCAGGCCTGGGAATCATATAGTCGTACTCGTAGTCCGAGATTCTCATCATGTAGCTATCCGTCAGTCTCGGTGCATATTTCCCCACTAGCCGCGCTACTATGCCTTTGACAGGGACGATTTTGTCTTTCATTTCGGGCACCAGGGCCGAAGTGTAGCCGTTGGTGGCATAGATGACGATGGAGGTCTTGATTGTGCTGCGTGGGGTGGTGACGAGCCACCGGTGATCTTTTGCATCTGTGGCGGCTGGTGAGACGCTGGTGACAGGTGTGTATGTCTGCAGATTGACTCCAAGGGAGACGGCTTTCTCTAGCAAGTGTGTCACAAGTCGATACGGCCACAGACGAGCGGCATCGTATGTGAGGCAGGACTTGGCCCCCCGCACACCAGACACCTGTGCATCCAGTCAGCTCCGGAAATGGGGGGATGCAGAAATGTCTGAATACTACGTGTATGGCATACCTGTTCAGCCTCGCGATCCTCACTATACCCAATATCCCTCGCCGTAGAAATATCCGCATCAACCACTCTTTCAAGATCGGCTTTGATCTTCTCCTTCCCCTTTTTGTACAAACAAACATCCACGACCCTTGTCTCTTCAAAATCACAATCCACATCTTCGCGCTTCACCAGCGCTTTAATCGCACCAATCTGCCTCGCCTCGAAACTCGCGACATGCTCTGCAACTTCCTTTCCGTGTGTAGAAAGCACGCTGGCTGCTCTGAGTAGCGGGTCTGGCTTTAAATGTCCACCTAAAACATAGCATCAGCATTAATACCATCCCACCCACCACACACCTTCCACAAAAATAAAAATAGGAATCAAGGAAATCAGATACAGGTGAAACATACCATTCCTCCCCGTAGCCCCCGAGCACGCCTCCCTCGCCTCCAGAACCACAATCTCCGGCACTTTCCTTCCACACCTCGCACTCTCCTCAACTAAATGATACGCCAAACTCGCACCCACATACCCAGCCCCAACAACCACGATGTCTGCGGAAGAAGGGAGTCTGGGAGTACTACGGTGGCGGTCGATCGGGCCGACTTGTTTGCGCCAATAGGAGGGAAGGGCGTGGGGCACGGGGAACTTGCTGCGATTAGAGTTGCTGGGCATGATGGGATGGTCCACGTATCGGCAAGTGTTTTCCGTTTGAATCCTGGGTCCGAAAATGTGTGCGGGTTTTGGCGGCGTAGGTTATCGTGATGTAGCCCCTACCCTGGGTATTTGGGCGCGCGGCCGGCTTGTTGTGTGTGAGGGGCGAGAGTACCTTGAGGGTTTAAGGGACCGGGCCGGGGGCCGGGCAGGTGATTGGCTCCCTGAGAGGAATGTAGCGAGATGATGGGCGGGTAAGCCGGTGCGCGTATCCAATCCCAACATTCATTATCCATCATTAACGGCAGCTGGGATTCCAAGCTTCTAAGGAAATCTAGGAGATAAGATAAAGAGGGTTTGGGTGAGCGGAGTTGCGAGATTGCCGCGCCGTGACGGATGACATCAATCGACTACTTGCGCCGCGCAAAACCGCCCGTAGCGAGGTTTCCATGTCATAGCCATGCACCATTTCGCTTCAATCACCATGAATACCGAGTGCGAACCTGTCATTTGTTCAACGTTTAGCTGGATTTTTGTTTGGGGTGAGCGCAGAGATGGCGGAATGAGGCATCGAGCGCGTACTTGGTATATGTTGGTCGGTTGGCCTACGATTGGCAGTATTGGCGATGTTGGGGGGAGTTTGAGCTTAGGTGTGTAAGACGCGCGATGTTCAGCATGTTAGGGACAGCAATAGACGATGCTTTTCAGGTCGCTACACCATCTCTGAAAGTCAATGGTTCAACGATGGGGACGTCTTCAGGGATGAACAGCATACACCTATGCCATATCTCCCACTCCTCAACGCCCCTTACCCATCCCTAAACTCCTTATTCCGTTCAATCCTTCCCCTGTACCACCTCTGCCTCCGCCTCCGCCTCCGCCTCCGCCTCTACTACTAACATATCCACTACCGGCCTCCTCGGCACCTTCCCAATCAAAACAACCATACTCGGGATCATAAGCACCAGCACCGCACAATTGATATACAAGCTGATCTCCGGCCCAATAGTCTTGCTGGAGCTGAGACCATAACTCACGGCCTGGCCCGCGACCTCGAAGGCACGGAAGACGCCGCCGGCGCGGGAGGCGACTTGAGCTTCGTTGGAGAAGGTAGACAGGATCCAGTAGATGGTGAGTTGGGTCCAGTAGCCAGAGACAAAGATGACTAGGTAGGGGATGTAGGCTTTAGCCCAGCGGGCAGTGTGGCTGGATATCCGCATTAGCCAAGTTCCGAGAGAGGTGAAATGGAGGAGGACATGGGTAGGAGGGGTTAGAACTTACATATTGTAATCCAACGCCGCATTCCTCCCCAACTGATGGCTTTCAATGCACACCCAAATAAAGCATGCAATCTGCGGGATGACCCATAGCAAGAAAGCGGCCCAGGCTCTGCGACGCTGCGACCACCGCTGGCTGTCGAGGACTTTGCCGAAGATGATGACGGAGGGGATGGTCAGAGATGCTGCATCCAGGGTCAGTATGGGCGGAAAAAATGTTAAGGAAAAAGGGCTAGTAGTTACGTACGCACGATGAGCGACGAAAGCGCGCGTGCGCGGACCGAAAAGTGCAGCGAGAGATAGGTGCCCATTGTTCCGCCGTAGAAGAAGGAGTAAAAGGCTGGGATGAAGACAAGCCAGGTCTAGTGATCAAAGTGTGTTAGTAAACCCGTGCATAGATGCTGTTTGAAACGGTCGAGAAGAATGGAATGGGAGGGGTGGGTTTAAAGGGGGCGAACCTTTGGTTCCTTCAGATACCGTCCCAGAGCAACGAACTCCTGCTTCCACGTGTGCATTTCGGATATTTGAACTTTGCTGTCGTCGCGGCGCCGCACCTTGGATGTCTTAGAGAGGAGCAGGGCCCAGATAGCTCCGGTACATTCTGGGCGTGCTGTTAGAATTGAAAAAACGTCGCTAAACACAGTTCTTCGGCTCTTGAGACGTACCAAAGGCCACGAAGATCAGATACGTGGACCAGGCGACTCCGCCACCGGTCGATCGCGAATGGTTGGTCGAGAAGTTGATTGCGCCGCCGATGACGCTGCCTGTGCTGCGCATAGCGGACCATATACCTGGCATATCATCTGTCAGTTAAAAGTCCCTCATTGTATTCGTATTTCAAACTGGTGAACCAGCATTCTAGTATACATACCGAGGTAAAGACCTCTATCTTCCGGTCGTGGATACGACAGCATAGCCGTCGTCTCACCCACATAGAGGAAACCAGACGCAACCCCATTTACGACCTACGCACGCATCATCAATCAGCACACAATCATCCTCAAAATCCCATCAAATCTCCAAACCCAACATTCTCCATTCCCGCCATCCTCCCAAGTCAAAACAAAATACACTTACATTCGCAGCCAGCAAATACCACTGCACTTTAAACCTCGCATTAACATAATACGCACTCCCATGCAACGGCATCGCCACCGCCGCAATCAAGCACGCCCACTTAATTCCAATCCTATTGATGAGCGGGCCTCCAATAATCGTGCTCAGAAAGCTGCAGGCATAAGACAGCGAGTTGGCGAGGTTGGCGAGCCAGGGCGAGGAGAGACCGCCGCCGCCCAGGTTCGTGATGGCGTCGGACATGGCCGGGCCGACGAGGGAGAGGCTGTTGGGGATGGGCGGGTTAGCATCGTGTAGGAGAAGTCGTTGTGGTTGTGGTTGTGAGGTTGGTCGTTGTGGGTTTGAAGGGGGGAAATGGATTGGGGATTGCGGATGTAGATGAAAGAAAACACCTACGCTCCAAACAACACCATCTGAAAAAGCACGCTCCGAAAAAAGATGCGCACAGTATATTTCGTCTGCATAACCTCTCTGAGACTGCCCACCGCAAAATCGTCGTTCCCATCGTTCATCGTGTGGGCGTCCACAACAGAGCTCTTCGATTCCGTCTCGGAGGGCTTCATGGCGGAAAAACAAAAAGGTCAAAAGTCAGCACACGCACTCTCTCTCCACAACCCGGGGTGGTCGTCGGTGTATGTATGTATGTATATATTTATGTGTATGTAGGTGTAGATGTAGCCAGCGTGTTGTCGCGCTTTTCTTTGTCGAGGAGATGAGTGGTGGAACAGACACCAAATACGGCGACGCGAGCGACGACCCACGGAAACGGTTTCTGGAGCAGTTTATTGTAGTACATGTAGCACACTACCCCGCGTTATCGGTACAGTTTTCCCGTGATATCTGGCCGGACAGGTGCACTGTTCTGGAAAAGATAAGGGACGGTGTCGCATGCATGATGCCTGTAGTGACCGGCCCGGTTGACGCTAGGTAAGATACAAGCTTGACTTCGAGATCGGCTGTCTTGCGCAACGAGCGTGCGTGATAAGTTATCTCATGGTAAAGAAGATAAGTCGGAGGCTGCTACGGGTTGGACTTAGTTTTATGGGGCAGGTTGGGAGATAGGAGGGATTGTGTGGAGACTTGTGGAGAAGGGTAGGAATGCGATTTAGTCAGAATCTGAAACCGGTTAGCGAGACTCGCTTGCATTCTCCCGAGACATCCCTCTTTCCAGATGACCGGATGTGACAAAGCAGCTCGATACTCCTGAGTTAATTGTGCCATGGTCACGGTGTTGAGAACCGTATACTTGGGGTCTAGTTTAGGGTCGCTGGAATTGTAAGGGTGTAACCCGTTCTTCGGCGCCTCGCTTCGCCGCGAACTAGCTCGCAGTGTTGTGATCCCTAGAGTCCGGATAAGTGCTGAGGGCTAGCAGTCGGAAGATTTAATCATGTGGACTCTGCAGGCCTGTGATCCGAAACGTCTGCCTAAAAACGAGCTTATACTCCTTTAGACGACGGATATATCATAGAACTGCAGGCATTGACCTCGCGTTTCTAATTCCGGCAAATTTCAGGATCGCATTGTTTAGGAGTTCGAGATTTGAGGTTTAGAGGAGTCCGTGGACGTTCAGGAATGCATGGGATTCTAACCCTGATGGTATAGTATCTGTGTTTGCGGGACAGAGGTAGCGTTGTGAAGCGGGTTATGTACACATGATGTTCCTGGGACGCCTTCAGGGGCAGCAAAATCCGGCACGGTGTGCTTGTTGAGTGACTAATATGTTCCTCTCAAAGAACTACCCAATCGAGCTTTCCCGTGGACACTCGATCCTTAGTGAGGGGAGAATAGGTGGAAGAAATGTAGTTGCCAATCTTAAGCATTGTACGAGAGCCCTTGTAGATTTCCTTCAGAAGAATGCCTCGACTGCCAGACCCAGCATTAAGCCGACATAGCTCAACCGCATAGTTATCGGAGAAGGGGAAGTAGTCCCGTAACCACGAACGAAGTTCGACAGTTCTGTATCTGCGGCTTCTCCCGAAATTTGGGAACCTTGGCTTTTCGACGTCGGGCGATTCGTGTGTCAGCCACACATTGCAAACAATCTCTCCGCTATCGGCAGAAGTGTATCTTGCACTCGACGAGCAAAATATACTTGCATGTGGAATTTGGACGGAGCCAGTTTGTAAAATCTGCCAAGTTGCGACTGCAGGGCTTGGAACTTCATCTAAGAAGATCCAATCAACGACGAGTTTTTCCTCGGTCCCTGGAATCTTTGCCTCAAAGGGCATTAAGGAACCTTGAGGTTCCAGGTGAGAATTATGCTCCAGAGACGAGAGGCTGTTGGAACTTATTGAAATGGAGCCGAAGAAATTGGCGCCAATCGATGAATAGGCCTCCTGCACAAAGCCAAGCGGGTACTGGCCCAATACGAGATCGTTGGAATCAGCTCCATGGGTGTCCTTCCATGTAACACTACCGACGACAGACATGATTGCTTCTGCTCTAAGACCCTTGCAAAAGCGATGTGATCCTAGGAGTAGAATGAGGTCCCTTCTCATGAAATGGAGGTATAACATCCCCGTACGGTTTAACAATTCTCCAAGTTCCAGGTAACCACGAGGGTACAGACCAAAAGCGATCAATTTCCCAAACATTTCGTTTGGCGCAACTTGGTCCAAGCTTTCATTGAGAAGAGGGCCGACCGCGGATTCTTCAATCGGTAATAGGCGAACTCGTCCGTCGAGTATCGATGTACACTCTTGATTCAGAGCCACTATGGTGTCCATTGCAATGGGAACTGTGTGGTCAGCGACCGAGAAGATTTCCCATTTTGCATTGCAAAGCCACATATCTGGCCGGAGGCATATCTCTTGCAGCGTCCAAAGAGAGCTAAACCATCCATCTGTAGTAACGTCCTCTCTTTTTATTCCACCCTCGAAACGGTACTCTTCGAAGAGCCCGGTGGCTTCATTGTCGGTGGAGAGATAGTCGAGAGGGTCGGCATGGAGGAACACCATGCACATGTACTCGACGGCCTTTTCTAGACCTTTCCAAGTATAGACGCGATTTAACCAGATGATGGCGTGCTCTGCGTTGTTGAATATAGCTGCTTGCCGGGCAATCTCCTCATTGGCCTTAGGAGAGCCGTCCTGCGGGATGCATACGAGGTCGAACCAAACGTACCGCGTAGAAGTAGGGACCTCGGCGAGTATTTCGGGGAGTTTCCGGACTTCGAAAACTGTGTTTTGAGGCACCTTCCAGTATTCAAGTCCTCTGATTTCCACAGGATCTTCATCCTGTTTTTGCCATCTCCCCCAGGTGTGGCTTATCGCTGTATAAGCGGGCCGCCGGTCGAGCTGTTCTCTTGAAATAACCTTTTGCTGCACACGATCCCACAGGTAATATGGAAGACCATCACTTTCTGGGAGCCAGTTGCAGGCTTGAAGAGTAGCTCCGATTGGACAGCATGGGTGGAGGCCAGGCAAGGCATTTTCACCTAGCATGACCTTTCCATCTCGAAGGATCGTATGCGTTGAGGGCGATAAGTCAAGCCTGGCTTCATAGTCCCTCAATTCGAGCTTTCTGAGTTGATTGTTCGGTCTTCTGACGCCGCTACGGTAGCAATGAAGTGAGACATGCTGGCACGCTGAGTATTTTGCTGCTTCCTGCCTCATCGTCATCAGGTGTGCCCCGTATTGCACGAACCCGGGGCCGCCGAATTCTTGCTCAAAGAGATTGAGAAGTCGGTTGAAGTGTAGTGAGTCTACATGTGGAGAGTCTACACGGAGCTCGTAGCTCACGCCCTCCGCTGAATGTCTAATGTAATCCGTGGATGGGGGGCCTTTCAGGACTTTGCAAGATGATCGATACGAGGTCCACCAGTGCCAGAGCATCCAGAAGGACTTTTCTTGAGCTCTGGAAATACGAACATTCTGGTTTGCTTTGTCGGATAGAATCTCGAAGAGCCGATAGAAGTCAGAGAAAGGCTTGGTAAATCCGCGTGAGACATTGTTTGGGTCCCAGGCCTCCTCAAGGACAGACCATAGAGGATCGGGCCTGTCTTCGACGTCCACTTGCATCTCGGTGATGCTGAGGAAGGTAGGGGATAGGGGGTAGTATCAACGGTCATCGATCACAAAGCGCGTTAAGCAGCACGCGTAGAAGGCTGAAGAAGAAATGAGCAAGGAAGGAGTGTTGCGGCTCCCCGCCTGAAATGGGGGACTGTCCACGGGGTCAGTTTCAGCCTCGCCGTGAGGCTAAGCCCAATTTAGTATAGCCGCCTGTCGCAGCGCTTAGGGCGAAAACCCAACGCCAATGCTTCGCGTCCCTCGCCTACAGTCCAACGCTTGACTCCGATGGAAATATCAGCTCAATGTCCCGATGGCGAACTCACAGAAAAGGATCAAGGGGTTGAACATGCTGCAGCCATCGAGCTTCAAAACCAGCTCGGTCATTGGCCGCGGCGCCTGCTCCACGTTCCGACTATGCGCTCCCTCGAATGGAACTCAGGCAACAGATACGGCGATTCGATCGAGCCGAAATACAACGCGATATCTTACACGTGGGGCCGCTGGTGTCTTCAACCCGATCAATTTCCTCAGGTCCAGAGCATCGACGTCCACGGGGTCTCCTGGCGGATTCCCAGAGTACATCCGGACCATTTTGATCCCGCCACATTGAAAGCCGTCATCGAACAAGCGCGAACTGCCGAGCCCAAATCGCCATTCAACTTCTCCGACGGCGAGGATGATGAGATCGTAGAGGTAGACTACGTGTGGATCGACATCGCATGCATCGATCAGAATTTTAACCTCACTTCCATGCTTGAAATTGGACGCCAAGCAGAGATATTCGGCGGGGCGCGAAGCGTGTATGTATGGCTGAGCCATACTTCAACCCCTGAATTGCGCGAGGTCCGCAATTTTGCAAGCAGCTGGGATCCATACTATCCGGACTTCGAGCCATTCGGGCCTGCCTCCGGCATTCCAGATCGTTGGCCTCAAGTGGAGACGGTTCTCGATTGCTTGAGGAAAGAGCCCTGGTTCTCTTCCGTGTGGACACTTCAGGAAGCTTATCTGAGAAAGGATGCCGTGTTTCTGTCTCGCAACGCCCAAAAGCTATACCGGATTGACGGTAGCTGGAATTTGAGTGAGGAGGGAACCGTAGAGAGCGAGTTCAGCTTTGGCCTAGGTGCCTTGCTGCTTGCTGCAGAAACTGTGAGCCTCAGCTCTGCACGGCTTCCTCCCGCGTCAGCACTCCAAGACATGGTACAGCAAACCATAAATGATTTGGGAATGAAGGCTTTGAACCGAAACGATCCAATGGGTCTCTACGCCGTCGCCCATCGCCGCAAGCCGAGCAACGATTTGGACAGCGTATACGGTATCCAACAAATATTCGGGCTCCGCCTTGGGCTGTCGTCACCCACTGCGGACCCTAGAAGAAACTTCACACTAGATGAATTGGAAGACGAACTCGGCGAGGCCTTGCTGGTGGCTGATCCAGTGCTCAGCCAGGGTTTCGTTCATACGGATGCGTCTATCGAGCTCGGCAAGCGATGGCGCGTCTCAAGAAGCGCAGTCGTACCTGAACCACTTTTCAATGATGACAACCCATGGAGAAGCTCATTGTATACACCCGTATGCGCCATGTTTACTGAGAACGTACTTGGAAAACGAATGGGATCCTTCAAAGGAAAGATGTGCAGTTTCGCTCATTTGCAACGGATATGGGCTTTCATGCACGAACAAGAATCACAGATGGAGGGCCAGCCAGTCATGTGGCTGATGCTGGATAATGCGCCTGATATTACACCAGCTATCGTCGAATCCTCACTGGGTGAGCATCCTCCTCAGCCCGGTGCTTTTCAATCCGAATTGCACTCTCACAGGAAGTCTGGAATACTTGCAAATTCCTTCGGAGAGGAGGCGCTAAAAGTGCTTCATTTGGGGGCTCATACTAGTTCACCTGGGGCTGAATGCCACTTTGGCCTTATCTTGCTCCAAGGTCAAATGAACAAGAGCACACTATGGAGAAGAATCGGCGTCTGTACGTGGCGTGGCTATGCCTCTTCCGCATGGGGGCTGGCTAATGGCTTGTTCAAACGGCAGTCTATCCCGTTTGCTTTGCGGGGTACGTCTTCGTCCTCCAGTACTCTAACTAGATATGGCGACGACTTGGTTCACCCCAACAAAGAACTCTTCGAGCCGTTCAAAGGCGACCTATCTGGCGAAAGTCATGCTTGGAAAGCAGTCTCAGGGCTATTCGGATAGGCCGGCTCAAGTTGAAAATGTTCCGTGGCATTTTATAATTTGCTAGGTTCTTTCGGCAAGCAGTCTAATAGTTAACCTTCAATTTCTAGCCACACGATACCAAAGCTCAAACTTCGCACGTGATGAATTAGGGTTGTCCATCAGAAGAAGACATTCTCAAGCGAGCGCCACAGGTACTACTCTCCTCAAATTTACGTCACCAAGGAGGAACGATTTCAAGTGTACTGAAATGCCTCGCAGCCCGCATCATGGCTCTAGGGTCCTGCACCTGCCTTGGATCCTGCACCAGCCTTGTGTCTCTATCACTCCTGGCCTTTCGATATGAAATAACAAACAGCTCGCATCCAGACATTGGTCCTTATTGAATCTCACGATATCGAAATGCTTACTAGGGTAGATTTTAGCTAGCTAACCGAAAAGGCCTTCTGTCACAGTCCAATGATCCTTCTCGCCGTTCACTATAGCTCGGTCTCGCGCACTCATGTGCCCTCTAATGCATTCATCGGTAAACCATGTGAAGACCCCAATACGGGTCCAATCTGAATGCCAATTCTCTTTTACGAGCAGTACGCCAACAGCGAATTGCCTAGTGTGATTTGGAAACATCTCCCGCCCGAGGAGCAACACGTTCAGCTCATGATCAGCCAAGCATTTCAGGAGCTTTTGACAGTGTCCGATATGTGCGTCTTCATGTGGAACGTATCGTGTACGGTCAAAATGCTCATGCGAAAATCCTCGACTCTCAAGCAACGGCAGCCTATCCAAAGCCAAAAGCTGTCGTCGCTTTCCAGACGTCTTGAGTGAGGTGCTGGACCTAGGGCGAGGGCCGAGTCGTCGACACGCTTCAAAAAGGTGTTTGAACGCGATAGTAGCACCTTTGAAGTAACCGAACAAACGGCCATTGTAGGGTCGAACACCAAATTGAATCCTCTTGTCGTGGTTTGTGACAACTCCTAGTCGATAACAGATAGGATCAAGGCCCCTGGCGATGGTACTGTGGCGAGAAATATGCCATGCGGTTCCTTTCACCGGCGGCGAGTCGAAAACGTGTAGTTGGCTGACGAGCGGAAAGTCGTGCAGGAGTGCAACGCCCATCTGGTCTTCTAACTCTGGAAGGGCATATTCCTTGCCATTTGGTGCGTCTAGAGCCGAGATTCCTAGCTGGAAACCAAAGACCTGCATGATGGCATAGATGCGATTGTTTTCTTCTTCAGCTCTAACTTCTCGAAGGCCGGATGCGGCAAGGAGTCCGAGCGGATTGATAGCGTTTGTGAGCGCATAGAAGCCGCTTGTTCGAACAAGCTCTTCGAACTGGCACGTACTGGACGTCTTATCGTTCAGCCGCACCCGGAGATTTCCCTTGAGCCTTCTAAGTAGCCCGACCGATGCCTGCATAAGGGACATCAAATCGAATGCTTCTGTCCCAAAAGACACTTCGTCGGCAGACTTTGAAAGAAATATGGCTTGTCCCTTCATCCAAGATTCCTGAAGTGTCCACAGCGAAGAAAACCAAGGGTCTTCTTTGAGATGGCGAAGAGTGTGCAGTGCTGAGCTGAAGGTGTTCTCATCCACGTCCTCGACAGTCTCCAAGCTTTTGAACTGTGACGCGATTTCTTGAAGCTCGGGAGTGCTGTGTCGGCTCAACCAGATAAAGCATCTCTTCGCGCTGTTAAAGATTGTAGCCTGGCGTCCAATCTCGCATGCCATTTCCGGCGAATTTCTCCTCTGATCGATACATGCTACATCCAGCCACATGTGTTCAAGTCCATCTCCCCGAACAGTTTTGTGCACAACTGCCTGGAACTGTGATGCACTAAAGTGTTGAGGATCGATTCTGGGCACAGGCCAGCCGATGCCGTTAAAATGCAATGGCTCTGCGTTCGGCATTTTGCCAGTCTTGTCTTCCCACCTTCCCCAGGTGTACGATAGAATATTGTATTGTGGCCGCTTTATCCCTCCGTACGTGTCCCCGGGTTGCCAGCAATGGCTCGTCATGCTCGGGACATGAAGTAGTCTTCTCGGCCATGGCTCTTCTCTGTCGAACAATTCGTGCGGCGTTGATTGCATTATGTCAACAGCAGATTCAGTTCCCCAGAACTTGTTGGGGCCTAGTACCGTTAGTATCGACAGATGCTGTCGTCGACTAATGCCATAGACGTCGGGAATACCTTTCGTGGCCTTGCACACTGGACCGCCTTACTTACTTAGGTAGAAAGCCGAAGACGATACCGACTACAGTTGTTTGTCGTCGAATAGCTCCTATAGCGGCTGTCTAGGTAATCTCAGTAGGAGTTGTCGGGATTGTATTTGCTCAAGTAGCCTTTTGGGACGATCGCGCAGCTGGATAAACAATGACGTGGCATCGCGTGTAAGAAGTTAGGGACCTCACATAAAGGAGACGTGGCCCGATGCCCAAGCTTTCTCTTCAACTTCCAGCAAGATGGGCCATTATTCATAGGGGCCTCTGCGTGCGTCGGCGTTCGGCGATGGGAACGGGCCTGAGTGACGCTTCCGAGAATCTCGAAAGGAGGCGCAGCCAAGACCAGGGTTCGACTCCTGCATGTTTCTGCGCTAACTGAAAAGGGAAACGCCTCTCGAACAGTTTCAGATGCAGCTGGACAGGGTCGCAGCTCAGCACTCTTATTATCCACCTTTCCTATCCAGCATTACAGCGTGGGCACATGCTGTGTGCCTCAGGGTGCGATGGCTCGATGGCGGGGCACCAACATTGCGCTCAAACGCCATGACCGCAAGAACAAAGATCGTGCAAGATAAAACACTTTTGAAAGCCGTCCAAGCCAAACTTGGAGCTATTTCTTTCGCCGTGCGCGACTTCGGCCAGATAATCGCGGTAGAATCGGATCAGTACTCATTCGATAGGAAGGGTCGATTGGAATCTACTAGCAACTATGATGCCTTTTGGCCCCATGGATAACCTGCGGTTCTTGGAGGATGAAGATTTTGCGCCAGAGGACGAGCGATACGTCAAAGATTGGGTCATCAAACAAGATGGATCAGTGGCGATCATGAAGGCCGCCATCGTCGCTTCTCGCCCCAGGACCTCAGCCGCCGCTTCAGGTGACAATATACCGCAGCCCTGAGGGGAATACCGATTTGAGAACTGCTACATCCACGCTTGGCTTTCCTCTTTTTCCCCCCTAGAGTGAAAAGCATGCTGTATACTTGTATAGTCGGAACTCTGATATACACGTCGGCATTCTTTTGGAAAGATACTCATCGAGGCTTCCTCGTGGCTCAAAAAAATTTATGAAGTTTGGGGCATTTGAATTCCATATCAACGATGTCAAAGAACACGGCGGCAATTTTCAAGTTCCAAGAGCTCAGAATGTAAATTGGCTTGTGGCCTAGTCTGTGCACAGATCTTAATGTCTCGATGAGAGGAGAGTGAGCAAACTGAATCAGTTCAACCCAGTAGGCGATCCGCTTGTTCACGGATTCTTTAGTGAACGCTAATGTTATTCCAACTCCCATATGTATCTGCGAGCCTCGGAAGCGACGTAAAGCGTCGTGTGGTTCTCATTTGAGGCACCAAAATCGCTCATGCGTACGTGAGTGATGGAGTCGTGAATAATGCAATGAAACTAACATCCAGTTCTCTTTACTCAGACCAGATGCCCTTCGAAGGGGCTCCAAACGTCTCCGTAAGTAGCCGGAGGATCTAGCACAGAGTTCTCCCACATACAAAAGCCGAGGCGACTCCACTCTGCAATGCCTTCCAGGTCAGCTAAAATCACGGCCACCTGGAATGTTACCGCCCTTCCTAGAAAGAGCCCCTTGGTTTCTCCTAGGTGAGCAGCCCGCACAGGGCATTTGCACTCTGTTACAATCCATTGTGCTATAACATCATGCTCCTTTCCGAAGTCAAGATTCAGTGAGAGCCAGAGTTTTGGCATCCTTCTAGCTACGCTAGTACCCTGATCCAGGTGTATAGAGGGAGTGAATGCCTTTCCTTGCCGAATCCGCTGGTTCTTGATAGCCTCCCAATACCGGACGAGGTCAGGCCAATAGCACGATTTCCCATAGAACATCATGCGACCAGTTTCATCAGCAGAGATCTCGCAAAGCTGTTTTGGTTGGACAACGCCTCGCCCTCTCTCTGGAGTGGTGGAATTCTCACTGATCCTCCAGGTGTGCCCGTCGGCGGCCGTGAGGTGGACGAAAAGCTGCGCCAGGATGGGGGACCGCTCGTTTAGCGCTTGGCCTAGCTGGAATTCGAGTTGCGCGAGAGAGAAAGAGTGGCCCGGCGCCGAGCTCTCGCCTAACCGAAGGCCAAATACTTGCATGATGCCATATATGCGATCGGGCGGCTGAGAAGCAGATCGAAATCGAGCAGCGCCATACAACGTGATTGGGCAATTTGCGTAGAGAGCGTAACAGCCACTTTTCTCGATGAGATGAATGATTTCGTCCAGCTGCATGACGTCATAGGCCCAAGAAGATGCCCCATCAATTTGTGTGAGGCGAAGGATAGTGCGGTACACTGTGGAACAGTCGGCGAAGAGAGAGAAGAGATATGCCTTGTTTGTTTCTCCGGGAAAGGTCACGGCATCGCCCTGCTTGGAGAGAATGTATGCATCGCGACGGAGGAATGCCTCCTGGAGAGTCCATAAGGATGTGAACCACGGATCTCGAAATAGGTACCGGAGACAATTCTCCGTCCTCCAAATCCAGCGCCTCCGAGACCGAGATTGCGGGGCGTTTTGGTTCCAGAATTCGATATCTCTAGCTGCTCGTCTCAGACAATCCAAGTTCTGTTGCAGGGCATCGGATTGCAAAGTGCATAGCCAAGCGTAGACGTTCTGAGCTTTTTGAAAGATAGCTGCTTGTCGACCGATTTCCTCCATTTTAGCAGCTGAGCCATCCCGTTGATCGATGCAGGCAACATCGACCCATACCCAGCCGGCGCTATTCTCGGCCCCTATCTTCTTGATTATTCTTGTGAACTGCTCTGCGGTGAAGTGGCTCCTTTTGATGGATGGTATTTCCCATTCCAGGTCGCCGCCTATCTCGATCGAGCTCTCTCCCTCAGCCGCAAATCGCCCCCAAGTATATGTGAGAATGTTGTAACGCGGCTCCTTCTCACCATTGTATACGTTGCCGTCTCGTCGTTGGAAGGAAGTCATTGAATCCACATGCAGGAGTCTCAGAGGCCACCCTTCCGTCACCTGCGCTAGGCTGTTACTGGCCATTTCTTTCGGCTAAAAGCGGGCAGTTCATAAAGCTGCCAAAGATTTTCGTAATGCCTGAATAGTCGTAGAAATTTCAAGGCTTCGCATTTGGTATCCGTGAGGCCAAAACTTAGAAGCCTCGCTCAGGCGCACACCACAACATGCTGTCCTTCTTCACAATTCGCTCAGGTGCTGTACGTAGATGCTGTTTAGTCATCGCCGTGCATGATGTGATTGGGAATAATCCCACCAAGGCTGAATTACCCCCGCGAGCCCGGCGTGCCCACACATACCTTGCCTTGCTTTCGCGAGTTTTACTAGCTCAGGTTGGTAAGCCCCCGCCCCCACGGTGCTGAGGCGGTTTACGGGAAATGACACGAGTGACGAGCCCGTGTGGAGTCATTTCAAATATGAATCGTCCAACGGATGAGGTTTTCGTGTGCCGCGATATTTGACAGCTCAACAGTCTATCGCCGATTGAAGCGAGCGACCAGTCAGACGTCACGCAAAAAACTCTTCGACGATAGAGAAACGCGGCGATCTTAGTACCAAAGGAACTGAGACAGGAAGCCCGAGGTTCCTCTTCCTCCAAAACTGCGGCTTCTTGTTTTCCGCTCGATACCACGGTCACTCGTCTGCTCCTATATAGTCTGGGGGGCGGAATTTGGCTCATAAATTGCTGATCCACCCCGGCTTCGCAATACCACATTTCCCGACTCCTCTCATTCGTTGTCGTGCTAAACCACCCGGGCTTCGCAATGCCAGAGCTGCCGGCTCTTCTCATCTTTTGTCGTAGCTATTTTGCACTGGACCCCTTCCTTTTCTCCACGCCTCGCAGACGATTCTACTAGCAGGCGCACTCGGCGCGCACATGTGCTGCGCACTCTTTCCCGGATCTCGGCGCAAACCAACTCTCCTCCTGGATGCCAGCAGCCATGATCCAAAAGAACCAGCTTGAGGTACCTTAGAGTTCTCGGTAATGCGTCGAGTATGCTGAAGTCCCAGTGAACGTTATCGATGCCGTCACAGCCGATAGGGTAGCGGAAGAAGTCGTTCATCGTCAATTTCAGCTCCAGGTCTGCCAAACAAGACGTTCTTTGATCGAAGCCGGAGAGAATAGAAACAACTCCTCTAGCGCGATATGTAGCTGATTGTGGGTACGCTTTCGTAGAGCAGTATCTATGATGCATGACGAAAGACGGTATCGTGTAGTGGGCTGGTAAGCCAAGGATTTTGATCTTGCTCACTTGGCTCAGCGACAGAACTCCGGATCGTATGTCCATTATCGGCGCGGGAATTACTACCGGGCGGTTGTTGAAGACTGTTGCCCAGGCGTCGCGAGTCGATACGTTCTCGTTGTAGATCGGGAGCGTGAAGAATTCGCCGAGAGTAAAGCTCGCACATCTGTATAGCTGCTCTAGCGCCTCACGTCGGAATTGATGACTGATTCCTAGCCATCGCGGATATCCGGTGAGCCTATGCGGGATTGGGTCCTGGCCATACCGGACCACCACAACGATACCCCGGTGTAGAAATCCAAACGTTACACAGCCCCAAGCGTAGTCGTAAATATCATCCCGTACTTCGCGCGGAAGTCTTAAGAAGGAGAAAGTAGCCCGGTGACTCAAGTGCTCTTCCGAATAGAGGTCGAGCAGATATTCATCGGTTGATTTTCTTGCGGCCTCGTCCCATTCGGATGGCGCCTTGCGCTTTCGATTGAAGGAGGGTTTTCGAAACCAGTTGTGTGTATGCTTGCGAAATTTGAGATTGTTCGGCATCATTTTGGGTGGGTGACACTTGGTGCGCGACGGGCTAACCGGACGCCTTCTTGTTTTCCTTCAAAGTCCTCTAACAACGCAAGGACGAAGATCGTGCTAACTGAAACGCAGTTACTACCCTTTTAAAGAGATACAATATTGAAGAAAACCAGCAATTCTAATGCGAGATACGACAAGTCGCAGCCATGCCTGGTGGATGTGACTCCGTGAGATTCTCCAAAAGTGGGTGCCTTCCAGGCAGCATCGCTCATCAAATTGATAACATCCGTCCTCGCGCTCACCAAAAAAACACAGAGAACGCATGTAGTCTTCCATCCTCGTCCCATAGAAAGATGATTGCAGGCTTTCGTGCAATCGAGGATGCTAGTGTGCGTCATCCTATATCGCCCGTAGGATGTACGGTGCTAAATGGAACTCTGGGGCGTTGCTGAAGGATTCCTTGGCTGCCCCGCACTTCGAGTGTGTCAGTGGATAGATCGAACTGGTTGTAGACAACCACAACCACAATCTTCTTTCCACATGGTCGACCTTATCAGCGAAGAAGCAGCCCTTGGGCGCTGGCCTAGAAGGCTTCTGCACGTACCTAGTCTTACTTCCTATGAGTGGCAACCAGGCAACATCTACGGTTCCGTGAAAGAGCCTGAATACAATGCCATAACGTATACATGGGGCCGGTGGAAGTTACAGGACCAGCCATCACCGAAAAGACCGGACGTTGCTGCTCTTCCGATAGCCGGTATCACATGGTCAATCCCGAGAGTGGACCCTGCGCACTTCACCGCCCACCAGCTCGAGCAGGCCCTTAAGAAAACAGCCGGCCTGCAGCCTTTACATGCACAGTGGCAGGCTCGGAAGCGAGTCGATTTCGTGTGGCTCGACGTTGCATGCATCGACCAACGGGCGTCTGAACCCAGCTCAGCGGCGGAGATCGGGAGGCAAGCGGCTATCTTCCGAGGGGCTCAGAACGCTTGCGTCTGGTACACAACACTCGAAATGGTGACCATGGTGAGGACTATGGCAGCTTTCATGAATCTCTCGGAGACAGATGATCCTTCGATTGCGGAGGATGTTGTGCGCTTTTTGTCAGACCCTTGGTTCACATCCCTTTGGACGTTACAGGAAGCATTCCTCCGGCCGAACGCATTCCTCCTGGACAAAGACGGCGAGCTACTAGAATGGCCGCCATGCACGGGTATAAAAGGCAGCCCCGCGCTGTTAGATGTCCTGGATTGGGGCAGCCGGTGGTCCTCCATGAGTACGGAGGAGGGTCTCGTTGACAACTCATATTCGAGAGCAATCCAGCTCATAGATCAACGCGGATTCAAGCCCCTAGCCTCTTTCAACGCCATGGCGACGTGGGAGGCCGCCTTACAGCGGACATCCACTGTACCCGAAGACCGTATATATGGCATCCAGCAAATCTTCGGATTCCGATTAGGTAAATCCAGCCTAGACGCAAACCCGGGCCGCCATTACACTCTGGGGGAACTCGAAGACGAATTCGGTCTTGCCCTCATGATGGAGTATCCGATATTGAGCCAATTTCACGGCTTCACCCAGCCAACGCCGCGAGACAAGCGCTGGCGCATGAATTTATCCTCCACGATGCCTTCGGGTGCGGGTGATTATGACAATTCGTTGCCGGCACTGCTGGGTGATGATCAACCCCGTTGTCGTTTCAGCGTCGAGCATTCTGCTACAGAGCGAAGGCCTGTTTGGTGGCATGGGCCCACTGCGTCGTTGTCCGAGCTCATCGAAGCGTGCGCTCGCGTCGCTAGAGGTGGTGCAGTCGGCGATACATTTTTCGCGTTTCTCGACGTTCTAGAAGAGCTGCCAACATCAGCCGAGTTCCAAGTACCGGGAGGCCATTTCCCCGAGGGCCAGCTACAAAAGCGGCTGCAAGAGTGGCTAATTGATCATTTCCGTCCCGGAGAAGTAGAGGTGCTTCTGCTTGGGCCGTCGGACGGAATACATTGCAGCTATAAGCTGGGTGTGTTGATCCGAAAATATGGAGACGGCGAGTGGTTCAGGATTGGAATGTGTTTGTGGGATGCCATGGAGATGCCAATGAGCGATGAGTCCTCGCCCGAACTCGACTTTTTAGCCGGAGAAGGCCGTGGGTGGACACAGAGGGTTGGGGTATATGGATATCTGGAGGCTTTCTCGAAATGACAGGTGAGAGGACAACATATAGACACCTAATACTAGGCCCGGGATGCAGTATCAATTATGGTAGCTTAATTTTTCGGGTAAGATCGCGAGCGGAGGTCAGCAATAGAGAGATATAAGAAGCGCGCGGTGGGCTTCGAGGTTGCAGCCGAGCAGTTTCAAATCTAGAGCTTAGTCAGCCGTCAGTTAGTCAGCACCTTGTCCGAGCTGAGAGCTCAGAGCTCAGAGCTGAGAGATGCTGCACCCCAAGGTCGAGCTCAGCGACTGCCGACTCCCAGATGGAAGGGTCCTCGGTATAATACCAACGCAATGTTCTTAACATAAGAGGCGGATGTAGAGGGGCGGCGCATCTCCCGTGGAGCTGTGGGCGCGCACCCTATGCCGCGGACATGTCCGTCCCTGCCGACAATGTACGTTTGGTGAACTCCCAATCCGTCTCTCTTTCCATCTCCTCGGACCGGTCTTGGACGTGAATGCTAAGGAGTGATCACTGTAGCGAGAGATCGAAGAACGAGGAGGCACCCCCGAGACCGCCGTAAACGCACCCCTTTCGGCCGTCGACCCATCCGTCGTGTTGTCGCTCCACGACTATCCAGCGCTCCAAAGCTTTGCAGCCTCCCTTCCCAAGCTACCTCACGCCGACGCTCTCTCTTCCACTGATATTGACGTCCTCGCCAACGGACTGACCAATTTTGCCCTGAACTCAACAGTCTCTGCGAGCTCTACAGACGGGAACATAAAGGATTTTGTAGGACGGGAAGCTTCAAGAGACCCGCCCGCTACAACCAATGACACCGAACCCGACTTTCGGAGGTATCAATGGCATGATGTGAAAGGATGCTGGCCTCGACGGCTACTCCACGTACCTACTATGACCTCCTTAGAACGCCAGTACGATAACCGCTACGGTTCCGTGCGAGAACCACCTTACAGTATTCTCTCCTACACCTGGGGTCGATGGGCGGGAAATGCCGATGGCCCAAGACTAGGCGTCAAAGGTGTGAGCTGGACTATCCCGGCTGTGGACGAGGAGCACTTCACCGCCGAATCGTTCGAGCGCGTTATCAAGCAGCTTGGGAAAGACTTCGATTATGTCTGGGTGGACATAGCGTGCATAGACCAGGAGAACAACGAGGTCAAGATGGATGAGGTGGGCCGGCAAGTGGGCATATTCGCGAATGCCCGGCGCGTCTATATCTGGCTGTCGCGGTTGACTACGGACACTCTTCAGTCATCTTTGGATAGTGTCCGGGCGTTCCGGAACCTTGTAGGCAATAAAGTTTTTGGCAAGCGCCGAATAACAAACCTTCGGGAGCCGCTAGCACTTCTTCCACGCTTGCACGCTTCTGTCACTACGCTGCTGGATGACCCGTGGTTCTCGTCCCTATGGACTTTGCAAGAGGGCACCCTTCGCCAGGATGCCTTGTTTTTGTCAAGAGAAGGGAATCCCATCACATACCTCGGCTGGAGCGGGGAAATGCCCTCTTCTCATCAATCAGTTTCCCTGACCTTATACCATGTATGGGACTTCTTCCACGAATTCCGCGAAAGACTTCAGAGAATCGAGGACGCCTCTGTCCAGAGACATACAAACGCCGTCGTCGACGTTATACAACGTACCGGATACCACCTACCGCGTGGACAGAACCCGAATATACAGTACGGCATCGCGCAATACCGACAAACCTCGTTCCCATTGGATCGCATATACGGGATTATGGCCATCTATGGTATTCAAGTTGGTCAAGAGAATCCGTACGGTTATACTTTTGAAGAGCTGGAGCATGAATTTGCTGCTACACTCAACGCGACAAATCCGTTCATAGGGCAAATGTTCCTTCACACCGTAAGGCCAGGGGAGAACGCCACATGGAAAATCACGCAAAGGTCGAGGGTGCCCATGGCGGAGATCGATCCTTACCCTAATGAAGTGCGGACGCTTTGCACGATATCAGCTACCACAGGCGAACGACATGCCGTCTTTGCTGGCAGCACCTGCTTTCTTAACGAGTGGTTGTTTGTGACACTATGTCGAACTTCCCGGTCACCTCTCTGTGAAGAAACGAAGAGACTTGGGGAATACTACGGAGCATCGTATTGGTTTACATTACAACTTGATGATTACATCTTTGATGAGCATCCATCCCTTTCTGGAATGAGGAATCCTGCTACTGAGGAAGTCATCCCATCTCCTCGTGAGGCTGTGCTGAGCAAGTTCATTGAAGCCCAGGCATCCGGTGGCCTTGACAATCCGGCCATCGTCCTATCTTTAGATGTTTGCGCATTGTTCGGTAAGCAGCGCGTTTACTTGCTCCTCTTAGGAGAGATCCCACAGGAAAAGCGAAACGGGGAGAATGTGCAAGTCTCGTTCGGGCTTGTCCTCCTTAGAAGGCTCGACAAAGGGTGTGAATACACTCGGCTGGGTGTTTGTCAATGGAGAGGCGACCTGGACGGACGAATTGATCCTGGCGACACCGGGACGTGTGCTCAGTGGAACATGTCAGAAGGCCTCATATTTTAATGGTTTGCGGTCCGTCTTGCCGAACACCACATCTCCCCGGAGCAGCTTAGTCAACGTATCCAAAAATCCCGCTTTGCTCGGTCCAGCCCTCTCCATATCCTCGAAGGAACTCCTTGTCGTCATCCCCCATGCCTAGATCTGGGGACGTCCAGTCGAACTGAGAGCTCCATTGGCATACGCCCACTCGCGCCCATTGTTCTTGGTGACGGAGCATGAGAAGCCCATACATGCCATCCTGGTAGTGTCCCTTGGTCCTCCAAGACAAGCCAAAGCCGAGGAGCAAGACTTGGAGTTGGTCGTCGGGACACATTTGCAGCAGCCACCGAATAACCTCGATGGAATCGGTTCCGGGGTGAGGCGCACCTGGAAGTTCATCCGCCACGTCCAATTGGACGTATAAAGGGTCCAGACATTCTCCATTGTGAGAGCCATCATCGAGGCCATGAGATCTTATCCACGCCATCCTCCTGCCTATTCGATTCCAGCGTTCCCTCAGCCTTGGGAATGGACTCATACGGCCGGCGAAAGACAGCGCTTTCGGTGTGTGACTATGGTGATCCAAAAAGAACCGACAGTGGACGACGACACTCGAATCTTCTCCCTTCACCGATCCCTCGTCCAGGATTCGCGGAGTAGGGCACAGATCCTCCGAGAGTGTCTGCGAGCAGGGCTGTACTCTCCACCTCGCACGAGGAGGGACATGGCTCCGAAAAACATGCATCTGGCTCTGAATCGGATATTGCAATAACAGCGTCTTTGCAAGTTGAGCCTCCAGCTGTATGAAGTTGAAGACTTTTCCGCTTGCAACGGGTGCGGTGTTACCTAGCCGCAAGCCAAAAATTTGTTGTATTCCGTAAATGCGATCCTCGCTACGGGTCGCTGTTCTTGATTGAGCAGCAATGTAGATGTGCAGTTCCTGACGCGAATATAGTGCGCTGAGCCCCCTTTCCTCTATGAGGCGAATGGCAGCCTCATAGTCCTTCTCCTCGGTTAAAGGACTGGCTGATACCCTAGCGCAAGCATTTTTCCAATATGAACACAAGGTCAGGAGATCGGAGAGTGTGCACGTATGGATGGTAATAGGTGGGTGCCCACCGGTGAGCCTTGCAACGAGCCTAGCTTCTCTGGATAGCACGTGGGCGTCATGTCGAAGGAAGGCCTCTTGCAATGTCCACAGCGACGAAAACCATGGGTCGTTGAGCAGGACGGGGAGATTCTTGATCGCTTGCAAGTAACGCGGAGTATGTTCGGACGGTGACTCGCCCATGACAATCGATAGATCCTTCATTATTCTTTCCAGCTGCTGATGGCCATGTGTCGTCAGCCAGACGAATACTGCCTTCGCGCCATGGAAGATGACCGCTTGGCGACCAATTTCCGCCGCGGACCTGGGGTCATCGCGCTGATGGATGCAAGCGATATCGAGCCATATGAACTCGACAGGATCTGGATCTCGAAAGTTTGCCGGCAGCTTTGCGGCTGCACGAATAAGGTTCTTGAATTCTTCGGCCGTGAAATGTTTTGGGTCAACTCTCGGGATTGGCCATTCATCCCCGTCTATCGAGATCGGCACTGGCCGAACATGAGGTAGCTGTTCCCCGGAAAGTCTCCAACGGCCCCAGGTGTATGTAATAGCATTGTATTTCGGCTCCTGGACGCTGCCGTATACGTTTCCGGGCTGCCAGGCGTGGGATGTGAGGGTGGGAACGTGGAGCAAGCGACGCGGCCAATTCCCAAGAGCGCGTTCTTCAGCTTCCAAGTCCATCGAGATGGCTAGCCAGTTTTTTGGAGAAGGGAGACAAGACTACTAATAAGAACGTGCGAGCTTTTCCACGAGGCAGAGTGGCAGGTTCCGCAGCCCTCGCTAAGCCCACTACACAGCCTCCGCTTAGGTAATCTCGCAGCTTTTACTTTCAAGCTGCAGCGGTCCCGCCTCAGCCTTGCACCCACTTTCAATATCTCCAGTTCTTCCAGAAAGTTGGTCGCCAAATTCGGTTCAGTCGGGTGAGTGCCCTGCATAGGACTATGGCCCCTAGCCAGAATCCGGACTACCCGGACTACCACGAAACCGACCCCGAGGATATGAGAGTCGATCCAGCTTTCGATAACGACTCTCGCTGGCCACGACGGCTTCTTCATATTTCCACTTTAAAGTCGTATCCGTGGCGGCGCGGAAACGTTTACGGCGGCAAGAAGGAACCGCGCTACTTCGCAATCACGTACACCTGGGGACGGTGGCAGCTCGCGGCTGATAGCCACCCTTCCTTGAAATCTCTCGATTTTGGGACACCTTGGCCGATTCCGCGAGTAGATCCGACTCGATTTACTCCGGAAGACTTCGTCAATCTCATCCAAAGTCTGCCAGTGCATCCGCCCCGCCCGAATAGGCTCCGAGCAGCCTACGTAGAAGAAGTCGAGTTTGTCTGGCTAGACGTAGCATGCATCGATCAGCGAACTGGTTCTCGCGAGAAAGAATTGGAGATTGGACGGCAAGCAGCTATTTTTAGCGGAGCGCATCAGGTATTTGCTTGGCTACATCGGTTTGGAAATAGCGAAGCACAGGAATACTACCAAGAGTTTCGAGAGGGGTATAGCATCCTCCTAAGCTGTCTCAAAGATATGAAAGAGCTCCAACTGGACGAACAGAAGAATGTGTTACGAGAATTGGGCACTATGGAGTCTAGGATACACCGACAAGAAACTCGAATGATGGCAAGTAAGGCATGGGCAAAAGTGAGTGCTAGAATTGGGTTCCTCCGGAAGAAAATATCAGAGAGACCACCCAACCCGGAACTTCTTGAATTAGAGGAGAGAGCGCAGCGCCTGCTCCAGCTCGCGGAAACTAGTGCCATGTTTCAAAGCTCGACCAAGAAACGTCCAAAGCCCGGGCCTGTCCAGAAAGTCCAGGAGATGGTTTCCGATGTCAAGAAGCTCTCCATGTTGATTGAAGACCTCAAGCAAAGTATACACCTGATGATCGATGCTGCGGAGAAGTTTTCTTCGGAGCCGTGGTTTTCCTCTCTCTGGACCCTGCAGGAAGGATATTTACGACCAGACGCATTTCTAAGAGACCGAAATGGGGAACCTTGGATTTACACTCGATCTGAGGCACGCTTATTCGATTTTGTCGAACTATTTCACGAACTTTCGGAAACTCTGGCATCCTCCATCATTGTGGACACGCCGGCGGCAGACGAGCTTCGATCGCGAATTGGGAGATCTGGTTGCCTTGAATTAAAAAGCAAGCTCCCCACAATCCTTCTCAAAGCATCCCAGAATCGCACAGTGAATCCGGCATACGTCAACGATCGGGTCTATGGAATCATGCAGGTCTTCGGCTTCAAGTTGGGACGAGCAGCTCCCGATTGCCCTCCGGACGCTCAATATAGTCTCGATGATCTAGAAGACCAGCTTGGTGCTGCACTTCTGTCCCAGTCGCCAATCATGAGCCAGATGTTCTTTCACACTCAACCCGCGCCAGCGGGGAAGGGTTGGAGAATGAGCGCACACGTCGACATCCCTAAGCTAGCCGGCATGATGAACGCCTACTTGAACGCCCCATATTCAAAGGTCGAGTCGACAGCAGAGTTATCCGTCACGAATACTGGACGTGCCAATGTAGGCCACTTCTCGGGGATGGTTTGTAATCTAGAAACCTTGCATCGGATATGGACGAGATGGAACTACGCTGGAGACGAGGTTAGGATGGATTTCGACACTGTCGATTTTTCGGACAAATCGCAGTATGTCTCTGAAGTCGAGGCTTTGATGCTTGGAATATTCCGGTACGACCAACGCCCAGGGTCTGTGGCGCGGCTTCCAACAACGGTGGTATGCCTGTTGTTATTTCCTTCTGTAGATAAATCTCGGATCACGGAGTGGAGGCGACGAGGTCTTTGTTTCTGGAGCTTAGAGGACCCTTTTCTGAGGAGTCTCAATCTCAGTAACGAAGAGAGTGACTTGATGCATGGCCGCGGGTCGCATTGGAAACATCGGAGTGGGACCTTTGGTTAGACGGTTCGCAGAACAGCGGGAATAATGATACTCTTTCTCGGTCTACAAAATTTAATCCACATTTCTTGATATGTTTAAGTAGATGTGATAGACAGACAATAAGATAATAGAGCAGCTACGTCGGAAGTTTTCCGACGATCGGCTCCAGGGCTCGTCACTGATTGGCCAAAAATCTCCCATGGATCAAGCGAGGAATCCACCAGCAGCATCTAGGCAGCGATCATCCTCCCTTACCATCACTCAGACTAGCTGATATCTGAGCCTTGTTCCAACAACCCCGTACCTATACATTGCATCCGATAAGACGTCAAAGGCCGTAGCACAAATTACATCGAGGCGAACTACGCGCGGAATATCTTACCAACTATCTGGCGGACTCAGACATCATGGATACTTTTGGACCAAAACCACCCACAGACGCAGCACTTGGTAATATGGTCGAATATTTCCTAGGCCCAGTGGATCCTTCGAGCCTCAGCCTGCATAGCTTTGCCCTCGCAAACTGGTACCGCTGCAACCATTGCATGGCTGATTCCGCCTTTCGAGCAGAACTGTCGTCAATGCTCTCGGACACACAACAACGATCATATAACTTGCTGTTTGAATGGTGGACTGCAGCATACCAGGAGCCCAGATCCGCACTCTACGCCATATTGGAAATAGTATCGGAGTCGCAGGACCTGGAAGTCGTCATTGACGAAGATGAATGGAGTTGGACAGACCTGCTGCGTTTTCTGCAGCTGCGAGAATGGCCGAAAGACGATGCGTGTAAGCCGAGAAAAGTCGTTCCGAACTCCGCCGACTATAACGATGTCATGATGGAGTTGTACGAGGAAGAATTCTACCGCACACGATTCTCGGCGGATGCCAGACTGAGGAGGCTGAGGAAAAACGCCGCTGTAGCTGCATATGTGCAGAGAGCGGCATTTTTTTGCTATCATTCTCTGCACCAGGAGTGTCTTCTGCCACAAGCACATGTCGAAAGTCCAACGATGGGTGTATCTCCTGGTGACATGGCTACTAAGGCGACAGACCACACTGGAGATCAGACCCAGGCCATGAGCACGTCACTCACCATCGGACCTGCGGTGGAGAGCTGCGCCTGGTTGGATTGGGAGATAAGAGCAACAACCAACAAATTAGACCTCCCATACTATCTCTGGGATACAATGGAGAGTCGCACCGTAAAGTCTTCCGAACTGGTCCATGTTGTACCGTACACGGCTATCAGCCATACATGGGGCCGCTGGGCGGAATACGAAAAGCCAAAAGTGAGAGTCCCCGGCATTCCTTGGTCCATCTATCGTAACACGCAATTTGACGTCGCCTCGATTCCGGAAATGCTCTCGCGCGTCCCTACTAGCGACCCCACCGACGCGAGAGGAGGAGCACGATATGTATGGTTCGATTTAGCATGCATTCCCCAGGATGACCAGGACCCAATAAAGAGCCGGGAGATTGCGCGGCAGGCCAAGATATTTAGGTGCGCCGCGCACGCAGTGGCGTGGTTCCACGACGTTGACAACTTCTCTACATTACAAAGCATCCTCCAATGGATGCTGCTTCAACTTTTCCTCGTACCTGTCATGGGAGATTCGGCAAGCAAAGCGACTTTAGTCACGGAGAGATTTGAGAGCTTGCGATCAGGGCCTTCAAACCTCCTTACACCTAGACAAGGTCCCTTCCGCTTCCAGGGAAACCTTGGCGTACCGAACGGCTGGTTCACCTCTTTGTGGACACTTCAGGAACTCTGTCTTCGGCCAGACATGTGGATGTGCTCTTCCGATTTTGCGCCATTCAGTATCCAAAAATCCACCGCCATGCCCTTGAATGGTTTAATAGCCATCTATCGCGCCTTCACCGCGCAAATCCTATCCTCTCTCGACCCTCTATGGAGAGACCTCGACCGTGAAAAGCAGCATCATGTTGCCCTATGGGAGTTTGATCATTGGTCACAAGAAACGGGCATGGATCTCCTTCTGGACATGCGCAGGGCTGATGTGCTTGCGCTCGGCGACAGGAGGGAATGCACGTCGCGAAGAGCAGAAGCAATCATGTCCGTCCTCGGGGTGACTGAGTGGTATAGATCCGGCCTTGCAGATGTAGGCGAGAGGGATATGGTATTAGACAAGTATCCGCTTGAGTTCGTGCGGGAATTGCAACGGAGCATGTCCGGAGAGATGTTCAGCGCCCTGAGTAAATTCCCTGCCGTCGACATGCGCAATCTGTCTGAGACTGTACATGAACCGGACCCCACGGACATCCATCTAGCTACCGAACGGGTGGGGCCTAGCAAAATTGGAACATTACTTCCTTTCCATCGGACTGCCGTCGAGTATATACCGGTTCGCTCATGGGCATCGCCAGGATACGAAGCGTTCGAATCTCACTCCGCGGTGCAACACTGGCGAGTCAATACCTCAGGAACGATTTATGTCCCCTCAGCGTGCATCCTTGCAACATCTGATACCTCAGTCTTCGCTCCAGAGCAGACCATTCAGGTCCGATTCTTTGGGTTTTTCATGTCCATGGCGTCAGCCCTCATTCCAGTGAGCGACGGGCGCGGGTACATCGACCTGCAAAAGTGGATCAAGACACGGCCGTACTTAGCATTCGCTGTCGTTATTATGTTCAGAAGAAAGGCGGATGAATGTGACTATCACAGGGTGGACCAAGTTATGGGTGCTTTGATTGGGGGACCGGATAGTGGCAGCTTGCGAAAGATTGGGAATTTCGTTTCGGATCCAATTGATCAGGAGGTATTCCTACCCGCAGTTACGCCTGTAGAGTGGGCTGTACACTAGACAGTAAGTATAAGACGTATCACCCCTCATTCGAGAGCAACCTCGTGGGATGGGGCCCCAAATAACTGGCTTGTGGCTAAGAGCTTCCGCGCTCCCTACCAGTGAACAGGGTAAAAAAATACCTAGGTAGTCTTACCTCACGGTTTTCTAATAGGGCGTACAAGCTCGTCCTCAACTCTACCCATGCAAGAAAACGCTGGGACCGAAGCGCCAAGAGTGTATTCTTCAGCTCCCAAGCCCGTCGAGACGGCCGATTTCGAGAAGGCGATGAAGAATGCCAAGAGTGTGATGGGCAGGCGACTTTCAGCCCCGCAGCCCTCGCTAAGCTTGGTTACACAGCCTCCATGGCTGCCTATTCCTGCCTCGCACACAAACCCCACCTCATGCCTTACAAGACAAACTGCTTCCGGAGCACGTCACGAATCATGTCCCCAAATGGAACTGTTGGGAGCGAATACGAGAAGATCTATAACCTAGCGGGAACGTCTAACTGGCAGGCCTCGGTCTCCAACTGGTATGGCGCTCTTACGGTGTTGAGCCGCCACGACGAACGCCTCAGCTTTCTATCCAGGCTATCCACTGCGCAAGCTGGATCACTTCGTTTGCTTGAAGAATGGTGGTATTTGTACGACGAAAGCACTCGGTCTGCTATTGTTTCGTACGACAACTTTCCCCTCTTTAAAAGACTGGATCCAGCTGCTGCCGATTATCGCTACAATAAGCTGCTATACACCTTATGGGTTTGGGAGTTCACCACTGTCTATCGCAATGCGAAGCCGGACCTGGTCGAAAGCAGAAGGACGAATCTTAGATACGTCCGACAAACTGCAGCCGAGGCTGCTGCGGTGCATCGAACGGCCTTGGCAGCCTACGCATATGTCAAATACGGCGCAGCTCCATCTACCAGCTCGGATTCCTCCAAGATCCATCCCTGGGTAAAAGCTCGGCTGGAGGCTCACATCTCCGCACGCATAGCTCCCTTTCCGTTCTTAGGAAAGACCCGCCCCGAGAAACAATACCCATACTACCTCTGGGACAAAAGAGAAGGACGCACCGTACATTTCGACGCCAATGACGAGTTTCCGCCTTACACCGTCATCAGTCATACTTGGGGCCGTTTTAGAATCCCTGGCAAGGAAGTCGAGTTGCCAGACCGTGTGCCATGGCCGCTGCCGTGCCTGGATCCCGCTTATCTCTTCGACGTCCAAGACCTGCCAGACATATTGTCACGATTTCCAATTCCTACTCGATACATCTGGTTTGATCTCGTTTGCATTCCTCAAGATGGCCGGCCACTTCAAGCTATCGAAATAGGACGGCAAGCAGGCATCTTCATGGCGGCGAAGTTCGCAGTCGTCTGGCTTAATCAGATTCGAGGATGGGATGGTCTTCGCTCGGCCGTGGCTTGGGCCGCGCTGGAGTACCTGAGCCAAGATCGAGGGGATAGGTACGGAATCGCAACGGAGCTACCACGCATCAGAGATGCTGCATCTCAGCCATCCGGTCTCGCGATACCGGCACGAGCGGAGGACGAGGGCACTCCGGAATGTCCGTGGTTGTTTCAGGACCAGGACGATAAAACCGTAACACCGGACCGGTGGTTTACGTCACTTTGGACCTTGCAAGAAGCATGTCTGCGACCGGACATGGTGCTGTGCGATCGGGACTGGACCATGTTCACGATAGGCGGAGAAGACCAAGTGCCGATCCTGTTGGACCATTTGGTCGCACTTTTCGAAAGATACGGCACCCCGAGGCACGTGCCCGCGGCTGTACACGAGATCAAGGTCCTCTTAAGCTCGAGCAGTCTGTGGACGCTTGTCGAACTGTTCCCACTTGACATTCTCACCCATGGTGAGATGAGATATTGCGCCGATACAAACCGAGCCGTGGCGATCATGTCGGCCCTCGGAGTCACAGATTGGTATACGCGCCGTTCATCAGTCCACGTAGAGCAAGATCCCAAGGATCTGGTGCTTGGGAAGTATCCATTATCTTTCCTCCGGGAGTGCCACAGCCGGTTCGGGGCTGCGTTCTTCGCGTATATTGATGTAGCGGTTCTCCAGGAAGTCTTCTACGAGGCTCTATCACTGGACAAAAGCGTGATAGATGACCTGAAAGGATCGATGATGCCATTTTCAACCGGTTTTCAGCATCCCAAATACCTGCACGACAACTGCAAGTTCATGCATGCCGAAGATCACCCCGCTGTGAGTGGATGGATGATAGAGCCGGAGGGGTCGGTACGAATATCGCAGGCAGGGATTATTGCATCATGTTCGAATACCGACGTGGATGGGTGCGATCGCCATCGGCCGAAGATTGAAGTCGATATAAGACCGCCTCGGAAGGTCACCAACTTGGGCAAGTCGTTCGACGACCTAAACGATTGGATGCGAGCATTCCGGCCAAAGTCCGAAAAGCATGCTGTTTGCCTGCTGCGAGGCCTTACGAATGACAGTTGCGGTGGAGTCGTTCTTGAACGGGTGCAACCGGAGAAAGACGAATATGTAAATGTGGGGACATTCTTCACAACGGGGTACTCCGAAGGACATCCGCGTCCCCAATTTTCGTTTCCGGAGAGTGTCGCGGTCAATTGGCTTGTTCTTTAGTCGTGGCGATTGTGTTTACGGCTTCATCTTTCCCACTCCTTCCAACATAACCGAAGACGCCTTCACCTGCTGCCCATTCCGGGCCTTCCCCTTCAAACAGGCCTCGCTTCGCTGACCTTACACGCAGCATCCACCACTGGCATAGGCCGACACGTCCCCAGATTCCTGGCTCATGCTCCACAAAGATTAGACCCAGTGCGTAGTTTTGGTCTCTTCCGTGCTCCAATTCCACCCCAAGGAGCAATACCTCAACAGAACGAGGACTGTAAGTCTGGAGGAGCCACTCGATAAATTGAGCTGTACGTTCTCCTTGGGGAATCGGTCCGTATTTCGGGAGATATTCGTGTTGGGCCTCGGGACTGGTATGGAACTCCTCGGTTATATCCGGGAACACGTCGAGATGGTGTTGTCGCGCCCGATCGATGTCATCGGCGAGGAAAGCGACTTCTGAATTGGTCACCATCCAGTGGAATGCGTCAGCCAGCCGCTTCAAAGAGATTGTTGGACCTTTCCAATGAACTGGATGTGGTCCTGGACGACAATGGTCCACCCAAAAGGAGCATGGCGGTGAATAGTTTCGGCTTCGGTTCGAATTGAGCTTCAACAGCTTCGTAGGGACCACAGACCGGGCGTTCATCTTCCAGCAATCCCTGAGTGGCACGGCCCGCAAGAAGACGTGGGATTGTGACAAGAACGGCTCAGTGATAAGGAGGTTCTCACCTAGCTGATCCTCCAATTCTTGAAGCGTAAAGGTCTGATTAGGTTCAGAACGTAGTGATGAGTTTCCTAGCCTGAACCCAAACACTTGCTGTATACCGTAGACCCGATCTACGGACACGGAAGCATTTCGGAGCGTTGCGGCGCCAAGGAGGGCCATGGAGTTCCTCGCTCGCAGCGCAATCAGCCCTCTCTCATTTATACGATCTCGGATTTGGGTCCATATGCTAACTCCTGGTTGGAGAGCAATACGCTGGTTGCAGAAACCTTCGCAGTTTACGCCATAAACGAGGATATCTCGAAGAGCAAGGATAGTTTCATCACCATACACATCGTACACGATGAGTCGCCCAGGTTGGGACAGGATGTATGCGTCAGGTCGGAGATATGCCTCCTGGAGTGTCCACAAGGAGGAAAACCAGGGATCGCAGAGAACGTCTAGAAAGCCAAGCATGGCTGTAATGACGTTTGGGAGCGTCTCTTCCGTGTGCTGGGAAGGCTCGAGCCACAACCAGTCAATGTTGCCGAAGTCGTGCTCAGATCGATCCGAAGGCATGGTTGTCATCCAGATGAATACGGTCTGGGCGCCTTTAAAAATGGCGGCCTGTCTTCCAACTTCAGCAGCCGACCTTGGCTCTGATTCTCTCTGGTCGATGCACGCAATGTCCAGCCATATAAAGTCCACTGGGCGCATTTCCTTCTCTGGACACAGAGTTGCGGCGGCATGGATGACATTGCGAAGCTGCGGCATGGTAAAGTGGCTTGGATCCATTCGCGGCAGAGCATGCGCCCATTCGACTCCTTTGACCGGGAGAGGTCGTACTTCGGGAGCCGCCCCAGCTTTCAATCTCCACCGACCCCACGTGTAGCTCAAGGCGTTGTTATGGCGGAGCAGCTACGCCACCATAGACATTGCCAAGCTGCCACTCGTACGAAGTGAGCGACTTGACATGGAGGAGGCGACGTGGCCAGGAACCCAGTGCAACTTCCTCTTCGTCTAGTGAAGCGAAACTCATGGTACAGAACGGCGAACGAGAAGGGCGTTGCGAGAATTGATGCGCCGATGCCTGAAGGGCGACATACCAGGTGTCGCTTTTATTAAGAGTCCGTGAGTATTACGCTAACCAAATCGAGTATGGTCGTTATCCAAGGTTTCATGCGTTACCGCCCCGTGCTTCGTCATGCGTGGTACCCTCAGCGAGGACCCGAGCCACCACAATTTGGCACCTTTTTCTTTGGCCTCAATCGGCCGCTCCGAGAGAAGGTGGAAAGACGGGCAAATGGTCGCCTCCATGACGGCGCAGCGGTGGAGCTACACCGACCATGAAACGTGGCGCGTGTCGCGGAATAGCCGAAACTCAAGTTGGACCGTGGCGCTAAGGGGCTCGCGCCGTTCCTCCTTCAAATCATGTCTTACTCAGCTCCGCCCGCCATATAAACCGCCGTCGCCCTCAGCAGACGCGCAGGGACTTGTAGCAAATGCCCCGAGCCTGAGCTAGCATTTGACCGGACATTATGGTCGCGATTAACGTCCCACCAGCTCACGGGTCGCGTAGAATCATTCCACACACACCAGAGGCGGGCGATCCGTACTTTATCGGAAGCTGTTATGAGCGGTCTACAGTTGCGCGGGAGTGGGAAGTCGAAGATACGTGAGTACTGGACACGTCTCACGCGCACCTGACGGACTGACCGCTGCTCAACCAGAAAGCTACCATATCTGACCTTTGTAAAGTCCTTATCAGATTCGTGGAAGCCGCTGCGACACCTTGCGGACTGGATCGAAGTCGGCACCACGCCGTTACGATGGAAGGATATGAAGGCAGTCCCGAAGGAACGCAAAGAACGAACGCATCGAACCAACGTCACCATGGTCGAATTCTCCCACACGGACCATCCGCGAACATTGCCTATCAGATCGGCGAAAGCTCTCAAAGAAACCCTCGCAAATCTCTCCAGTACTCCCTCCGAACAACCTTCCATGCGTTTGTTCTTGGTTGAAGACCTGTCGCAGCAAGTCGTAGAACAGCTTGGGTCGAGATTCGATGTAGATCCGCTCTTCTTTCGCGAGCAGATTGCCGATTACTCGTGGTATAATACACGCGATCCATGGGCAATGGCTCCCAACTTGCTGGCAGCTATGAAGCACCGCCAGTGGTTTCGCATCCGGAACGTACGCCTTCGCTACTTCACCTCGGATGAATCGTTTCAGCGCGCGCGAGACGAGTCCAACACCTTCAACGTGCTTCGTAGGCCGGATGACGATGATAATCACTGGCTGTACCTGGATGCTCCTGGGTCAATTGTGACCATTACGAGAACGCGGACCACGGTCTGGGTTGGCAAAGACAAGGCCAACGCCAACGGCACGGTTGCTATCGCCCTCATAGACCCTACGGTACAAGAAGGCTCGCCATTATGGTATGGACACACGAATTGGTTACCTACACCGAACTCCCAGCTCTCCGCATCTCCCAAGGCTCTCTTGCATGATACTCTTTTCGAGACGATAAAAGAAGCCACGCTATCCTATCCGTGGTTTGACGACCCTTCACTGGTCTCGCCGTCCGACCAGGGAGCCCTTGTACTGCCAACAGTTTACACCCTTTGTGCAGAATGGCTCGTAGTTTGCGATTATGTGAAAGCACGCTTGGGTCAGATCGAATGGGAGCTGGAGAAGCCGAATCGGTTCCGTTCAAAGGGAGACATCATCGACAACTCACTCCATCGCTTGCACACCTGGCGCCGGGTGCTGCCCGTTTTTCGAGAAATGGTAACTGAGACGCTAGAACAAGCTCTTCCGGCCGCCGCACGACTCACCTCCCTATCCCTACCCCATGACAACGCCGAGAACGACGCGTTTGCGGATATTATCGCCGACTATCGACGTGTTCTTAACGCTCTTAACGAGCTGCAGGCTCGGGTCGATCGGCTGACATCGGTCGTCACGTCGGAAATATCGATCGAAGATTCGCGGCGCGGTCTACAGGAGAATCATAACCTGGCTCGGTTAACTTGGCTGGCCACCACCTTTATCCCTCTGACTTTTGTCTCCGGACTGTTCAGCATGCAGAACGACATAAGCACCATGAAGACGACGTTTGGTTGGTACTTTGCGGCAGCGCTGCCGCTGACGCTTATAATACTGGTGGTGGCTGGAAAGGCAGGCGGGGTCCAGAGGAAAAGAAAACTGGGCGCTGGCGGACCTGGGCATGAGCAGAGGGCGAAGCGGTAGCTTGGAAGCGCGCAGTGTGAGAGAGACTGATGCCTTAGTTCGATACGTCATGACTCGGATATGGGTACCGGTGAGGATGCGTATCCATCCTTCTTAGCGATCCTTCCAGCACCCTGCGCCCGCATCATCACGCTGAAAGTCTGGCAACTTCGCCCTTCGTCTATTCTGGCGAGTGCTTTGCTCTACGGGGTTCCACCGGTGAAATCCTATCAATTACCATATGTGCAAGTCGAGACTGGTTTTCCTAATTGCGCCGTCGACTTGTCCGAGGATTCTGCCACGCCAAGGCAGCTGCTAGTCCAGCAAGCGTCTGGATGCTCTAGACCTTTCTCTCTGGTGTGTTCGCGTCTTGTCAGGCTCACCGCGTGGAGCGTGGCTGCCTCGTAGAGAAAAGTTGGTTAAGACGGATCACGTTGTTAAACGGCTCCTCTTAAGCACGCAAGCACCTCAACCGAGTGAAGCTTTACATGATCATTATGACCTCCTCAGCGGACTACGACCGCGACCTGACTTTGGAAGGAGTATTGAAGTGATATCTGCCTTACCATGGTCACTTATACCGCTAGCTACGCCCCGCATTAGCCCTAGGCATAGACCATGGGATTCGCCAAGCAATGCCCAAGCAGCTGCTACGGCACTCTTTCTCAGGTCGTGCTCCAATGTCCGAAAGTAGCAGCAGCTGGACGAAGCTCTAGGATGATCTTCACCGGATCACATAGCTTCCTTGGTGTTCAGTGGGCGTCTTAGTGCCTGAATCCCATATGGTAATGAAGGATTGCGATGTTGAGAGCCAGCGAGATCTGCCCCCTCCGAGGCAGAAACTCAGCCCTTGACACTTGCTATGTTCTGTTCAAGATTTTTGTTGTAAATCGAAATGGGGAACGTGAGAACGTGAGACAGACCGCCCATCCTAAGTCGTGAGGCTGAGCATCATGGAAGGTATTAGAATACCCGGCTCTCATTGGCCAATGGTCTCGCCCTCAGCTAGATGGCTGACGCGTGAGCAACGGCGACTTCCGAGTATGCATTTTGCGCAGATGGGGCCCAGGCTCACCGCTCCCATGAGAAAATTCTACAGGCGTCGTTGTAGGATTGTATACACCTTGGTGTGATCTGCCGACCACGCATGGAGCACGCGGCTGGCGATTCGTTAGCGTTGCCGGGTTGTGCAACTCCGCCTCCCGCCACTGACGAGCGGCCCCTCCACTACACAGCCAGCATTCGCCATCGTGAACTCAGGCCACAACGATGGTTTTCCTACGCCTATAAAGCGGCTCGTAGGGGGCAATTTCCTCTTCACGCAATCACAGCTTCATCCTCTTTCATCACATCCACACGCTTGCTTACCGCCATGGTGTTTGAGCATGTCAGCGACGCCCAAGCGGCCGTCGCCGTCGGTCTCCTGACAGTCCTTGCGGGCTATATCGGCTCTGATATTGCTCCCGATACCCTCATCGAGCGCATGCTGTGGCCTCAACGATCGAACAACGGCTTTGGCGCGCGGAGCACTCTCAAATATGCATGCCTCTTGCCCGCCGGAGGGCCATTGCATCGACTCGCACTCAAGACGATGGATACTTTCTTCAAGCATTCGCTGCATAAAGGAGCTGGACGTGGGCACATGCTAGGCACGGCCTTCTTCCCCGACACCGGCATCGCGTACAAGATGCATCCGGGCAATGGACAGCCGGCCGAGGACGAGCTGGTGAGGAACGGGCTCCTAGTCCGCATCCTCAAGTGTATCCCATACATTGCTTCAGATTCGAACGATGACCAAGCAGCGACAACCCGAGTGCGCCAGCAGATTACAGTCAGTCATTTGGAGCTATTCAACTTCGAGACCATCCCTCCCCAGGGTGCCATCACCCTAGATGACGACGTCGTCAATGCAAAGACTCTATTCGCTATCGTAGCTACAGAGCTCCCTGCTATTATCCTGGCTCTTTTGGTATCCGCCACTTGGAGCTCCCTTGCCGGCCTTTTATTCCTCGCCCCGTTGGTCCTAAAAGTCGTTGCCGCTCTGACGACCATCGAAAGAGAAGACCTCATCATCCCGCACGACCGCGAAAAGGCTTCATGGGACGACGTAGCCATGCATCCAAAGTTTGAAATTCACATTCCGGGCGAAGGGTTCCAGGTTGTGTCGGGTCCCGCTGAGCTCGTTCTCCCCTTCTTCCGCCACTACGGGCATCCCATCCGCTGCCGCTGGCGCGAGATTACTCAGATGCTCATAATTGCTGCTACAGGCTTCTGCTACCCGACTACAGCTGCGCTTATGGTCCTTTTCATGCCGCTGCAGGTTCAGACCGTCTGGGCGGCATACCAGGTTTACGTGATCTTCGCCATGCTCGCGGCTCGATACGGCGAAGGCGAGCTGTGGGGAACCACGGAGGAGCGCGTCGGAAAAGCTCTGGTGGAATCTGAAAAGTACGCCGGAGAAGGCATGGTGGTGCTGAAGAATCGAACCGGGGAGATGGTGGGCATGAGACTGAAGCGGACAGTGCATGGAAGCTATTCGGCTGGCAAAACCCAGGTTGCACGCATCGTCTCGAGTTAGGAGGCAAAAGGTCACTCCCTCGTTGGTGGTGTATCTTTTTTCATGGTCCATGGTTTCTTTCCTCCTTTCCTGTACTGTAGGCAGACAGAGGCTCTTCACTTTACTGCTCAGTTGCCACTTTGTTGAGGATATCTGTCATCATGAGAATGTTCATACCAGTCACCAGTCACATAAATTCTTTCCCTTTTCGTTTCGCACCCTGTTAGGACAAAACGGAGGGCTTGCTCTAGAAAGAGAATTTGCAGCTAAAACCTTTGCTACCAAAGGCACGACACTCACTCGCTTCGTCTTCGCACTTTGACAGCTTAGGACTAGCGCATTTTCTCTTTTTGCGGGCTTGGTAGTAGCAGTATGCTGTATCACATCCCAACCACCCGTTGACCTCTATCCACTCACCACCACCAGAATTTTCCTTCCACGGTGAGATATTATGACCTCACTTCCCAAACATTGGACTTCATTCTGGGAATTTCCCCAGGCACAGGCTTTTACACCACCCGCGGCATGGAACCGAATCACGAGGCACCACTTGATCCTAATGTGTTCTGTCTCTATCCGTGGCTTTTCCGTCTTTACGGTAAAGAGAGCGGATACATTGAAGCGGCTACTGATGAACCCGACTCTTTACCGATCCTCGCAGGTCGAAAAACCGGACATGACACACCCAAACAGCCTCGATTACCGCAAGGCCGTCAAATATATCCGTCCAGGCTCGTCAGCCCGTATATGAAAGTCGAAGCACAAGACCGAACTCTAGCAGTGCCCGAGTATACGGTCATATCCTATACGTGGGGGCGGTGGATGCTAAAGGACAGAGGCCAGGACACGACCCTGGCTGGATGCCACTGGAAGATCCCAGCCACGTCACTGTTCTCCAGGCAGCAACTAGAGACAGCTGCCTTACATATTTCAGGCGGTCACCATTTCTGGTTGGACGTGTTTTGCATTCCTCAGGATGACGATGACCCCGAGAAAGCCCGCGAAATTCAGAAACAGGGCGATATCTTTGCGAACGCCAGCCGCGCAGCAGTCTGGCTATGTTCGGGAGGGGAAGACGTTCTACGGGACATTTGCTCGTGGACCGATCCTGATTTTGTTCGACCAGCCCTCAGACTAGCGCCGACTGCCGAAAACCGAATGGCTGAGGAGACCACGCGTCGTTTGCGAGTTATCCGGTCCATTCGAACCGCAATCCCGTGGACGACATCTCTTTGGACCTTACAAGAGACGGCTCTCCGACGAGACGCAGTTTTTCACGATCGAGACGGCGTGATAATAGCACATCCGGAGACGGGACTGCCTCTAATCGTGGACGACCTCGTACGATCGATGACCCAAATCGAGATCGAACTGCGCATCTTTTCAACCATTACAAGCTGGATGAACGCCGAGGATAGGGAACTTTTTGATTCGGCAACACAGGATGTTCAAGCGATAGCGATAGGTCACCTCGACAACATGAACGCGCGGGAACTGTATCTGGCGTCGCGCTACAGGGTGTGTCAACGCGAGCATGACCGTGTCTACGCGATCATGAATGCGCTAAGCGTATCCATCCCCGTCGATTACAAAGCGCCTGTCGAACTCGTGAAGAGGGAATTCAATCTAGCACTGTGGAGAAAGTATCCAGCAGAGATGCAAAGCTACCTTACCGTTCTTACCGAGCCACTGGACCTCTCCTTGGAATTCGGCTTAGCGAAGCGAAGTCTTTCGCAAATGCGCCAGATGGTCGATTGGACCAGTTCAGCCACGATATTTTCGGACTTCACGAGCGATGGCTACTTTGTCGTGAGCGGTGCGCTGTTTCTACGACCCGCTGATATCGACGATATTTGCGATCGCATCACTGGTTGGTCGGCCGCTATCTGCTTTGATGACCGCGGCCAGGCTCGATCTCCTCTTCCAGAGCACGTGAAGATCCAACAACGGAGGACAGCCGCCAACCTGAGATGTATTGCTGATTTCAGGCCGATAGTTTTGATCCCGTTGGGTCGACTGGAAGCCACTTCACACACTGGACCGAACTTCGCTTATGTTCTCTGCATAAGCAACAAGGTGGAACAAGGGTCAAAATTTTTACTTTCTAGAATCGGGCTCTTGGTTGTGAAGGAGGCTCTCGTTGCTCAGAGTATGGAGATGTCGCTACCGGCACTATTTCGACCCGATCTCTACGACACATAGACAGTGTTATGACATCTCTACGGCAGTGGTTCAAGAAACGTTTCAATCAAAAAAATCACGACGGCGGCTTAAACTCGATTTATGGATAGCAAGAACTCTTACGAGGGTTTAGAGGGTCGTTGCCGCATCCCCTGCCCTTGTGGAGCCTCCTCTGTACCGAGCTCCGCGCGTTCCCAGATCGAGGCGGATTCATATCCATGTCTGACAGAGTCGGCTTCAAGCGCCTGGGTCTTTATTCCGTCTTCGATCTGCTCGTCTTCAGGGTCAATGCTGCCGTAGACAGTGCATTCCTCGTCGAGCAAAAGAGGCGATCGGACTTCCCGAAGGATGCGATTGTCTGTCATGATTCCTGCGCCTGCTATACCGCGATCACGGTAGGGGCGTTCCAAAACATTTTGTTCCGGAGATTGTCAGTACAACACTCGATCCGGGATCGCCTCCACAGCGCGAACCGGTGAACGGTGAAGCGAGAATCGCTCTAGGGCTCGCTTACCCCACCTGTCGGCACAGCCCCAGCCTTCAGCTCCTCCCTCCTCCTCTAAGAGGCCCAATCACCAACTACGTCGCCCAGTAGTGCCCTTCATGCGCAGGCTCACCACCATGCATACCGAGGACGATCTAGCGTTGAGGCGATTCGAGCCACGTCACCGGCCTTCATGCACGGTGGATCCTTCGCAAATGCGCCTCGTCCGAATTTGGGGGCCTAGAGCGCGAAAAGCCGCGCGACGTGGGACGAGGATCGAGGACCTTTTTGGGCGCCTCGCAAGGCTCAATTAAGGCTCTTTATCCTCGAAAATGCGTCAGTTATGGCGTTCCTATAACCTGAACGAACCTAGGCTTGTATCGCCTACGCCGCTTCTCTGCGCCGGCAGCCAGCTGCATCTCACCTACTCAACGCATCTTCTCGCGCATAGTCGCTGCCCATGAGCTTCATTCCACCATGACCTCGGAGACTTCCAACGCCCTGAATGCTATTGGTACCTTGATTGGTTACATCGGCACCGAAGTAGCGACAGATGACTTCTTCGACCGGCTGCTTTGGCCCCGGCGCTCGTACAATGGATTCTCCTGGGGGCATATTCCAAAGGTTGCTCTGCTGATGCCCATGGGTGGACCACTCCATAAGGCGGCACTGTCCACCTTGGATGACTTTTACAAGCACGGCCTGTACGAACGACACCAGCAAGGACATATGCTCGGTACGTCTTTCTTCCGCGACACGAAGCTGAGATACAGGGTCTATGGGGACGAGGCAGGGTACGAAAATGAGTACGTCCGCAACGGACTCTGGGTCAGGGCCATTATCAAAATGCCCTTTCCAGTGTCGACTCGGAAGCAGGGCGGAGAAGAGTGCGGCGAAATATCAAAAGTGGTGCCCAAGGTTCGACAAAAGATATGCGTAGGCCACCTGGAGTTGATGGAGCTTCCAGTCAAGGAGAAGGTCTCCATGACAAGCACGGTTTTCGATGACGCGGGCCGTCCTACACTACGAACATATCTTGCATTGCTCACTACTGAGCTCTCGGCTATTGTGGTCTCCATCACTGTCGCAGTGGCTTGGAGGTCCGCCTTTGCTTGCTTATGGTTGCTTCCACTGGCGTTAAAGTTTATCAGTGCTCTGCTTGCACTGAATCGAGAGAAACTAAAGGTTCCTTCTCCACTGCCAGCAGCATCGCCGCCATCAGCAAAGCCAGTACCGCAAGGCAAGCCCAGCCTATTCGGAGTCAGGAATCCTGCTGGCGGCTTCGTACTCGTCGACGCCGACGAATCAATAGCCCTTCAGTTCTTCCGCCATCACGGCCACCCCGCTAGATCGAAGAACCGCGAAATCATTCAAATCGCCATAGTGGTAGCGTTTACCCTCGTCTTCCCGATCGGCCTTATTTGCTCGACTTTGTGGATGGGAGATGCTTTGCAGAAGATGTGGGTTGGGTACCAGTTATACGCAACCCTCGCCATGTATGTATATCGGTACTCAGGGGGGCATCTTTGGTGCACAACGGAAGAACAGATTGGCGAGGCCTTTGCAAGGTCAGAGAATGGAAATCAGGAGGGATCCAGTCTTGTAATGTTCAAAGCGGACGATGGCAGTGCAATAGCTGCAAAGCTGGAACGGACCTGCCATTCGCGATACGGGGAGGCGGTGGAGTACGTGGAGAATTTCATCCAGAAATGGCAACAGAGGAATTTTCCAGCGAGTTTTCCTCCAGAAACCGGAGTCTGTTCCGGTAAGGAGAGTAGAAGTAGCTCTTCTGGAAGCGACTTCATAGAGAGACGGAGGACAGATGACTGGTCATGAAACCAGTTGCTATTTATTCAATTCAACGGAAACGAAAGTACCACCCGAAGGCGACTCGGATCCCTAGTAAGAAGGTTCCGTGAGCATAAATGAGGCGTATAAACCATTGCCATCACACTCGCACGCATGGTTCGGCAAGACCAAGGAGTTGATTGATTATTTCGATAGAGACCCCTGGTTTACCTCTCTTTGGGAATTATCAAGAAACGATCCTTTGCCCGTCGGCGACAATTATCTTTCGTGACGCGCCAACGTCCGAGTTGGTCCCATGCACAAAACATACCTGCACTTAGCATAGAGTACATTCCCGTGACTTCCAGATCCCCTTTTCATGCTCTAGATATCTCGTAGCCCACACGCAGATACCAAGGCGTTCCCACACCATTTCGCCATCCATGTCCGAACGTCGCGCAAGCAGGGCTACGGTACCCATACTCTCCGGGTCTTCCTCGTCCAACTCATCCGCATTCAACAGCCTTCCTAACAATAACACGTCCAACTCATCCCCAGTCGTCTCAAGTAACAGCTTGCAAAGTGCATTGTTGCTGTCATAGTCTTCTGGTGAAATGTCGCGTAGCGGCTCCGGCACATATTCATTTGAGAAATGTGTTTCGTCCAGGGCAATGTAATGACTAGCCCCCTCAACTCCCCAGAAGTGGTAACCTTCGTTGCGCGCAGCAGTCAGAGCCATAGATCTGCGAGCCGTCCCAAAGGGCTTGTCAAGCCTGCGAATTCAGGGCGACCCGAAGAATTCAGCTTGACCGAGCACATGCTGGCGGGAATCACGTCTGCAAATCGAAGACTGTGGGGGGATGCGAGAGTCTTGGCTAATACGCCAGCATTTCCCCTTAGGCGCTTGACGTGAATGAACAAAAAGCTGGGCCCAAATCGGCGAGATCGCGTTGATTTCCAAGGCGAACTGGCTTTCCAGTTCGTCAAGAGTAAAGGAGCTGGACGGATCGTTTGTTGCTCCGAGACGGAACCCGAAGACCTGCATAATACCATATACACGATCCAGCGGGTCTGTCGCCGTCCTGAACTTAGCGGAGTGGTAGATGGTGTTTGGGTTCTCCCATGCCCCCAGGCCTATCTTTTGGAGGACGGAATCGATCGCCTTTAGCGACGAGGCGAGAGTTGCCGAATCACCATGCTCCTTGGTACCCTGCTTGCTTAAAACCTTCCCAACATAGTGCTCGAACTCTCCCATGCATATGATTAGGTTTACCAGTGCAACATTTTCATATCCGCGCCTGGTTACTTGCGTTCCTTCGCGCGAGAGCAATATGGCCTCAGTCCGAAGAAAGGCTTCCTGTAAAGTCCAAAGGGACGAAAACCACGCATCGTATGTCAAGTGCGTGAGCACTCTTTGAATATCCTCGAGCATTTTAGGATCCTGGAGGCAGTGCGGAAGAAAGGTCTTGTGGCCGACCGAGATATCGGAGCCAGCATCGTCGGGCTCGTAGTGCACATCTATGCTACCATATCCATACTCTTCCAAGTCCACGGTAAAAGTCTCGTCCCCGTCTAGCTTATCAGTAAGTTGGAAGAGCTCGTTGCAAATCTTCTGCAAATCATCGCCGCTAGTGCCGTGTAGCCAGATGAATGCTGTCCTCGCGTTGTTGAAAATGCCTCCTTGGCGTCCGATCTCTTCCATTTTCATCTTGTAGTCTTCTTGATCAATGCAAGCGATGTCGACCCAGACAAATTCCACGCCCTTGCTCACCACCCCGAGCACCCTTTGAAACTGGGCAACGGTAAATCGCGCAGAGTCGATGGGCGGAATTGCCCACCTCACATTATGGATTTCGAGAGCAGGCCCGCATGGAAGCGCCCAGCGACCCCACGTATATGCGAGTATGTTATATGCTGGTTTGCGCACGCCATTGTATGTGTCGTCGCCAACTCGCTCAACGGATGTCATGGTGGGCACGTGCAGGAGCCGACGGGGCCATATCTTCATATCAAAGGCCCTGCTAGCGAAGAGCGGGTCCGGCATTGGTACCTCCATTTGTAGCTTGTTGCTTGGGTGGAATCTTGCTGGTTGTGTGTGCCTTAGAAACTCTCTGAACCAACTTCACACGCAAGAACCCCATGCGTGGTGGGGTAAACTGTCATGTGATGTGCCCCTCTAGCGCCGCAATACGTGTTCATCCCTTCTTGGGCAAAGCATCTTAGCCACGGCAAGGATAGGATAAGGGCTGCACGTGTAGATTAGATAGAGCGTACCTGGTCTGGGTCATCCTCTAGTGAACCTGGGTTGTACGGCGTGTTCTCGCGCCCGAACCTATTCCATCCTACCTAGGTAGCAACCTCTGGGCTTTCCGATATAACCCGTGTTCGATTTAAAGGCCAAACCGCTTATCATGGACATCGATGGACGCCTTGTTTACACCCGGAATCGATTGCTATACTGCAACTTAGAGGTCGCATGGCCACGGCGACTTTTACACATCCCCTCGATGACATCGGTCGAAAGACACGGGGCATGCACCTATTCGACGACAGAAGCTCCGAAGTATGCCATCATCACCTACACCTGGGGACGATTTCAAGCACCTGACGGATGCCCAGCCCTGCCCGTAAAAGGCACCACCTGGCAGATTCCGCCAGTGAAGGAAACCTGCTTTTCGGTTGAGTCGTTCCAGCGCGTGATAAACTGCATCGGCGAAAAATACGAGTGGCTTTGGTTGGATGTTGCCTGTATCGACCAAGAGAATGAAGACGTCAAGATGAGCGAAGTTGCGCGCCAGGTGGGCATCTTTCACGGGGCGATGGAGGCTTATGCGTGGTTGCATAGCTTGCATCCCAAAGATGCCGGCACCCATATCGGATTCCTCATGCATATCGCGTTCTACGACCCTTTGAGGCGAGTGTACGACTCGGACGATTCGGATGAAGACATTGAAGAGCGCGCGGAGTTGACGTTGGCTTACTATCGATCACAACTCGATTCCATCGCAGAGGCGCTACGTGCCATCTTCCGGGATCCATGGTTCACGTCACTCTGGACACTGCAAGAATCAATATTGCGCCGCGACGCCTTTTTTCTGTCTGCAGATGGTCTCCCAATCCGAAGTGCAGAAGAAGCGGAAAGTGGGTCCCATCGCCGGGGCGGTTTCACGATCGATTCGTTAACGGATTCGTGCCGTATGATATCGCGAGCCTTACAAAGCTACGCAAATCAGCACAGATTCTTGACGGAGGATGGGCAGAAAGTCGCAAACATCGTCTCGATGATAGAGAGAGTGGGACTCAGCTTCGCAGACGCCATGAATCCGAATGTCCAATATGGCGCCGCTAGGTTTCGAGAAACGAAGTATCCTCTAGACCGCATATACGGCATCATTGGGATATATCGGACAGTTATACCTGATGACTTCGAACTTCCGAAGCCCTCTGCAGCCACCTTCAATGAATTAGAGACCGCCTTTGCGACAGCTTTGAGCCGTGCCTCTCCTTGGCTTGCGCAGTGCTTTGTCCATCTCGAGCGCCCGGCGCTGGGAAGAAGCTGGTGCATCGCGCAAGCGAGCATTGTTCCGCAACAATTCAGAGACATCGACGCAAACTTGACCATGGCCGTACAAGGGTGCGTCATCCCGCGCGATTCCGGACTCGCGGCGGCAGCAGAGGGAAAAGCGTGTCCACTGGGGATTCTGTGGGCTTTCTGGACAAAAATGAGGGAAATAGGTTCGCCGTTCTTGACTGCTCAGACGGCTTATTATCTGTCCATTGCGTATGACTCGTGTGTATCGGATATGTGGCCCGCAAGTCTTCCGCGGCCACCGACGGGGCCGCTCGTGGAGTGGATTAACCCAGATATCCCCGATTCGGAGAACGACTTCAGAATAACTCAGCACCTGCTCCAGATCTCTTTGCCAAAGGACTTGTATGTGTTACATTTGGGTCACCAGGTACCAGCTTTGAGGTATACCGGCCCACGTGGACAAGACCCCCTGGAGGATCGCGCCGCGAAAATCTGCCTAATAGAAAGTACGAACACGAGCCATGGTGCAAGCGGAGACTGCGGAGAAGTTGTTGTTGAAGACGAGGGTGATCTTTGGGGACTGCAGTGGGAGCGGGCGTCTCGGCTTCCGAGGAAGGCTTTAGGCCTTATTCTGTTGCGAGACCATTCAGGTCTCTGGCGCAGAATTGGCATATGCAAGTGGACGGATAGTAGTGAAACTGAACACCATCTTAAGCACTGGAAATGTGAGCTGTACTGAGCGATATGATCTGACAAAATGCAAAACGTACTCCCATCACCTCCAGTAATCTTCTTGAATGGTCCACTCCTCTCCCTTTCCACCTAATATACGCTCGAGATGTCTTGCTTTGCAGATGTCCAAGTTGGTCTGCTCTACCTCAATCCATCGCAGCCATTTGCATACTCCGAGCCTTTCATAGTGGCCTAAAAGTAGTCCTCTTGGAATATACGAAGCTAGCAGGCACGCCCACATGCCTTGCTTATTTCACCATAAGCTCCTTTGAACTCTGTCCATCTACAAGCCACTAATTGTTGAAACATATCATCAAACTCCGTAAGTGTGCTTATCACCTTCCCCACATGAGCAGAATTAGTCTCCCAGAAGCACAGGCCTAAGCGTCTCCACCTCGCACGCGGTTGCCTCAATAGCAACACGCCATACATCCTGCATGACCAAAAGCCGCAAGAGACTCCTAAACAACAGACCAGAAGGTCATCCTGAGAATAGGTTTGAATGAGATAGCTTACAGGCGCATCTTGCTCATGCCCAGTATATGACCGTTTCGAAATAGTAGCTGACGTTTCTGTCGCGTCAAGGTGGATTTCGAGGAACGTTTTGACGTCTTGTTGGCTGATAGAGTGGATTCCTCCGTTCAGCAGTCTCGTTATTTCGGTCAGTTTATCAAAGTTAAGGGCTAATCCATGCATCAGGATAGACTTGGTGCCGCTCTTCTCTGTGACGACATCAAAGCAGCCACGGCCCGTCATGTTGCTAGATGTCTCATCCATGTAGCAGTTGAAGCAAGCAGAGCCGAGAGGGACGATTGAGACAGCATGCATGCGCCACTGCTGTGAAGTTTGTACAGGCTTCCGAAACACATGGTATTGGCTCGAGATCGGAAATTTGGCCAGCAACTTTTCCCCTAGCTGGTCTTCAAGATCGGCAAGAGCGTATTTGTGAAGGGCTTTTTCGGAGTCGGGAACCGAGCTTCCCAACCGAAGCCGGAAGATCTGCTGAATTCCGTAGACGCGGTCCTCTTCGCGCGACGTTTGCCTTTGGCTTGCGGCCTCGTATGTGGCGATTGGATTCCTCGTAGCGAGTGCGCGTATGCCCCGCCGGCCTATCAATTCTGCGATGCGGGCAAACTCCGAGGGGAAGTCGATGTGTGGCTGGTCTTCATGGAGGCGGAAGATCTTATCGCACAGGGAGAGGAAGTCTGAGAATCTCCAGGGATGGTAGGGTCTCATTGCGCGCGGCCAACGTACGAGCTTCGCATCGTTGGAGAGCAAGTATGCGTCCATGCGAATAAAGGATTCTTGAAGGGTCCACAGGGAGGAAAACCATGGGTCGATGAGGAGATTTTCTATTCGTGGGAGCTCGGCAACAATATGGGATATGGACGTCGGAATCTCGTGGGCAAAGAGATTCTCATCGGCTGGTTGCGATGTTTCGCCGTCGACACTGGCGAACTCACTCCACTCAGGGAGTACATCTAGATTCCACTCCTCGAACACCCGGTCGATCATCGGAGTCATCTCTGTTAATCGCCCGAAATCCTCTTCCGCCCACGTCGTAATCCAGATGAAGACGTGCTTAGCTCCATCGAATATAGTTGCCTGTCGTCCCACCTCCGCGGCAGATCTCGGCTCAGCCTCTCTCTGATCGATGCAAGCCACATCAAGCCATAGGAACGGGATATCCGCCAGTAACCTGCTCGGAACGTCTTGAAACTTCATCGGAGCCGCCGTCACCGTTTCCTCAATAACTCGTGTGAATTGGGCGACAGTGAAATGAGCTGGACTTATCCGTGGTAAAGGCCATTCCACTCCTTTGATCTCGATAGCTTGCACGCCCACTTCTTCGTAATTGCTGAGCCTCCAACGGCCCCAGGTGTAAGAAATGGCGTTGTATTCTGGCTCGGATATGTTGTTGTAGGTGTTGCCGGGCTGCCACTCGTAAGACGTCATGGTAGGGACGTAGAGCAGACGTCGAGGCCATCTTCCCAACAGATGCTCTTCGTCCGCAAGCTTGAGATTCATGCTCACAAGATTTTATTTCAAGATAGTATGGTTGGAGTTCAGAAAAGGCGTGATGTTCGTTGCAGCACCGCCTAGCGCTTCCCCGCATAGTCTAGCCCCATATAGCTTTACGTTGCACACTTGCGTTATAGATATAAGTTATTAGAATTTCTAATTAAATAATATTTCTATCTAAATTAGATGCTAAGGATTAGCTAGTCAGTCTAAGAATCTAGCTGTAATTGCCTCGCTTATACCTCGCTACGGAATAATACGGTACGAAAGCGTAACCGGCGACGTCATGGCGCGCTTCTGGCAACTCACTCCTCCGCCGAGCGCTCAGCTCTCATCCCCAGGTCGCACGCGTTCCCCAACATCCGCCTCTACTTGTCTGCCCGGCCAGCCATCATGTTCATGATCATGCCCGCTACGCGCAAGCCTGCCCTCTGCGAAGAACAGGTAGAAGAGCGGCGCGCACGCGTGAGGAAGGCGTGCAACCGGTGCCGCATCAAGAAATCCAAGTGTGATGGCCACATGCCCTGCGCGAGATGCCAACGCGACAAAGTTGCTTGCACAGCCGATCGCGGGCCATTGGATCGCAGAGAGCTGTCGCGGAGGTGAGATAGCGAGTCTGGTGCGTCGAGGCTGTGAACAGGCCGGCTGATCGCGTGCGCAGCTACATCTCGTCTCTGGAGCAGCAGCAGATATCGCTGCTCAATGCCCTTCACGAACTGCACCGCCGTTTTCCGACCGATAGCAAGATCCGAAACGTCCTAGGGCAGCTCGAGGCAAGCGGCTTCGACGTGCGTCCACTCGAGCCGCACAACGAATTGCTCCGAGATGGCGATGCCGTGCGTGGACAGAGCGCCTCCGAAGGCAGAACGGACCACGCCGCGGGAGATAATGTAGGCTTGGACTTGGACAGCACTTGCTCGTTCAATTTGGGGCCTCTTCTTGCACAGCCCGAGCCACTCGACTCGCAGACCGTGGCCGACTTTTTGTGGAGCGCCGGTGATGTCACCACCCAGGGCATACATCAGGACGTCTTCTTCACCGATCCACCAGCGGATCTGTCTGCGCTATTAAATGTGGATTTCACAAGCCCTACGGACTTCCCCACTCCTGGTGGGCGTGCTGGCCAGCATCTAGCCTCTGTCTCACAAGAAATGGGCTACGACCTAGACCGCGTAGGAAGTTCGGACGGTCAAGATGCGCCGAGAGCGCCATTAGCCATATAATTACAGTTTGTAGAATCTGTTTGGCTTCGACAAGTTCTACCTAGGTATCTGCCACTCTAAAGGCCAGCTAATACACACGGCGCCGGTAGTCTGGTGGTGGCTCCGTCGCCTCACTGCAGCCATTCTCTGAATCTTCGCCTGTCCGTTGGGAATCCCGGGTGACTTGCAGTGGAATCTCTAGAGGCGCGGGCAATGTCCATGGTCCTATTACCCTCACGTCGAGGAGCACCGAATACCTAACCGCCACTGCCGCCGTCAGACACGAAGGGATGAGACTTTTCTTGGTGGTAAACATGATCGGTATCATCAAAAGCCAGGAAGACAGCTGTTCATTTGCTGACAGGATCGTGCCATTCGGTGCAGTGTGGCCAATGCGCCACGGGAGTTCGAGATACTCCCGTTCTTCCGACTGCAATACGTGCGTATGGAGGCCGACATATTGTTTTCTCCGAGCATCGACGAGAGTGGGTTCTTCGTCGAAACTTCTTGTCGTGTAGAAGACCCGGCGCTGCAATCTTGTGCGTATCCTGAAACCCCAAGTGTACGGCTCAATGGCATGCCCCAGTACCTTTCGAGCTGGTTCGAACGACAATCTCAGGACGACGATAGTGCTAGACCGTGGGGAAGAGTCCATGAGATTTATGGGCTGCGGCTCGTCGGCGGATAGCTCGAGGGTGCCTATACGGCGACCGCAAAGGTGTGTGCGGACTCTCGCTACTGAGCGGAGCGAATACTCCTCTGGGAAAGCGCCTGTATAGATGGGAGGTCGCGCGGGTACTCTCGGCATGATTGCAATCGCCCTGGTCGTGCTAGGCTGGGAATCTTGCAGACCCGTTGTCTTTACCCTTACCCGGGCGGTAAGCGTATAAAGCACATATGGCTGCATGGAGACCTTTCCGGTCAGCGGTTGCCAGTGAAGTGCACCCAAGCACATGGATGGGTAAAGCTCTCGGAGTCTGGGATCGGAGCCATCCTCGGCCATCGGGAGCCTCTCCGCTATTTTGAACCTGAAAGGCGCTCTTTGCATTCCAGAAATATATGAGACAGGGTGGATGTTTGGTGGTCGTTGCAATCTGATGGTATCAACTTGTTGGAGGAACTTGGCACCCTGTGAGCGCTGAACATAGCAAGGACGGCTAGGTCTAACTAACGCAGGTTTCATTCATCAGTGTCTGCCCGGTGAATCTGTCGCGGATCCAAGTTCGACACAAGCCTTGAATGATTAGCATAGTGCTGACATAATGCTGGCGGGTAGGATGCGGCACCTTCAAAGCATACATCGATAATCGTGTCACTGAAGGGAGCAGGCCAAAAGGCGACATAGCCCTCCAATATATCTCCCCCAGACCGAAGGGCGCAAACGCAATACTCTCCTGGGCTGGGCTGCTCATAATGCGGGTCCTCCGGGAGATGAATAGAGACGACGCGAGCGCGATCTCTGTGAGCAGGGATTCCAGAGGCATGTGCAGCTAGCCCAGCGGAATGCTCGGGCAATGATCGGGGCATATGGGATGGTTTTCGAGGAGAAATCAATATTCGAGGATACGGGGCCCAGACGAAGGCGAACTCACCGATCATAAAGACGGCCTCTGCTCAAGGAAAACGGCCGTTGATTTGAGTGGGGATGTTGTAGCTGAATGCATGGAATCGGATTCGGCATAGCGCATGCGGCAGCTGTTCGGAAGCGCTAACTACAAGAATCGTCTCCACTACTCTCTAGGAACGCTAACCGTAACACCCCTCGCCACGCCGTCAGAGCATGCTTACGAGAGCTTGGTTTCGTTGCTGTATCACCGCCGCATCTCGTCATTGTTGTCTCCCAGCGCCTTTGCCGTCTCTATCCTGTACGACCATTGCGATGCCTCACAACGGCCAGGACTGGCGATCAATCGCCGGCACGAAGAGGAACTCACTGCTAGCTTCAATTTCGCTGGCTTGGCGCTTCAGAGAAGACGAAGTTCCCCCTCCGATGCGACTGAAGGACGTGACGGCCTTCATTACTCGATTCCTCACGCCTCTTGAACAGCAGATCACAGACGCCACAGTGCCTTCCATACTCGAAAACATCCAGTCATTCAATTGGTCCGCGGTGGAGGTAGCACGAGCGTTTTGTCATCGAGCTGCCCTGGCGCATCAGTTGGTACGTCACCCCGCAATTATACCTCGACTGATATCAACGGTGCGTGATAGACCCGCTGCCTGTCGGAGGTTTTCTTTGAAGAAGCCATCCAACGAGCCGAAGAGCTAGACACAATCCTGCGCACGACGGGAAGGACGGTGGGTCCACTGCATGGCCTTCCGGTCAGTTTGAAGGATCGTTTCCACGTTAAAGACATTGACAGCGCATGTGGCTACGTGAGTTGGATCGGTAATTGCAAGAGCAAGGAAGACGAAGGAATTCTCGTCCAACGGCTGCGGCAAGCCGGAGCCGTTCTTTTCGTCAAGAGCAACGTCCCCATGTCGATGCTCATCGGCGAGACCACGAACAATATCATTGGATCTACCATCAATCCTTACAACAGGAGCTTGTCGGCCGGTGGTGCATGCGGGGGAGAAGCTGCGCTACTAGCCCTAAAGGGCTCGCCTATCGGGTGGGGCACAGACATAGCCGGATCTATACGCATTCCGTGTGCCTTCACCAATCTCTACGGCATTCGTCCTTCCTTTGGTCGGCTTTCTGCAACCGGCCTCGCCGATAACTTGCCGGGACTTCCCACGGCAGCCAGCGTGATCGGCCCTATGACACCTGACCTAGACTCGCTATCGCTATTAATGCGATGGGCGATTGGACTCAATGCCTGGCAAGATGATCATCTTGTTGTTGATATACCATGGAAAGAGGATGTATTTACAAGCACTCGGAACCGAATAAGCCAGCCCGGCCGAAGCAACGGCAGCCTAGTCTTTGCTGTTATGGGATGCGACAATGAAGTCTTTCCGCACCCGCCCGTTCAGCGGGCCATGGCGATGGTGACTGCAGCTCTCACTCAACGCGGCTATGAGGTACGAGCATCCAGCGCATAGTTATGCCTTGTCATTCTAATGCTGATCCAATCCAGGTGATTGACTGGAAGCCACCGCCGCACTGTCCCGCTGCAGATGTCCTTGTGAGTGTCTATTGCTTCAAACCGCAACATTGAGGTAGTGTGTCGCTGAATCTTTGCCGTAGTTCCAAATATTGGGGTCAACTGCGGGCCACAGCGTCCGTTTAGCTGTTCAAGCGAGCGGCGAACCACCTGTACCTCAATTAACGGACCTGTTCAGTAACGACAGCAGCCCACTCCCAACATCAGAATTCTGGAAACTGTGTGCGTGGCGAGAGCGATACCAAGCCCAATATCACGAATATTGGAAATCGACTCGCCAGCTAACTACATGCAAGAGGTTAGTCGACGGCGTCATCTTACCTGTTGCACCCCATGCCGCGCCACCAGAAGGCTCGTTCAAATACTATGGTGCGTTTCATCCGGCTCTCAATGCAAAGCATTGCTATTGACGACCACGTAGCATACTCTGCGATTCCAAACGTCCTCGACTATAGCGCTGGGACGGTGCCAGTGACGTTTGCGGACCGATTCGTTGACCACGAAGTATATCAATATGTGCCCATGAACGATAGAGATCGCGCGAACTGGCGACTGTGTATGTCCACTCCATGATGAATGGAAGATAAACACAGGATCAGGATACTAACGACATCTAACAGACGACAAAGACCTATTCGATGGTTCACCCGTTGGTGTGCAGATCATGGGTCAAAGATTTCAAGAAGAAAAGGTGCTTGCGATGATGGCAGCAGTTCGAGATGCGCTCCAGCAGTACCTGCCAGCGTGAGATTTTGAGAGGGAGATGTTGCGGTTTCCTCTACCCCACCTGCACTATGTCTCGCGCAGGCGGGATGTTCGGTTACGCTAAACCAAGACAGGACGATCTGCGACTACCATCGTCACAATTCCTTGACCCTACCGGCATGTCATTGTAGAAAAGGACGCAAGTACTTAACACAAGACCCTGCTGCAGTTATCACGCGCATGTTCCTACAGTTTACGCCTTACCGCTCATTCATCCCGTCGTCATGGCTCCCACGTCACGAGACTTTCAGCCCAACCGCTTCCCTTCGCAAGCACATGCCGCGTATCCCGAGTGCAACGGCCTTAACGAATTGGCCGTAACACGCACAATCGATGGTCGGTCGCCTAGCTGTAGCGATGATCATCTTGAGCAAGGCGAAAGAGCGATGCAAGAAGAGGACATGGAGGTCGGCGTAGCTGGCCTTGACGAGCTCGAAGCGCCCCCACCGGACGAAAACCCATACGAGTCAGCAACCCGTCGTCACCGAAGCCTTGAAGACGCAAGACGCTTATCTCGCGGCCTGAGTGCCCACCGAGTGGCAGAAAGGTCGACGCGCGAAGAGAGGAAACAGCGACTGCTTGCGCAACTGTACACGCAGTCTTGGCTTATATTCTTTTCGCTGTTCGGCACGCTCGCGCGCCTCGGCGTGGAATGGGCCACACGCTATCCCAACGCACCCGTGACTACAAACGTCCTGTGGGCGAATGTGGGCGGTTCCTTCATCCTAGGCTATCTACAAGAGGACAGGGCACTCTTCGCAGAGCGTCGTGGTAGCGCGTTGTTCTCGCCACCGAGCTCGTCGAACAGCTCGGGATCGGGCGCGGAGAAGGGAAGCCGCAAACTGCATGCAGAGCACCTGGCCAAAAAGAAGACGCTGCCACTGTACATCGGCCTCACCGTGGGATTCTGCGGCTCCTTCACATCTTTCTCCTCTTTCATGCGCGACCTCCTCCTTGCTTTATCCAATGACCTTCCCTCCCCAGCCCAGAGCTCGTCCCCCGAAGCTCGAAGCGCTGGATGGAGTGTATCCGCCGTTCTTGGCGTCGCTATCATCGAAGTCGCCGGCTCGCTCTCCGCGCTCCAGGCAGGCGCACACCTTGCGATAGCAGTTCTACCCCTCCTTTCAAAACTGCCCAAGATAAACTCAGCTCGATACATGAACCCTCTTGGCGTTGTCCTCGGTGCCGGATGCTGGCTCGGCGCCGTTCTGTTGGCCATCTGGCCACCGCAGAGCAGCTGGCGTGGTGAAGTGCTTTTCGCGCTCGTATTTGCACCGCTCGGAACCATGATGCGCTACATCCTAGCCATCACGCTCAACGGTATCGTTGCATACTTTCCGCTCGGTACATTTGCCGCCAACATCTTCGGAACCATGGTGCTTGGGATAGCATATGATCTGCAGCACGCGCAACTGCACCCGGCGGACAGTGTTGGAGGCGGTATCGTCGGCTGCCAGGTACTTTCTGGCATTCTAGAAGGGTTCTGCGGATGCCTGACCACCGTCAGCACGTGGGTGGTCGAACTCAAGAGTTTAAGAAAGCACCATGCCTATGGATATGGCATCGTGAGCGGTATGGTCGGCTTTTTCTGCTTGATTATTATCGTCGGTTCGCTCCGGTGGACACTAGGGCTAAGCACCCCTATCTGCTCCATGTAGGATACTAAGAACCTAAATGTAGAATGCGCGGCTCGTTTCTCGCTACGTAATCGCTATCATGATGTGTAGGAGAGTGAAAAGCAAACATCCGCAGCCCATGAACCATCGTACAAATCTATTTACTATTAATGGTTACGTAAGTATTACGTAACTGCGCTAGTACTAGTGTATATACTTAGCGCTCTGAGCTTGTTTTAATCTATCACTTTTACACTTAACTTCTCTACTTCAACGTTACTATTCTCCTCGATCTCGAATTGAAACCCGCAGAGCTCGTCTTCAAGTCTCCGTCAGAGACGGGTATTGAACGTCTTGATTACACTACCTCTAACATGGATCACAAGACTGCAGACTTGGGGAGCTACATCGAGAGTTCCCATTATGGTCATTTCGTGTCATTCAATAGAGGTCGCGTGTTTGACCAGGGAATCACGCACCTCCGGCCCCAGCTTGAGAGCGACCGAACAAATCGAATACTGCTATATCCAGGCTGTTTCAATCCTCCTCACAGGCATGAAGCGCTTCTCCAACATGCATTTGCGAACAGTCAAGACATCAACATTATCGCTGCTATCATCCTCCCGTTAGATGATGACAGCATAGAAGCAAAGTGCCGCGACTTGGGTGAGAGTCTTGTATTCACCAAGGACCAGAGGGTTCAGCTATGGCGGGGATATGTGCCACACGACTGGTACTGGGTTTATGATCGCAGCACCAGAGAGTGGGATTCTTTCCGCCGCGAGCTTACCGACGCCATCACTCGTGACGGTTTCGACCTGAGATTTGTCGTACTGACGGGACCTGATCACTTGATGCGGAATTCTCCCCCTCCCTGGAAGGCATGGGATTGTGAAGAGATCATTGTTAGCGATATGAGCAGGTCTGCAGACTTTACGAACCAGCGGGGTCCGTTGGGGCGGCTAAAGGACTGCGAGTCTTGGGAGCATGTCTTCTGGGATGATGAAGAGGCAACTCGATATGCCACGAAGGTAGTGGCCTCTCTAGCCGGGGGAATGTCGCTACTCGCTCCGACTACGTTCAGGGAAATGCTGGAGAAAGGCAAGAAAAGTTTCAAGACGATTCTATTTAAGCTAATTTATGGTGCAGAGCCGAACTTCTTCAAAAGCTTCATTCAAGAGCTCCACTCCGAGCATGCCAGCAAGGTCGATACCGTGAGAGTGTCATCGTATAAAATCCCCCGGGGAGACAATCCGCTTTATTCCGGCCGAAGGCGACATGGTGCATATCAGCTCGACGTATGTTCGCCGCATAATAAACACCTGTACGCTTGAGGAAGCCCGGGAAAGGCTTGACTCAATAGCTTTGAATCCCGAAATCCTGGTAAATATCATGCAAAGCTTGCTTTCACGTGGAAAGGACATGGCCGAGCCGCAGAGGCCATCGAACTGGCAAAGAAACTAGCCTATCTAGGGTTGTTTCCTAATCCTTGCGGGCCATGCAAAACGGACGGATTCAAGAAAGGAAATTGGTCAAAATAACGATGAATGTCTTCTGTGTTGTCAGATACTCTTTCCGCTCATTTTGTCAGTACCCGAATGCTGCGCTTCTGGGAATCTTGTGTTCATCGATTTGTCCAAGAGGTGTGGAGCACAGCAAAGAAGTTTTCGTTAGACTCAATATAAGACTGCAGTAGCCAGACTGGATAGGTCAGTTTCAAGGGCCATGGAGTCTAAGAAATCGCAGTTTTGGGAGCTCAATTCGAACCTAACGTCATAGACGGAAGGAGAGGGAAGAGCGAACATACGCAGCCCACGAACCGTCGTACAAATCGTCGCCGTTATTTTGCCTCGGGCTGTTGAGAGCTAGCCTAGCGGCATGTTGCCTGGTGCATGGACCTCGGGACGTGCGACAATTATATTGAATAATGCGAGTGCGAATGCGAGGCATGCAATCACTGGCGCTAATTGGCGAATACGAGTGTGCGAGTCCGAAGACGCCTTTCGCATTCGGGCCGAACTGCAGGAACGGAACAACACAACGGGTACCCAATCATAGGAGCGCCGGAAGAGCGAGATCGACACTTCGATCCGAGACCGACGACAACTCCTTCTACCTCACAGAGATCTCAAAGGCACCGGATCAGCGCGGCTCCGCCGGATGATATTTTGGCGGACGTTTCAGCCGCAGGCTTGCACGTTTATCATTAGCCTCCTCCTTTATCGTCATCATCGAGGCGTTGCGGAGAGGTCGAGCACGGTAAAGCTTGCGAATAACGGCGAATTTCCATCGACAAGTATCACCGATGACCATAGCCTTCGGCCTTCCTTTGTGGGAAATGAGCAGTCGCGGGCAGTATTTAAGGGCGTCAGGGCCTTGACTAAAGCCCCTCGTTCATCTACAACATCTATCTGCAAGGTTCTCTGTCTCAAACTTCATCATAATGTCATTTTTACGCACTGTCTTACTGTCTTCCGTAGCCCTTGGGTCTTCAACTATCCGGATACCTGTCGGAGCTTCCTCATCGGATCCATTGACCGCCTGTACCATCTTGAAGACGACGTACCCCAACATTACACTGCTCCCTCAAGACGAAGGTTACGTCAATGAAACGCAGAGTGTGTACCTATTCGCAATGCAAAAAAAACGGCTGGAATCTGCTCGGATGCTAATGCTTTTCAGAGTCCTGGAGTGCTGCTGCCTGGCTTACGCCCGCCTGCGTTTTTGCTCCATCTTATGCATCCCAGCTCTCACTCGCCGTTCGCGTTTTCGCCAACACTTCTACTGCTTTCGCCATGCGCGGAGGCGGACATATGCCCATTGCCGATGCGGCGAACATCAATTCTTCCGGCGTTCTCATCTCCAGCACCAACCTGAACACTCTTCGACTGTCAGACGACAACCAAACCATGTCAATCGGACCTGGACCGCGTTGGGGCGATGTATTCGAATACATGGACGGTACCAATCTGACTGTCGTCGGGGGTCGGTTGGCTCCTGTTGGTGTTCCCGGCTTACTGCTTGGTGGTGGAATCAGCCATTACAGCTACAAGCACGGGCTGGGGTCTGCAAATGGGAAGATAAAGGCCTACGAGGTACTCTTTCCTGCCAGTGAAAGATCTTCAGTGACTAACGCAAGCAGGCTGTCCTCGCAGACGGAACCATCGCGTTGGTCACAGGCGATAACGAGTACTCAGACCTTTATTGGGCTCTTCAAGGGGGCGGGAATTCTTTTGCCCTCGTAACTCGGTTTGACCTGCAGACTTTCTATGCCGGTACCCCTCTCATGGCCGAGGCGAGCTATGGGAACTCCAATGCGACACGCGACGCATGGCTCGCAGCCGTCCTAGACTTCGCGGTCAACGGCGACCAGGATACCGCGGCGGCCCTCATCCCTGTTGCGCGATGGGGACCGAATTTCACCGCTCCGTCCTACGAATCTACGCTCTTCTACAACGGTTCTGCCGCGCCGACGAGTGGACCGTTTACGACATTCTTTGAAGAGACGACTTTAAAGTCGGTCAATGCGTCTTCCACGCTCGTTCCACGAACACTGGCACAGTACGCTAAGCTCCTTCGTCCTGCATTCGGGCCGGGTGGCCCAGGCTATGGTCTGCGACAAAAGTTCCGAGTCGTTAGTACGGCAGCAACAGCCGAAGCGATGAACATCGTGCACGATACATACTTCGACGCCGTTCGATCATCAGGGATCGCGAACCGACTACCAGGATTCTTCACTGGTCTTGCCTTCAATGCCATCACGCGAACCTTCGCCGAAGCCTCCGCTGGCACCCCGCAGAACATCCCGGCCGAACCAGCTTTCTGGATCGAGGAATCCTTGACTTGGGAGTCCGCAGAGGACGATGCGGAGATTGAAGAATGGGTGAGGAATGTGAATGTGGAGATTGAAACGAAGCTGGCTGCCGTAAATGGGACGAGCCGCTACGTGTATTTGAATGACGCTGATAAAGGGCAAGCCGTGTTTGAGGCGTATGGAGAGGAGAGCTTGAAGAGGTTGAGAAGCATCAGGGTGAAGTATGACCCTGCACGGGTATTCACGGATCTGATGCCCGGAGGGTTCAAGGTCGATCCTGCGACGTCCGCGTAGGTATCTGGAGGAGGTTAGAGTAGCTCTACTTCCTGAACAGAGGCGGGAGCGGAATAGAGAGCTTGACTGGTTATTGAATATCTTGATCTTGAAGTTCATTGAGCTTTATGCGAGGATGTGGTTGCCCTCATTGGCTGCATTTGGCAGAGCAATAGCGACTGATTTGCAGCTGTTGCCCGGCCACGGGGCGGAGGCCTTGCACGCTGAGCAGAATGGATGGTTAGGCGCCTGCGATTACGGCTAGAGATTCCTGTTTGATTCTGTCATATTGCAAGAGAATAGGGCGATAGGAGTGATTGAGGCTGATGGACTGGTTGGCAAACCGTCCGTGATTTGGGGTAAAGGGGAAGGTTAACCCGTATGGAATTTGTCAGTCATTTGGTAGCGAACTCGGTAACACATCAACCTCAACACTCCGAAACGGCTGCCCGTAACGAGAGTTTGCGCTAGCTCTTAAGGCAACTAAGGATATATGTTACCTGATTTTGCGCGAGCACTTTCAGCAATCCAAGTCCATCTCCACCAACCAACCCTTTCCCAGTCCTTCGTTCATCGCAGCATTCACCAGTAGAGTTTCCTGGTCGCAGGTCGCGTCAAGATCACGAACCCGTAATGAACTTCTACTACCAAGTGCTTCAATGCGTGGCATCGCGTTCTCGGAACCCCATGTCACTCTCGCAGCTCCTCTGCCTTCGTGGATATGGCCGAAGCAGTGCAATCTTGGCTTCACGCGTTCTATAGCCCTGGCGAGCTTTTCGCACCCACAGTGCATGCCTTGCTTTTTGACGTCAAGCCTGTAAGATGGGTCTTCGAGGATAAGCGGGGGTCCATGCGTCATGACGATGTCCGCTTGGACGGGAATTGGTTCGCAGCCGTTGTTGAAGCGATCCTCGGCGCCATATGCGAACGCGTAGCCATTGAACTCCGGAGTGAACGGCGATACGTATATCGTGAAACTTTTTCCGGACACCAATGTGAAGCGGTGGGTGCCTTCCTCGAGATAGTATATCCCATATGCCTTCAGCCCCTTAAACAAGTCCACGCATCTTCTGCTCTCCTCAAGTTCTTCCTTGCCCTCGGCATTCTCGCGCACCCATTTCTCATCAAGCTCTAAGTCGTGGTTACCGGCGATCACCAACTTGAGCTCAGCATCGACCGATTTGATATTCTCGATTGCGCGCTTGAAACTCGGCAAACCGCCAACTTGTGTCAAATCTCCACAGTGAAGAAACACATCAGCATGGGGAGCTGGGTCGCTGACCGAGTACGGCCACCGATCGTGGGTGTCCGATAGTACGAGAAAGCTTGTGTGCTGCTTCATGATCGCGATTCGTCGGTGGTGGATAGGTCGGCCCGGTTACCTTCGAGAGCGGTCGCAGCATGCGTTTCAGACTCGTGAGGGCAAAATTGCGCGGAAAAGGTGGGTGAGCCGTAGCTATAAATACCTTTGTAGGCACGTGGGTTTGGGGCGATCCATGGGTCTCAAGAGGCGCCTAGAGCCGAATTCAGAAAAATGTGCATCTTCAACTTCGATGTTGGGAAATGAAGAAACTATGTGGCATATAAAATGAAAGGTCGAAACTTCTTTCGCGATCCCTTACCCCCACCCCCTCGAATAGCGCGCAATCTCTTGTCCCAACTACGTCCGAAATCGTGATATGCTGTGCATCCGTTGTCTTTTCTAGTACCCTCTCCGATTCTTGAACGTGCTATAGCATGTCTCCTCAAGTCCATTCGTGGGCAAGAGCCCAGCAGCGCGATAGGATTTAACGTTGAGAGTGTAGGAGAGGACGATAGAGAGTGCAGAAAATGGGACAGTATAGCAGAGAGAAGATGAGAGGCGCTATGGATGTAGACAGCCCTGCTGAAATCCCTAAACCAATCAATCACAGACTCCCTCTATGCCTGAGCTCGGCAATTAGGTCGTTCATCTGGCCCCGCCGCCATGTCAGCGACACTCAGTAAGATCTTTCACCAATGCAACGTCGATTTAGAACCCGCAACCCGCACCTCATCCTCGTCTCCCACGCTCCCAGCCCTCCCAACTTCCTACCAAACCACACGATGACTGCGAAATACAACCCCGTTGAACGTCATTCCGAACGTGCTGCGTCAGACGCTACGATCACCACTGAGGAGATCCAGCCTCCACCAAATGCTGTCCGAAAACTTAGAAACGGCATGCTAGATCCTACGTCCCGCGGTCGATATAAAGAAATGTGAACAAAAATACCGGTAAAATGAGCAGTGGAGCAATGCTAACCTAGAACGCAAACAGCGCCGAGCGAAACGCGACAGAGTCGCCGTTCCTTCGCATGCCTCCCGAAATCCGGAACAGGATATACGCATATATCCTCGGCGGAAGGAGAATCGACCTGTACTCTACCGAGTTGGGCTTAGTGGAGTTGTACAAAGAGCACGACGGCTTCAAAATTGACAAGAGCAACCCGTTCCTGCTCCTGCGCGTCTGCCGGCAAGTCTATGCGGAAAGCTGCCTCCTTCCGTACTCGCTGAATACGTTCTTGTTCTACCCTTCAGAATGGGAGACCTGGCATATGCAGATCTTCCCTGCTCAGCGCGAAGCTATTCGCATGCTGGAGTTCTGCGGCTGCGAAGAATGTATGATTCAGGAGGCATATCACTTGAGCAATTTTCCGGCGGTGAGGGACATCTATCTCGACACAAATCTGAAGAAGCGGGAGAGGAAGACGTTTGAGGCTAAGATCAAGCTTGCGTGCCGCGGCAATGTCGAAGTCATCATCGAGCGGGAACCCTAGTCTGGAGTGGTAGACAAAGAGTACCTGCTCGACGAGTAAGTGGTTGTTGCCCCGCAGATTTTAACAGCACTAACTCAGCACAGCATCCACGCAAGCGATGAAAGCGATGAGACTCTCCCGAAGAAGCGCAAGAAGCGCTACTGCGGGATTCCACCTGCGCTCTTTTACTCTACCCCAGCATTCCTTAATAGTGAGAATGGAAACTGAGACGAGGGAAATACCCCTCTGCGGTCGTGAATCACTATCTAAGCTAGTCTACTTTTACCTAGAATCGGCACTGCTCTTCCTAGAGACCCCCAGTCCATTGTGTACTTCTACTCTGTCCGCATTACTCCCAGTCGAAGGAGCTTACGATTCCGTAATGGATGCATGGCGCGTGTATTGGCGAGGCAGTTTTCAGTTTCACCCATATCCACAACTTCCCACACCTTATGAGCATAATTCAGTTATCGAATGGCATTCTCTCTTCCTAGTTATATCACCATAATGAATTTCAACTTCCTCCTTTCCTTTCCGTGATAATCTTCATCCGTGAAAGGTGCCAGCAAACCGGAGCATTTCTAGAAATTCGCGAAGTACCGAGACAAATCATAGGGAGCCCCGCTGCTCCGATTGCCTGGCGAGATCCGAAATCAGATCTACACTTAGGCTATCGGTGGCCACATAATTTAGCAAAGATAGCTGCACGTCAGTCCGAACAATTCAAAATTCATCGTTCGCCATGCTGTTCCCGGAGGCAAACCCATCCAGCAGTGCCCCCCAGTATCCACACTCCTCAGCTTATCCGCCGCCTGCAAACAACTTCGATCAGAGACAGTCCTCACCTTGTACAAGGAGAGCATATTCTAAATACGGTGCATCGAGCATTTCAAATATATATATATATATATATATATTGACCAAAGGGCTTAAGGATGAGCAGAGGGATGCTATCACGACAGTTCATTGCTCTTGTATCCGGAGCAAAAGGATCCAATCCTTCTGCTCTCTCTAGTTATGACGCCTTATATATCCGCTAACATCTTGGATCGCCGTTGCCAACATTGGCGCCGTCAGATACGATCAATTGCTACCTCACGAGCGAAGTTATCTATCGTACCTAGGAAGCCTCCCTGGATTGAGAAATATCTTGGTCCGTGGTAGTGATGGATATGCAGACGAGAGGGAAGAAATCACGCGACGAGGGAGGGAGTGGACATTTCCCAGGTGTATTTTTAGTGAACGCAAAAATTGAGGGACATATACAGCAAATCCTAGGGTGGTACTAAAAGTTTGGGGTGAGTTTCGGACGTTCGCCTTCCGCAGCGACTGATAGGGCCCAAATAGGTGCGGCTTTTATATCTACTAGCGTCATTCAGCTGGTCAGAGGCTATGCAGATAGCTCGTTTTCGGTCGCGTTTCATTCATCCATGGCAATGACTTGCTCGTTCGCGGGTATAGCCTCCCTACCTTTCCCCTATACACATGACGACATACCCAGCTTCAAGTGAAATACAACTGCTTTTTCCCCTTTTACCTCATTTTCTCCTTTCACCCATAGCACACAGCCGTAACACCTGCCAGGCAAAGAAACCCTCGAGCTCTACTTTTAGGCCCTCCCCCGGCCAGTCTACACCGTCCCACCTTTCTGACACGCAAACACACCATCAACAGCAATCACAACCACCACGTCATGTCCCTCCACGGCTCGCAGGCGCCCGAAGATCGAATGGACCACCCCGCCCTAGAGTCGCACGAGCACATGACGCAAGACGCAAACCCTGTGCAGGCGATGTCGTCCATGTAAGTTGACGCCTTCTCAACATCTCCATTAGCGAGCCTCGAGCTAACCGACTACAGTACCGAGAGAAATCAGAAGGTGTCGCCATTACTCCGACTACCAGGCAAGATTCGAAATCATATATACGTTTACGCTATTAGTGGCAATGTAATCAAGCTTTCGTGATCAAAACGATACAGACGTAACCTTCTGATGATCAATGGTGCGCTAAAAGAGTGGTTCACGATTCGCCCCAACGTGTGCGAGAACCCTTCAGCCTCACCACGATTTATCGGGAAACCCGTTCAAAGACCGGCCTCCCGCTCTCCAGCGGGAATCTGACTCATCATGAATTACGGTGCAGAACAGAGCTTCCGCGAACGGGAACAACGTGTAATTGCTTTTATCTTTCGCGCAGCCTCACTTTGTTTGTGGAGCTCATGTTTCCCTCTCTGTTCCTCCAGATCCATACATTACGCCGAGGAACAGGGAATCTGCTACGTACCCCTGGAGTCCTCCAATATTTGGGCGTCAAACCAATCGATGCCATTGGGCCGGAGAAGCCGCCGCGTGAGACGGTACGGCACGGCTGATTTTCAGCCTCCTAGACCTGGCGGGATGCCTCGCGAGAACGGAGCTCTCGACGATTAAAATTCTCCCAGTTAAAGCCAGCACGCTCAAAATGGTCTTATTCGCGATACTGTCCCCCAAAGGTATATTCCCCGGAACTCAGAAAGTCAGCCCAGGGCGAAGACTACAGCGCTCCGGAGGGAGGGAAGTGTTCGAACAACTATCTTCACCGAATATGCTGTGGGACCAGGGCGCGCAAGCGGGACCTCCAAAGCACTGAGGCAGTGAATGGGCAGCTGTTTCCTTTTGCCCCGGTCCCTCTGCCCCAGTATCATTAGCCGCCCAGGGCGCTAAAGCCACCTGCCTCCCCCTTTCCGGTCACTCTCTGTGTCTTTCGGCTTTGCGGTTTCTCATCAACTCCGCCCCCCTGTACGCCTAACTTAAGCTCTACTCTGCCCTTCAAAGGCAATGCAGGGTAATATCTTGACTACAACTGAGTAGGTTTGCCTGGCTCATCCTGTCGAACTTGCTGACTAACACAGCATGTGCAAATGCCGAGCTTGAAAGAAGCGATAGAAGGCGCCATGCAAAATGGCTACAAAAGAGCCTACAGAGAGACTTCTTTCATATCAATTACAGCCCTCAATAAACTTTTCACACCCGACACCTTGCAACAAAACCTCCGAAAAGACTTCATCAAGCACCAGCTCCAGTCGGAGAGTCCAAAGCCCAATCCGCGAAAGCTAAAGCCTCGGAAGCTTGAAAAGTTCGCCAATACTGTCAAGGAGTCTGCACCAAAACTCTACGCCGTTCTCGTTCTGCTGGACCAGTCAGAGCGGATAATACCACTGCTTGGATGTAAGCCACCAATTACTGACGCGATATTCGACACCTTTGAGAGTAGTTTGGGGCCCTATTGCCATCAGACGTACCTCGGTCACTCCGACTACTTCCATGATATTGCAAAGCCTTTCTACGAGAAACAGTGGTGTATCCCACCCATTCTTGACGACAAAAGGCATCAATCGTTCCCCAGCCCACACTTCCGATTTCCATTCACCTGCGAGCCACAGCCTTATCCTGAACAAGGCAGCTGGGGTGTTGTCTCCAAAGTCACGATTGCACCAGGTCACCTCAAAGCGACGTACTCAGTGCCTGTAAGTTGGTTACACTTCTTATTCCAAGCCTGACTTTGTTTCAAAGTTAACCTAATGTCGTAGGGAAATGCAGTTGCTTATAAATTCGTCAAGAAGACAGAGCACATCGGCTGGGAATCTTTGTTGCGAGAGGTCGACACGCTCCGTGAACGCAGGCATAAAAACATCATTCCTTTGCTGGCCAGCTTCTCGGCAGGTCGCGAAGAGCCGGTGACTGCAAACGATCCCCAGGAATGCCTACATATGCTTTTCCCACGCGCCGAGGGTGGGGACATGAAAGCATGGCTGGACTTGCAAACTACACCAGTTGAACTAATCGCAGACGACGAGCGACACGCATATGTTTACCGAACCATTCGAGATATCGTGTCAGGAGTGAGATTCATTCATCGAGAGGTCGATGCATTCAGACCTATGTTTCATCACGATCTAAAGCCAAGCAACATTCTTCTTTTCTTCGAGATGGATCCCTCCGCAAACGTCGCACCGGTATGGAAAATATCCGATTTCGGCAATGCTAAACTGAAGGATATCCGAATCGATCAGGGCACGGGAACCGTCCGAACAGACGAAAACAAGTTCGGCACATACATTTACCGGCCGCCGGAATACTTCAACAACCCGAGCGCAAAGCACGGACGCCCATTCGATGTCTACTCCCTTGGATGCGTTCTACTCGAACTTGCAACTGTCCTCCAATATGGATGGTCTTCTGATGGACTGCCCAAATTCATCACACTACGGCGAGAGAATACAGAGCACGTCTATACTGGACCTGAAAAGCCGAAACCCGACCTTTCATTTCACAACAGCCCAAATGTCACCGAAGCATGGATTGAAGGTCTCAGAGGCCGTGGGACCAGGACCCTCTGCGAGCTTCTAGATCTGATAACTTTAATGCTTCAGAGCGATGCGGGTCAACGAATATTCATCTGGGAAGTTGAAATGGAGTTATACGACCTCATGAACCCACATGCAAAATGGTCGGAACGCGAAGCAAGGCTCAAGGACGTTGTGCAATATTCCAGGACGCCTTTGACTCAGTTACACAACCAACACAATCCTCTGCAAAGAGCCATCGAGAGGAACAAACCGGGCTGGTGGGAGGCCGTTCTGGGGAATTACAAGTGGTCCTACAGTCCGCCAGCGATGACAGATCAGTTGCGTCGGACAGTGTCACGGGTGAACGTGCATTACTCAACCTTGGCAGCCTTCCCCTCTTTGAGAGAGTTCAAAAGTCCTAGCGAGCTCATTGGCCGTCACGAAACACATGAGAAGATCGAAGAAACCTTCAAAAAATCGAACTGTGTTGGACTATATGGTATAAGCGGGATAGGGTAGGTGTTGAAAGAGATCTAAAGGCGGAAGCTTTCTAAAAAGCTACAGGAAATCCCATTTAGCGTATCACTTCATTGCACGCTTCAAAACTACCTCCAAGCTTCACGAAAGAAAGCACACCTTTTGGGTGAACGCATCCAGTCCGACCAACTTCACGGAATCCATGCAAAAGATTGCCAGTGAAGCGAACATCAATGTCTCAGGTACCGTTGAATTCCTCGCCCCGCTGAAAGAGTGGTTAGCCAACGAACAAAACGGGCCATGGATTATGGTCATCGATGGACTCGACAATGCTAGCCTTGCCGAAGAAGTGGGGATGATCTTACCCGAGGATTGTGGTCAATTGCTGGTTACGACTAAGACCCGAGACGTACTCACGTCACATTTCCCTGGCCTCCAACGAGATTCTTGCATTCACGTTCGAGACTTGGAAGGCCAGAACCTTCAGAAGATCTTCAGAGCCTACGCATGGGATGCGACCATTAAGGAGAATAGCCCGGAGCTGGCCCGTCTCGTGAAATTCCTCAAGTTGCCGGCTCTCGTGAAGTTCGCTGCAGAGTTCGTCACGGAAACGGGGCAACCGTTGGGGGCATTGTATGACAATCTACAACCTGGCAAAAGCAAGCGCATTCGCGACCGTATATACCGCTTCTTTGACCAAGCTCTGAAGCCCTTTTATTCATGTCGGTCGGAACTATCACATGAAACTCTCAGGCTTCTTGGAGAGTTATCATGCTTGAACAATGAAGGATTCGGAGTGGATCTCATTGAGAAAGGGTATCCAGATTCAGGCCGCCTATGGGAGATGCTGGGAAAATTGCAAAGCTTTTCATTCATTGCCAAAGACGAACAAAACCAATCGATCGATCAACAACCGGTCGTCTTCTTCATGAACACTTTCGCACAGCGAGCTGTGCGCGAGGTGATGGAGAAACGTATGGGGCTTGGATTCATTATGCAGCTCCACGGGACTGCCCTGTCCATGCTTTTCACGCTTTACGACAAAAGAAGACAAGAGATGGACGAGAGCGAGGCGAGAAGGGTCAGAAGATGCTCGTATCTCTGGAAACTACCGCTCATGCCGCATTTTGAGCGGTTCTTACAGTTTTCGAGAGATCATGGAGCTGAGGATCACAAGTTCAAGGAGGTCGCTTTCGAAGACCAGGCAGTGAAATCTGTCATGACGTTCGCTCAGGTTTACTTGGACGAAGGACGCTATGACGATGCGGTGTGCGTCTTGAGGCTCACCAAAAAGCTCTACAGAGGCACGAAGAATCGATGCAACCTCTATTTTCTTCTTCTACAGGCTTTGAACCTGCGGCTCGGCGCATGCGATGACGAGCGACTTGTGCGCTGGAGGGACGACCTTGTTAAAGAGTTATCTGAAGAAGGCTGGCTGACTATGGAACAGGCGTGGCGCGTACAGCTAGAGCTAGCAAGGTCAGACACCAGGTCAAGAAAGCCAGACGAAGCGTTCGGAAGGCTAAAGAATTGTTCGCGAGACATGCAATTGATCATCAAAAACGGCCGTCTGGACAGTTGGGTCAAGCAACGGGGAAAATTAGACAGAAAAGAGAAGGAGCTGGTGATTCTTCAACGCATTGAGGAAGGCAGAGCATACCTGTCCCGCGCTAAGGTTGCTAAGTCTAGAACGAAGTGCACAAATCGTCGAATGCTTCCGTTTATGTCCGTGTGGATTCCATTTTCTGGGCACGGTTGCGCAGACGACAAGGACCTCCGGAGAGCTAAAATTGCCTTTGACGAGTCGAAAGCAGCAATCGTGGAATGGTTTCCCGATACCGAACAGGAGTGGTTGATGGAGATAGACGAGAACACTGCCGATGTGCTGTACGAAATGGGCACATCCAAGGACCTACAAGAAGCAGAAGAGCTCCTAAAGAAACGCATTGACTGGCTCGAGTCTCACTGTAAGGATAGGAGCCGTCCGCACGCTTGGAAAGGGTGGTGTGACGTCAAATGCAAGCTCGCCCGCGTTTGGTCGAAGAGGGGGGTGGAAAAGGGCGAGGAACATCTTCGGAAAGAAGCGATCAATACCTTGGAGGAGATGCTGGCAAAGTACGAAAAGTTGTTTGGGAAAGGGGATCTCCATACGCAGAGGTGTGCACGTTGGCTTGGAGTTGCGCTGAAGGCCGATGGCAAGTATGCCAAGATGGAAGATTTGGAAAAGAGAATGAGTCAACGAGGCACAAAGCGACGCCGTCGGTCGCCTCCGCGAAAGCAGGCCCATTCAAAGCCGACACGTGCCGGGTGCAAAATGTTAGGTGTTGGGGTCAGATGTTTCGTCTGCATGATAATTCTTGCATTGGTGTTTTGGCGATATGAGTGCATTACACTATTGGCACTACGGTAGAATCGGAATAGTGCTGTGCTTGTTGCTTAGGCTGTGGAGTCTTTCCGGAGTTTCCCATCTGGGATCTAGTCGGCTACTATTACTTAAATTTCTAGTATAATTCCTTTCTTATTCATAAATCATGCTCGATTCGCCAATAAGCATTGAGCGCTGAAAGGCGTCGCACTTGTGGCATGCTATTATCATACACCAAAAGGACCTAGGATAACTGTGGGTGGGTATATCCATCCACAAATGGATAAATCATCCAGTGGTTCAAACTTATGTCATTCTAATAATAAGAAATAAGAAAGCAAGAACCTCAGGGCCAATCCCATGCAAAATAATGCTGCTTGGAGAGATGCCTTCATCTAACCCAGGAAGAAAGAAACATGCATAGCTTTAGGGTATTAACGCCGAGCACTCAGCTTCTAGGAAAGAGCCACAAGATTCCAATCAAGCCTCCATCTGTATGGGTATGTCCAGACTACCGCCTTGCTTTTGGGTCGTGCCGGTGATACCTGTAAACTCCTCCAAGACAGCCTCAGCAGACTGGTAGTAGAGATCGAACGCCCCCCAAACCCGAATATGTATAGTTTGTAGTTGGAATAACCAATGACAGGACGTCGGCATCGCGGCAGCTAGTGGGGTGGATGTGGCGTATGCGGTGAATGGTAGGACGCGGCGTATGCGGTGAGTGGTAGGAAGCGAGTCTTGCGCCTAGCGGAACAACTTGGCGAACCATGAGTATGGAGGAAGGATGGGGCATTCGTCGCTGGAGTCTACAGTTCCAAATTAGCCCCCGAGTTCCCGCGTTGGGTAGAGCAGAGCGAACTTGAGATGACCGTCGACAATGAGCCTGAGCCTATCGACGTTCGTGGATGATAGGCAGACACATCACTCGAAGAGGTTGAAGCCGCAGAGTGTCTATAGCCTATGCTGATTTCTTCGTAGGGAAAGCTAAAAGTTTTACTGCGTGGAGTAGAGCCAATGGGCTGTTGCGACTCCGGACGTTGTGAACTGAAGCAGCTCGAACAAGGGGTCGATCCGCGCTGTAAGGCCTTTGTGTTTGCTTCTTCCCTAACCTGCAATCAGACCCTAGGTTTCTTATGGACGCCACGCTGGTTAAGGCATTTCTTACTTAACCGCTCCCATCACCTTGCTGTGTAGTTCGGCGTTCATCCCGACAAGAGCTGCAAGGCCCAGAGCGTCTAAAGCGGAGGCGTAGAAAGCGCATCGGACAGGGGAAGGTCGTACCTTCTCGGTACACTTGACATGGTCTTTGAGTTGCTGATAAAAGGCGCGGTCGAGATCTGTGTGTGCTGGCATAGTGGGCTGCGTTGACGCATCCATGAAGGAGCCGAGGAAGTGGGCAGGTGAAGCACGGAAGCGGCGTGGCTCGAAACCGGTCCTCAGGAGATATAGGCGGGGAGGGAGGGGAGCTAAGTTTCAGGGGGCAAGAGTGCAGATAAAATAAGCCACTGACCTATGAAATCATATGCAGCGCGCCCAAAAAGGATAGCCGAAGGTAGAAGTTCAGTTGAAGCTATTGCTTTATTTCGTGATATTCCCCGTTTGCCATTTTTATATGACTCTGGAGACAGGCTCAGCTTTGTCTACAGGTTGAGAGTTTATCACTTCCTCTTCGGTATCATGCTTGCTTGCATCTTGTCGCAAATAATCCCTCACGGCCACAAGCCTGGGTACATCAACACGCGACCAGGCGTTTGCATGCAGACGAACAGAATGTAAGGTACCGTTTCATCCGGCCCGAGCGTAGCTACTTCCGAACCACAGGAACTCCGCCTACGAAACGTTCAGAAAGCGAAGGCTGGAAGCACGGTGTCAGCAGACCACGCACAGGCTTCCGCAACATCTCCACATTGCCAATCAACCCAGATTCCACCAAATACAGGAGAAGCCACACGCGTCCACGGGAGGCAGAAACACTACAGACAGTGACTCATCTATTAAGACCGCATACGGATATCGTCGACCGCGTAAGGCTCCACCGTCTGCGCTGACAGAAGCTGGGCATTGTAGTGCTGTTCGCTCGACCCCTGGGTTCCAGTAATGGTCCCTTCTCTCCATTTTCCTGTGCTCAGACTCAGTGCTAACACGTTTACTCAGCGCAGTCAAGACGCACCAGAGGTATACACCCATACTGCACTGCCCTGTTCGTATTTCTTGCCTTGGGGTTCGTAGGCGCCGGCTGGGGGGTCTGGGACGGGCATCTTGGATGAGGCACCGATAATCTTCAGCCTTGCTCAGCCTCATGGCATTACGACACACCTGCCTGACTCACCTGGGCGGCTTTTCGTTCTTGTGCAAGGAAGTAGTGGGCTATGTTGCAGAGGACTGCAAACGCGACACTGCCTTCTTAAGCTAGAGGAGCGATGCCTTCAGGCGCCGGACACCGGCCTGCTGTTATGCCAGGCTGGTTCAGCTTGCTCAGCCCCTCTGACATGCGGGACATGCCGTGCAACCAGCCATGTTCGGCGGTTCCGCGGCAGACAAGTCGCAGTGGGCCGGGCGGCTGGAGGTGGCAGATTGTTTGGCCACAGCCGCTTGCGGTTTGCCGGGGCTCTCCCGCCCTTTCGAGGCAGGAGCTGAATAACGACTGCAAGTCGAGCCTTTCACATAATCTTGTCGAGGACTCGATCCCATATAGCCTCCCTATGCCATCATCATCGCGGAGCACCATCGAAGCCGGATCATGGACCCTATATCTTTCTCAGCCAGCATCCTGACATTACTTGGTGCAGCTGGCGGCTCCTGCAATTTCATCTATAGATTTATTCTCGATATATCGGACGCGCCCGCCGACATACACTCACATAGCGTCAAATTACGATGCTTGCATCATACGATCTCGAACCTGATCCGGGTGTACGAGCACACCGATCTGCCACTAGATTTACACATGGACCCTATGTTGCGAGTACACATCGTAGACTTCGTGGACGAAATCGGGAAGATCAAGGCGAAGATTGAGAGCAAAGGGCGTATGCTTGAGAAGGGCCGAACACATCATATTTGGGCGAGGCTGAAGTGGCTGTCGTCGGACCGGCAATTACACAAGTTTTACGACTCACTGGATCATTGGAATACGATTTTCTCCCAAGCGGTCTCTGTGACCAAACTGTGCGTCAACCCATACTTCTTTGCTCTCAGGCCTCAACCTTCCTGTCGTAGCTAATCGAAATGTTGCAAATACACTATCATTAAAACCCATATCAAATAATACTAATAATGCCTCAAGCGAGCTTTCACTTCGAATCCTTACGCAAACCATACCATCCGCAAATCCACCGCAAGTATACGCCGAGTACGCTGCACCTGCGCTCCGAGACCAAGATTGCTTGTTTCATGATAATAAGCAAGCCCTTATCCCACCTAGAAGTCACTATACTTCTCCTCCGAATTCCGTTCCCGCACGTCTCGCACAATGGCTGGCAAGGGCATCCGAGCCCGTAAACATCAAGGTTGAACACTGGGGCGAGTATTGGGGAGCTTCATGCTCCGCTCACGTTTCGCTCGGCGCGATAGTTGCAAGGGTTTGGACTGAGGACTACCGAGAGAGATACCGTATCCTTCCAGCAACAGAGGGATACTGCCTATCGTTCTCCGTCCAATCAAAAAGGATATTGCGTGGTAGAGCGACAGTAACGGTGTTCCTGGTGTACCGATTTCCTCGTTTGGACTTGAGGTTCAATCTAGACGCAGCAGGGTACCTGCCAGTGGGTTGTCCAGCTTATATTGCTTGTGAAACTGGGGATTGGAAGCAACTGAGACAATTACTCAGTGAAAATAAGGCACGTATAACGGATCGGACAGGGTCCGGCGAGACGTTTCTGCATGTTAGTCATCCCGTCTTAGGTGTTATTCGGAAGTATTTGAAAGTGAACTCACCTGTTCAACAGATTGCTACGCGCTCAAACAACCTCGAAATCGTCTTAGCACTGCTCCAAGAAGGGGCGGATCCGAATACATCCAATGACTTTGGCCAAACTTCCCTCCACGTTGCCGTCTATACCCCTGGCGCGTATCCAATTGCGCATCAACTCCTTAACAATGGTGCCGATCTGACCCATCAAAACCTAAACGGGCAAACGCCGCTCCACACCTTCTTCAACACTACCTCAGCGCAACTTATACGTCACCATCAAGACGATGTTGACACGACACTCCAGGACTATCGGGGCATGAATATAACACACTACATCTCATGGAGTAAGAGTTCTAGAGTGGAAGATGTACTGCCCTGTATCAAAGCCTCGACCGCACCCCTCGACGCTAAAGATGAGACGGGGAGAACAGCTCTCCATCTCGCTCTCCAAAGAGGAAATACTGAGCTAATACGGTACTTTCTCGAACATGCTGCTCCTAGTCAGCAACCAGACCATCACGGTCGAACATTGCTCTACTACGCTGTTGAGAGTCGAAGAACGGAAGCTATCGATATATTGCTGGAAAGAGGATATGCCGATGTTCACGCGATGGACTTTAAGGGCCGAACCGTGTTACATCATGCTGCAGCAAAGAAGAATTTTGCCGCGGTGAAAAAGCTAGTTGATGCTGGTGCTTCTTTAGAACTCCCAGCTTCAGATGAGATCCCGCAAGTGCTGGGGGTCACTACAAAAAAGGAATCTCGCGGCAGCTGTTGCGAAAAGGTGAATGCGGACTTCTGTTCAAAGTCGCGCCGATACGTACTTGTTTCCGCATTCATCTTCCTATTTTACCTCGGATGGTACGGAACGTTAGGGGTGAGAAGCATATCTGTGGCTATGGTAAATTAGCTATCCTATACATCGAAAGTTCTTAGTCACCGACCCATAACTCACAACCCTTCCATCTTTCCCAACCCTCTCTTTCTCCTTCCCCATGCTCAACCCTCTCCAACTACTCCTCTGCATCATCAAACGTGATCTCACACCGATGACTCTTCGGCGCAATCAAAAAGAAATTCTCAAACGCCATACTCTCCGGCGTCGTACTCCTCGCCAACTGTACGCCCTTGCACTCGCGGAAGAAGAAAGCGACCGCATACCGCAACTCCATGGGCGCAAGTTGAATGCCCACGCAGGAGCGCGCACCAACGCCAAACGGATGGAATGCGGTTTTCGCGTCGGCGGAAGAGGCTTCGGCGGGGGATTCTTTAGTGCCGATCCAGCGGGAGGGGTTGAAGCTAGGAGAAGTCTGTAAGCGTACTGAAGTACATGGTGGGTTTCAACGGACGATGGGAAGACCGGATTGGACTTACGTGAGCGGATCGCTCCATATCGAGGGGTCACGGTGGAAGGTATATGCTTGCGTGCTGACGGTGGTGCCCTCTGGGACGAACTTGCCGCCAAGTGTGCTGCCACCGGGAGGGACAACGCGAGGAAGACTGCTCGGAGCGACGCCGTGAAGACGATGAATCTCTTCGATAACGGCGTTCAGCAATAGAAGGTTGATGAGATCGTTTTCCGTAAAGTTATCCTTCAAGCCCGCAGATTCGGCTTCAAGAGCTGCTTGGAGTTCGAGTCGTTGAAGGACTGCCCATGTAAGGTACGTCAAGGTGACACCTGTTGTGTCCGTCCCAGCGATGATCACATTCATGGCTTCGATCCTGACGTCCATGTCGTCAATATGTCCGTCGCCCTCCTTTTCGCAGTCCTCAATGACCTTGGCGAAAATGTTGTTCTCACCGCTGCGAGACCTTGCCATCTGCACGGCGCGACCAGCTCCCTTGAGTATGTAGTTGTTGGCGTTGAACATCTCCTGCACAGCAGGGATTGGGACGAAACGCAAGAGGCGAAGCAGTGGCATCTCTACCATGATACCAGCGCCCATAGTCAGCTTCTTAAGGACCCGGATGAATTGATTTGCCTGTATTCAAACGTGAGCGGATAATCTTAACAAATATGTGTAGTGTAGCATACTTGACCAGTCTCCAGCATGCCAAAAGACTCGCCAAACGCAAGGTGAGCGCTGACATCCGAAGCAAGCAGCATCCACCAGTTGTACACATCTGCCGTATTCCGCATCGCATCCTTCTTGATCTTGGAGACGCAGAGAAGCGCCTTCTCGCGGACAATGGACTCCCAGTTATTAACGAGGTACGTGCGGCTGAAGGAGCCGGAGAGCAGCTTTCTTCGAGGATCATGCTCGAGGACCATGCTCTTTAGGGTCGATCATGGTGAAGACACCCGCTTTTGGGAAATTGGCCAAACGCTGATACCACGTGCTCTTGAGATACTTGGTGCCAATTCTGTGAATCTCCTTGAACGCACTGAGGTCTGATACTCCGACTTCGTAGGGAGAGAGGCGGACAATGGGTCCGTACTTGTGGAGCGAGTCAATGTAGAAGATGCGTTAACCGGTGACGACTGCGCGCTTCAGACGAAGATGGGTGAACCTCGTGTACCATGGACCGGGAATGTGCCGTGTTGAGCAGGTGAGTCCAACGTAAAGGAACTGTGACGTTCAGCTTTTATGGCATGAGATGGTAGACGGAGCTTACTCTGCAAATAGTGAGTCCTATGATAAGAAAAGGTAGAAACACATATCTGCTCTGCCCCAAAGATACGAGGTTTGTAGCTTGTGAAGACACGACTATTTCGAGCTCAGCCTTCGTGTGCAGTAGATCGCTAAGACTGACAGTCGTCCAACATAACCTGAGAGTGGAGGATTTAAACCCTCATCTAAACAAATCTCGGCAATGTCTCTACTAATGGTTACGCCGGGGAGCCGGGATGACAGCTTGTCAACCAAATTTTCTATCAGGGCCGCCGTGGAACCACCACTACGATAATGCGGGACACTTCTGCAAGAGGCTGCGCACGAGGATATGACCCGCATCAGAGGCCCATGATCCCGATCACAGTCGATCAAAGCTTGGAAATGCTTCATCCCGTAACCGTTAAGCATGACAATCACGGGGGCCCAAGCAAACCAAATGACGAGGACGTACCATGGGCCGCGCTTCCGGCGACGGCAAAGGCCATGGAAATCGCAGGGAGGTTGTTGCGATCCTGTAGGATGCTATCATCTCGTCATTGGTCAGTACAGTAGTACACCCTACATCCGAGCTTGACGGAGCTTGGTTCACAAGCCTGATCGGAGCTTTAATATCGGTCGCCTGCCCTATATCAGTTGATCGACAAAGCGCGAAGGGGTCGCTCAGAAGTTGTGGGGAAGATAGCGGCATGCGGGGATCTAGCGCATGTGGTGAACAGTTATCGAAGACTCTATCTGCTAACCTTGAAACAAATAACGCCTTGGACGTATAGACCAGTCCAAAAAATAGCGGGAAGAGGTACAGACTGGCTGAAGCATGTCGGTCAGGTGAACTTGGTTCGACATCGACCGGTACCACCAGAAGAGGTCGATTGCGTCATTGACTTCCGGACCCGCAGGTGTCGACGTTGCTGCTAATTGAAGACATTAAGCGCTACTGAATGCAACGATAGTCAAGAGAGTTGGTGGAGGTATACTGGAGTGATCATGAGCAACGTAGAGAGCTTTCCAGTGCAGCACCGCTATAAACCGACCAATGCCCCTTGGCTTCATCCCTACCTATCGGTTCCATAGGAGAGGACGCCACTGACGGGTCCGACATTCCGGAAGACATATTATATCCACAGGCAGGGGACCTTGAAGCGACAAGGCCAAGAGTGACATTCCGCGTGTTGCAGCCCGGTCAACTTGCATCCGCAGATCGCAAGATGAATGGTCCTTATTCCGACACACCAAGCTGCAATCTCGCAGTAGTACTTGATATGACGCTCAAGGTCTGCCTACTTCGAGCGCGCGTTCAATTCGATAGTCCGGCTCGTGAGACGTCGATGCAGGGCATGGAGATAGACTCTTTTCCGCATGGTGCGACACGGTACTGCAGAAAGGCGATGGAAACGTCGAATGGCCTGATCCAAGTACGAACAAGGCACTATATCGCACAGTTACCACCGCGCGAGAACGAAAGTTAGAAGCTCAACGAGGCAAACGCACTTCAGAGCCGTCGACGAATGTATCAAGACCCACATTGTATTAGTCAGCGGCCATCCCCAAACCCAATTCAGCTCTCGTATTCCACCTCCCGAACCGCTCAAACAAAAAACCGCGCATCTAGCCTCTCAAAATGCCCGTCTACGACCACCCAGCCACATCGCCACTCCTCCAGCAAGCGCTCCAAGAAACGCTCCCGCACAGCATCAACCTCGTCTACCGCACTACGCACGCCAACCGCACACCGGACGCACACATCCTCGCCACATTCTCGCCTTCCGACAAAGCAGCTCCAAAATGCTGGGCAGTCGCCTACCTCGACCGGTCGATGCGGCCCGAAACCGAGCTCTGGATATTTGCTGCTGGGGAGATGCCAGGCCATTCCGGCTCGGGCGAGGCCTTTTGTTCGACGTGCACAACAGCAGTGCTTTCGCTACTTGATTATATGTCTGCGCTTCCTGTGCCCCCTCTGCACCCGGAAAATCTACCTGCGCTCGAACTGGGCAAGTTGCACGAGAAAACATATCCGGAGACCGGGCCACATGTTCGATACCCACCCAATCCGGGGGCGTACATGCGACATCTGCTTCTCCCTTCTGTTGTTGTGCTAGGAGCATGTCATCACCAGGTTGTGCAGGTATGCGAAAGCGCCGGGCTCTTACGCATGGAGTTTCCGGGACGTGATGCAGAGCTGAACAAGTTTCTATTTCGTGTTTCGGATTTACCACAGACGCGAGAACTGCCTGACGGACTTCGCTGGGGTGAAATGAGGGCGAAAGACATTTCCATGGTGCAGTCGCGTACCTCTATTCCGCGAGCGACGAGGACGTTGCTCTCGCTCAAGAGCGTCGGCGTGTTCAAGAACGAAACAGATACGCCAGTGGCATGGGCGTTCCTTGGGCTTGACGGGTCACTTACCACTCTGCATACCGAGCCAGAGTATCGGGGAAATGGAATTGCAAAGGCAGTGGCAGCTAAGATTTTCCGGGACTATGCACCCGATGTCGCGGTGGATGAAGAAGGTAATGCGTGGGCACATGCTGATGTGTATGTCGGCAACTCGCAGAGCGAGAGCGTATGTAGGAGCCTTGGGGGAAGGGCTTTTACAAAGATATTCTGGGTGAGGATAGACTTTGCGAGGGCAGGCACACTGGTTAGGGCGGATGCACAGGAGCTGCGGTGATCATGAATGGTGTGCACAATCATGGGATCGGCGCACATTTGTGGATATCTGAATGCATCGTCAGCTTCGGCGTCTAGGGTCTAGAAGACTTGAGCCATGAATGATGCAAGTGCTCATTAAAAAATTAGAGTGTTGTTGCGTTTTTGATCCTCACAGAGAGTCTCAGGGTTAAAAAAATTATAATCATTGCGAAGGGTTTGAAGAGAAGGGGCTCTTACCGGCAATTTCCATGGACCGGAGTTGTCCGGACGGTCTACGTTAGCATCATATGGACATAGTAGTCTGCTGCTGGGGGGTTTTGCCTTGTTTATTTTCGTTGGCTGCTTTAGATCATGCAAACGGGGCGCGGTACCCCCAGACCATGCCGGTATCTTTCAGTTGACCTCGACAGAGATGTTAGCTTAGTCAAAGAGACCGAAGCCCATGTCCTCATCCTCCGACTCCTCCTTCTCTGACTCCTCCTTCGCCTCCTCATTGGCCGCCTCAGCAGCACCGCCACCGCCAGCACCAGCGGCAGGAGCGGACGAAGCGTACTTGTCGGGGTTGGCGATGCGGTCCTTGAGTTCCTGAATTTCCTCCCAGTCGTAATCGGTCTCAATGGCAACGGAAAGGACCTTCTTGTACGAATTGACCACGGAGTGGATGACGGATGGGAGAGTCGGGTAGTTGACGGCGAGGGAGATACTGGCGATGGTGCTGATGGCGCTCGAGAAGGCTTTCAAGAGCTGCGACTCCTCGACATCCAGGACAGACGAAGCGAAAGTCTGGCCGTTGTCGTAGATCTGAGAAATGCCCATTCCGTACGTAAAGGGCGAGATGTTCAGCATGTTGAGGAGCGTGGCCTCGGAAGCACCGACTTTGCTGCCGGCCTCGACCAGCTTGAGATCAGTAGTGATTTCAATGGTACCACGGGCGATCTTGGTGGGGACACCGAGGGCCTGGAAGAAGGAGGTCTTTCCAGGTTCCATACCACTGCATCATTGTCAACATCTCCACAAGGTATTGTCCGAACGAGCCTTACGTGTTTCCAGCGGGAACGTAGACATCGCCGGGAGCGACGGCACCGGCACGCGCGGGGGCGGCGACGCGGTTCGAGAGGATCTTATCACGGGTCTCCTTGAGGTCGGCGTTGGTGAAGACGAAGCCGACGTTGCCCTTGACGTGCGGGAGAAGGCGTTCTGCGGTGCGAATTAGCAATCGTGGCAGGTGAAAAGGGAGAGCGAGGATTAGGCTCACCATATTCTGGGAAATCCGAGATGAAGCCCTTCAACGCGCGGCGGACCATGGTGTTCTTGCCCATGAGGACAACGCCCTCACCGCGGAGGGACTGTCGAATCTCGTGCATCTGCTGCGAGGAGACATTGTCGACCGTCACGATGAAGATCGACCTACAGAGTCAGCACGTCTCGTGCCATGCTTGCGTGGCTACCTACTTGTACTCCTCGAGGAGAACCTTGAGCTTGTCTGCGCATAATTAGCGGATATCCTGGTGTTCGAGAAGAACAGACCTACCGAAATAAGCGGCCTTAGTTTCTTTCTTGCCCTAATACCCATTAGCAAGTGCAACCGGAAGATGGCAGAGAGGCGAAAAAGTACGAACCCCCATTATGTTCGATGTTGACACAACGGGATATTTCAGGACTTGGTCGTGGGTGCTGTTGTTGACGAGGGAAGTTTTGCGATCTCAAAATTGAAGCTGGAGGTGAGGTGGTGGCTCGTGCATTTTACCGAGGCGCTAGCTCCCGATCAGGATAGGCCTCTGATTTGAGAACTTCGTCGACTTTAGTCACTCTTCGAAGATCCTCTGCAGCACCATGATGCTACCATACCAATGCATTATTGCGGCATGCGATCGATACGAAGCCGGGGGAAACGAGTGGATCCTATTTGGTGTGTCAGGTTCAAGGCTCGTAGCTCAGTCATCTACAGGAGCCACCTCAATATGGCCGGCCGAGGAACATCCAATAGAAGTAAGTATATGGTTCATTATTCGAGACCTCTACCCTGCTTGATAGCGCTCAGTTCAATGTTGTCTTCCTCCCTTTGCGAAAGGTGCTAAAAGAGCCAGGAACCTAGCCCTGAAAACGAGGAACAAGAGCCTCCAGAAAAGCGCGTTAAACTATCACCTCCGCTAGAGCAAAAGTCGAATTTCTCTATTTTGAGATTATCGAATGACAAGAAGTATCTGGTGGCGGTCACTGCAGAAGACAAGTGCATCCGTGTATTCAGGGTCGATTCGGAAGGTCGTCTGCAACAGTTGAGTCAGAGGTTGATCCGCCCATTTAGAACTGCTCCTCTATGAGTGCTAACAGTTCAAAGATGCATGACTAGGCGGCCCTGCTCGATCGCTTTGACTTCGGATGATTCGACAGTCCTTTGCGCGGACAAATTCGGGGACGTGTACGCACTCCCGCTGTTACCGTCCCCGGAAGACGACCAAATTAGCACCCCTCCAAGCGAGAAGATAGAGCAGAAGAAGTTCGTCCCCTCTGCAAGCCTTCTCACAGTCCACTCGGGCAGGAACAGGAAGGTGCTAGAGGAGCAGATGAAGCAAGCCGAGAAAGGGCCATCGCAGTCGAAGGAAACCCCAAAGTTTAAGCACGACCTACTGCTAGGACACGTATCCATGCTCACAGACATTGCATACGCTGCGGTCGATTCCCGCAGCTACATCATAACTGCGGATCGGGACGAGCATATCCGGATATCGAGAGGCCCGCCTCAAGCGCACATCATCGAGGGCTTCTGCTATGGACACGAGGAGTTCGTCAGCCGACTGTGCCTGACTAGTTCCGGACGTCTGGTATCTGGAGGCGGAGATGCTCATCTGTACGTGTGGGACTGGTCATCCTACCAACTATTGGAGACGCTGCCAATCCGGGACACAGTGCTTGACTATTACAGAGGCCACTCTCAACTCGCATTATTATTACCTCAGGACACGCAGGCGTTCAAAACAGCCGTCTGCGGCATCTGGACTGTCCCATATGGAGGGTCAGAGGTATGCATCCCCGTCCATGTCGTCGATCCTAACGTGCTGATTATGTGCAGGGGGACGAGGTTCTCGTCGCATGCGAAGGAGTCCCGGCAATCGTCAGCTTCAAGCTTGGGAGCTCCGCGACAATTGGCACAGTGCTACCGCTGGCTGGAAATGCGCTGGATGTGGCATTCATATATGCACGAGGAAGCTCATGCACAGCCGTGGTGTCAATAGACCACCTGCATAGACCAGGGTCCACGACAGAGATCCGAGAAGATGAGGTAAGCGATCTCGCAGACATGGGCGTCACCTTATCTGACAGGGCTGCTGTAGGCGATGTCTCGACTGCAGTGCTTCGCGTACCAGCAGGATGGCCAGTGGGCAGAGGACGGTAGCATCGTGGAAGCTCTAGAATGGTTTAATCGGCGAGCGGCGGGGGAGCCCGAGGCAGGGTCTGACGGAAGAGCCGGCGGTGGGGACACGGTTGATGAGAAAGCAACACGAGACATTTTGTACGGCATGGAGAAGCTGCGCAAGCGGCCAGGCGCTGAGGATTAGGTATCACAGGCTTCTCGTATCGAGAACGCCGTGCAGGGACATGACGCATGTCAAAGGCGACGTCTGATCAGCCTCTCTGCTGCCCCAAGTTAAGCAGTATGACTGCGCCAGGTCTTTGGAACGCGCAGTACCCGGCACCACAGAAGATAAGCTCCTCAAACACCACGCTCCGACACTCAGATAACCAGACAGCGAGTGATGTTCTGCGGCGAGGTCGGAATGGCATGCCCACTGCCCGTGCTGGGCGCGCGAGTCTCGGCGGGCGGTTCTTAGAAATCGAGCTTGGCCTGCTCGCAAATCGCGTTGCGAGATGCCGATGGCGTCTGGCTCCGGAACGCGGCTCTAGCACCACGACCAAGGTTTTTCTTCTCCCACAGATGCGCCTCCTGCCAGTACCACAGAGCTCCACGCCGCGCAATTGACCTCTTTGGGCTGTCTCTAGAACCGCTCCGCCGGGCAACCGCGATATATTAATCACGTCGGTATTGAGCCCAATCGTTGCGCCCCTCCATTTTTCGGCTCCCAGGCGACCTGTCATCCAAGCAACCTGAACCCCGAATCTCGACCTCACCATCGCCGAGGATAGCAAAACCCTCCGCTGAGACATACCTTCCAGTGCCTTCTGCATCGCCTCAGCTGCCCTCTTAAACCTCCGCGCCGCCCACGAGCTACCAAAGACGTCCCACATCGCGCATCCAAGCTCCCCACACCCGCCCGCCCGCAAAGAACAGCAGCACGCGAATATCGCACCCGCCGTCAAAGTGTTTGCCTCAACGCTCCGCCGGGCGTCCTCCTCACGGTTCATTTCCCTCCTCTCCGTCCCAATCGCCGCAGCGGCGTCTCCGACCCAACGCATTCCGCCTGCCGCGGGGCTTTCATCCGCTTCGAGGCAGCCCTCGTCGCCTAGAATAGACTCGCGGAGGATGCATTCAAAAGTAGTCAGTAAGTGCTGCCAATATCTACATGCTCGAAGCTCTGCTAACTGTTGCCGCAGTCATTGGGTGAGTTCCGACGCGTCTCGCGGTTTCGTTTTCCTAGGCCCCACAAAATACGAATAATGATGCTATGGTACTTTGCGGGCAAATGCTGACTCTTCTGTAGCTCTGGGCCAGCAGGCCACACCGCCGCCATATATGCCGCCCGAGCGGACCTGAATCGTGAGCTACCTCTAATCGCCAGTTTTACCAGATGCTAATAGTGCGTAGCCGTCATGTACGAGGGTTTCCTCGCACTCGGAATCGCGGCCGGCGGACAGTTAACAACTACCGATGAGGTAGAGAACTATCCCGGATTCACAAAAATCCAGGGCGGAAAGCTTATGGTGAGGCGATCTCATGTTCCCGATGCATATAGCCACGCCAGCTGACTCTCTGTAGGAACAAATGCGCGAGCAGTCCGAAGCCTGCGGCACCGAGATCATTTCCCAGACCGTCGCCAAAGTCGACCTGAAATCGCGCCCCTTCAAGTACTGGTTACACCCCATGGGAGAGGACGAAGAGATTGAGGAAGAGACCCACACCGCCGACTCTCTGATTATTGCAACCGGCGCAAAAGCACGAAGACTGGACCTCCCCGGCGAGTCTAAATTCTGGGGCAACGGTGTTTCCGCCTGCGCGGTCTGCGACGGCTCCCTCCCCATGTTCCGCGACCAGCCGCTAGTCGTTATCGGGGGTGGTGATTCTGCTGTTGAAGAGGCGCTATATCTGACGAAGAAAGCAAAGAAGGTCACTGTTCTCGTACGGAGGGACAAGCTCCGAGCCGGCAGGACAAACGCGCGCCGATTAACTACACACCCGAAGATTGAGATCAAGTACAACACGAACGCGGTCGAGATCAAAGGCGAGGAGAAGAAGCACGGCCTCATGACGCATCTAGTTATCAAAAACAACGTCACCAAAGAGGAGCAGACGATCGAAGCTCGAGGACTCTTTTACGCCGTGGGCCACGACCCCGCGACCCAGCTATTCAAGGGCCAGCTCGACATGGACGAGGACGGCTATCTTATCACAACGCCCGGACGAGGCTTGACCAGCGTCGAAGGCGTTTTCGCAGCAGGTGACGTCCAAGACAAGCGATACAGACAAGCTGTCACAAGCGCAGGTTAGTTGTCATCCCACTAGCTCCGAGTTCGGAGCGGGCCGGAATCAGTTGCTGACATGTCACACAGGGTCTGGCTGCATCGCCGCGCTCGAAGCGGAAAAGTGGCTCGCCGACCAAGACGAGAGCATAACGAACGAGCTCGAAGTCGAGAACCAGGCCGAGAAGTCCCAGGTCAACGGCGTCGTGCCCGAATACCGCTCAAACCCGCTCTTGTGAGCAGGTTTCCCTATATTGCGTCCTGCCTTGCTTCTAAGCGACCGTGTTCTATCTCTCTCGATACTCGCAAAAGTCCCTTTCTCATCTCCACCTCAACTCTACTATCCCCTCCGTCACATCTCTCAACACATCTCCGTTCGATTGGCATCCTAGGAGCTCCTTGCATACCCCTCTCGTGGGTCTTCCCCAACAACATCTCTGTGAATAGTTCTCTCCGAATTGCCCTCGTGAGAGGGAGGCAAATGTTTTCTTTTCCGTTTGGCCTGGAGCGGGCGCGATAGACTTTAGTGAAGGATTTCATGGCTTGCTCGCTTGTTTCTGTGGCTTGAGCCCCTTGCGTTATGGCTCGCCGATCTGATCTGGCATGGCATATGGCATAGACTTGAGCTAGCCTGGTTTGAGCGTAGAAGGTGCGGGTGGGAAGTGCGCTAGATAAAGGATAATTGGCAATGCAGATTTCAGAGGACGTTTGCTGTTTGGTGTCTGATGGTTCGTGTGAACGACGATGCTGCCGAGCCGTGATACATGTATTGCTGTTTGGTATACATAGGATGATATGTATGTTCTTCCGCTGAGGAAGCTTCGATACGGTCTGCTGCACCCGCAATGACTGAGTGGCCCAATGCACTTCCCAAACGGCAGCGCGTCTTCCATCTCCCCTCCGAGATGCAGACGTAGGGGCTTGCTGGATTCTACCGCCTCCCTAAGTGCACCGCTATAAGATGTTGCACCGCAAAACATGGCTCTCATTCTTCGGAGAAGGCCGCCTCCCCCGAACCCGGACAGAGCGAGAGCAGACGGACAGAATTCGCCGACCGTTCGGCCGCTGAGCCGATACCGGGTGGTGCGCAAGATAGAGAGCATCTAGGCCGATGAGTATATCAACCAGGGAAGCCCGCATTCTTGAGAAGGGCCAGCGCACTCTCGAATGCCTTCACCACATCGATGTCTGCCGCGTGTTAGCGATTGTGCGTATTGCGGGGCGAGTGAGGTAGAGCGGGCTTACAGTGTTGCCTCATCTTCTCCAGCCTGTTCTCCGAGTTCTCGACGTACGCCATGCGCGTGCGGAGTCTGCGGGTCGCAGCATGCATTAGTATAATATAACAGAGGCGGGGGAGATGAAAAGGCAGACGCGGCGTACCGTGAGAAGGTGCGATCGGTCTCGTGGTAATGCCCCGCTTCGGCCCATATCTTGAAGAACTGGCGCGCGGGTTAGCTGCTGAGGTAGCGGATTGCGGGAGAAGGGGGAGCGGTACATCCATGAGCTGCTTCCACTCAAGCATCAGCTCGGCCTCCTCGTCGGAGCATTGGTTGATCGCGTCGTGGTAGCGCTCTTCGAGGTTGGCCCAGTCGAAAGTTGGGATCTTCTCTGCGGGATCTGCGTCGTCGTCGTCGCCGTCGTCGTCGTCGAGCTGGGCTTCTTCGTCTACGTTCGCTGGGTCGGGTGCGTCTGCGTTGGCGCGCTGTGCGGAGGGTGGGCGCTCTGTCTCTCCGGAGTCTGCTCGGATGATAGGCGGGCGGGGATCTGCGGGTTGGTCGAGGCTAGCGGGGTCGGGTTTGTGGGTCTCGCCCTGAGTATCCATCTCTTCGAAGGACGGGCTACTTTCGAAGGGAGGAGGTGAAGAAGGGATGGTAATCGGGAGCACGCCTGGAAGCGGGATGGATGATTCGGATTCCGGGGGCGGCATTGCCCCGCGGAATGTTGTTTGCTGTGGTCAGTGCTGCGGGTAAGCGGGTGATTCACTGGTGCTTTGTCCACATTGGAGGCGTTTGGTGAGTGATGGATGTCTGTCGTGGAAAGAAGATGGTCGGTGAACGGCACCTGAATGTTTGTTTATGGTCACGTGATGTATAATGCGCTAAGCCGTTTGCGACATCGGAAGGTGCGTCACACGTCCCGCGGATGGGTGCCTGACTCGTGCTTCGGTGCCTTCGTCTTCGTGCGCGCAATGGTTACCTAGGTACTTTCCCTTGAACACAATACTCATATCCTCCAGCAAACAGTATGGCCCGAAGGTAAACAGCGCTTCTACCCCCGCCTTCGCTATTCACGTCCTGATGGAACCGTAGATAGGCATCACGGCTCAACACTCAACATGGTCCTCCACTGCGCTCCACGCCTACCACTACTTTACGGATCAAGTAGGGGAGACAACACCTAGCCCGCCCTCATTATGGAGTGCGACATATGCGGCAAAGCCGGCAGCTATACCTACCCGCTCCACTGCGTTACATGCGCGCGCAGCTTCCTCGAGCAGCCCCGCATCGACCTCGCCCGGGCGCTTATAGACCGCGATGGAGTTGAGAAGCATGTCGAGGCGGTCATCCAGGGCTCGGAAGACAAGTCGAGCCAGCATGTCTCCCTGGTGGACTCAAAGGGAGGCCTCCTCGTAGACCGTCAGGAGTGCACCAACAACATCGAGCTGCAACGGACGAAGGCTGAGACGGCGGAGATCGAAGAGCGCATAGGTCTCATCACCGAGCAGGCAGATTTACTACGACAGCAAATTGAAGCGACACGAAAAGAACTCGAGGCGAAACGAGCCGCCAACGCCCAACGGACGTCGGACCTCACTTCGGCTACCTACGGCATCGAGTCGCGGCGAGCCAACGAGCTGGACAAGGTGCAGCACAATGTGAAGCGGATGGATTCTAGGTCGGACAAAGTGCATCATGACACCATGGAGATGCGCATGTATCTCTGTAGCACGGCTGCCAGGCTTGCGGGACTGAAGATGACGAAGCGCAAGACGAGAGATGGGGGAATCAAAGAGACGTATAATATTGGGCCTGGAGCGCGCCTGAGGATATGGGACCTGAGGGATTTGAATGGTATGTCGCACTTTGCTGGCCGCTGGGAGACCTCGTTTGCTAATCCGCATGCAGATGCTCCGCCCGATCATCTCTCGGCGTCTCTAGCCGCCGTTGCCCAGTTCCTCGTACGCATCGCTGCTTATCTCGGTGTTAGGCTTCCAGCCGAGATCACCGTCCCGCACAAAGACTACCCCAAGCCTACAATCTTCAGTCCATCTTCTTCATACCAGGGGAAGAAAGTCCCTTTCCCAGGTTCTACGCCGTCGGGTTCCTCGAGCAATAGCCCTGAAGCGTCACGAACATTGGAACCCCGAGGTCAACTTCCCAAACCACGAACGCTTTACGTCGATCGACCGCTGAGCGACTTATCCGCCGAAGATCCGCCAGCGTTTTCCTCGTTCATAGAAGGCGTTTCTTTGCTTGCTTACAATATCGCCTGGCTTTGCCGGAGCCAGGGGATGAAGGATGAGTTCAAGTATTGGGAGGACATTTGCCCCGTGGGCCGCAACCTCTTCCGGCTTCTCGTCGCGCAAGAGACCCGCCTCCCTCATCGGCCAGAGAATACCCTGGAGAAGGATATTGCGCCAGCCAAAGTTAATTCAAAGGTGCCGCTCAGAAGGACACCGGCAGCGTTGGGCGAGCTGTCCCATGCGACTTCTCACTCGTTCATGAACAACGCCGTCAACGCGCAATATCTCAACGGCTGGGGCTTATCGCCAACCAAAATCACCGATGAGCTGAAGTCGTATCTTCTAACCGAGCAGCAGGCTCAGGAATGGGATGTGCTCAACCAGAAAGAGTGGCAGGACATGGAGAACATCATTGCGGAGGACCCAGTGCTTGTTGGGGAGAAGCGGCGCGAGAACACCGGCGTAGATGATGGGAGAAGCTACCTTACGGCTACAGCAGCCAACAAGAAAGCAGGCGAGCAGTCGGATGGAGGAGAGGAGCGGAAGCGCGGCGTCAACGGTTGGACGAAAGTCAAGAGCCGGAGCGACGACGCAGTGAAGATGGCGATACCCGAATGAGGTGATGTGTAGATTTCGAGGACGGCGCACGCATAGACAGGGGCTCTTCGTATAGATACCACACGCAAGGAATATATTCTTATTCTTGAGAGCAGCGCACAGCTCGGCCTCTGGATGTTAGTACTGTGATAGCCGCTTTGCTTCGCTTCGTCGACGTTGCAATGTGACTGTGCTAGCAACCCTGGAGTACTTAGGATCTATAGAGTTTACGAGATGCCAGGAACTCGGTGGCACTGTGTGCCTGACCCAGAGCCATCGACGTCAGGCAGCCAGGGGCGAGCGATCACCAAAGCCGGTGAAAGGCGGTCGGAGAATATTCTTGCATCATCCGAGCTAACCCCAGACGAACCGTCATCACGAAAGCGACACGGACGAACAGCCGGCGCGTCGCCAATCCCCAGCTATTTCTCATCACGGATTATTCACCACAGCACGACGCATCGTACGACAGCTGAAACTGTATAAGAGGCAGCGCGGAGTCATACAGTCACGATGGACACACTTCTGCTATCTTTATCGCCAACAGTCACATCATTTTGCGAGCTTGCGCCATCGGGCGGAACGACAAAGAGACGGAACCTGCCCGCACTCACTACTTGCCGCTTGCCGAACGCTAAAATTATTTATCGATAAACGTCAACATTCGTGGGCGAGGGGTTGAGGCTCAACACTCATCAGAGTCGATTTCCTGCGCGCTGTTGTAGCCTGAAGGCCCTTCAGGCTGAGTCTTTGTTCCCATTTGAAATTCGCCCGACCTTGTTCGACGGAGAGAAGGTGCCACCATGACACTTGCGGACCATCCCATTGAGACCCCGCCGCGGGCGCCGAGTCCAGTGCACAGATTCGGCACGCTGGCGGTACATGCGGGCAGTCCGCACGACCCGGTGACTGGCGCTGTGATAGAGCCGGTGAGTAGTACAGTCTGCTGGTTTGTAGCTTGCAGTGTCTAATTGGCAGCCAGATCTCGCTCTCCACCACATTTGCGCAAACCAGCGTAGGCAAGCCGGTGGGGCAGTACGAATATTCGCGGTCCTCAAATCCAAACCGGTACGCACCACCGCACTGATACCCTCCTGAAGCGGCTTCAAGCTGACATCTACACGGCAGAGATAACTTCGAGCGCGCAATCGCGGCCCTCGAGCACGCCCGCTACGCCCTCGCATTCAGCTCCGGCTCCGCAACCACCGCCAACATCCTGCAGTCCCTCGCCGCCGGCTCGCACGTCGTCTCCGTCTCCGACGTCTACGGCGGCACGCACCGCTACTTCACGAAAGTCGCGCTCACGCACGACGTCAAGGTGACCTTTAGCCCCAGCATCGAAATCGACATCGCCGAGCTCATCCGCCCCGAGACGAAGCTGATCTGGATCGAGTCGCCGTCGAACCCGACGCTCACGCTGGTGGACATTCGGAACGTGGCCACGATTGCGCATCAGCACGGCATCCTGGTCGTGGTCGATAACACGTTCCTCTCGCCGTATGTGCAGAACCCGCTGGACCATGGCGCGGACATCGTGGTGCATTCGGTGACCAAGTACATCAACGGGCACTCGGACGTGGTCATGGGCGCGGCGGCGTTCAACTCGCCGGAGCTCTTCGACCGCCTGTCGTTCCTGCAGAACGCGATTGGCGCCGTGCCCTCGGCCTTCGACTGCTGGCTCGCCCACCGCGGACTCAAGACGCTGCACTTGCGCGCGCGCGAAGCGAGCAAGAACGCCACGGGCGTCGCGCACGCGCTGCAGGCCTCCTCACACGTCGTGTCCGTCAACTACCCGGGCCTTGCGTCACACCCGCAGCACGCCATTACCCTGAAGCAGCACCGCGACGGCATGGGCGGCGGCATGCTGTCGTTCCGCATCAAGGGCGGGCACGACGCGGCGGAGCGCTTCTGCCAGGCGACCAAGATCTTCACGCTGGCCGAGTCGCTGGGCGGCGTGGAGTCGCTGGTCGAAGTCCCGAGCGCCATGACGCACGGCGGCATCCCGCGGGAGCAGCGCGAGGCCGCCGGCGTGTTCGACGACCTGGTGCGCGTGAGCTGCGGCATCGAGGACGAGGCTGATCTAGTGGCCGACGTGCTGCAGGCGCTGGAGAAGGCTATCGTGGGCCCTAAGCTCCATAATGGGAACGGGCATGTTTGAGTGCCCGTTCGAACGTTCGAATGGAGTTGGCGCATTCAGAGCATCGCGCGCGGCGCATTCAACAGCGGCCGAATGAATGAGGAGTTCAGGTGTCCCTGTTAGAACACCATAGATATGTGTTTGTCAGCATATATATATTCCCCATGCACGGTATTGGTGCCTTCATTGCGCGGCCGAGCAGGCCACCTATAGATACCAAATGCATCCTCGTTGTCCTTTTGTTCAAATATGCATTGGAGTTTGGAAGAGTTCCGGTAGTAGGATGGCTACTGTGCAATCACTTATGAGCACAAAGCGCCGCGTTTCCTCCGGTCTGTGTGCATCGATAAATTCCTAGATTCCGTAGCTAGCTAGATGTTGATAAGATGGTAAACTTCTCACTTATGCTCTAGAATGTCTCCCGAATCATTGCATTTTGTCTACCACCTCATCCGATCATGGCAGCCATTCTATCGTATACCTCATTACATTCCATGACACCTCGAAGCCCCGGCCCATTACTCCTCATTCTCCTCCTCGGCGATCTGGCTCTCCTCAGCCTCCTCCTCGAACGTGTTGTCTGGCACCGAGTACAGCCGCAGGATAGACTTGTTCGGATCCTTGACGAGCACGTACTTGCCCTCGTCCATCTTGAGGCACATGTCGACGATGGTGCGGACGATGCCCCAGCCGTTGTTGAGGTTGAGCGCCATTTGGTTGGCGAAGTCGCGCGGCTTGTTGGTGAGCACGCCGAGGATGACGTGGTCGTTGTTGTTTTTGGGGTTGGTCCGGGAGACGAAACTGGGGGTTGGTCAGATACTGCACTTTTAGGTTAACAAGGTGAGGTCTTACCCGAGCTTCATGGTATCGGCCTTGGCGAGGATACTCTGCACCGCCCATCGAGCCAGCTTGCACGCGTTGTTCTTCATCTCGGTCGCCAAGACGGCACCTCGCTGGCTTTGCAGCTTGGTCCGCCAGTCCAGGGCGCCACCGCTGCCTTGCGCCTTGTTGTCAAACTCGTTCAACGCCTTGATTGTCAGGTACTGGTCCTCGCCGCTGATGGCGTTCTTGACAACAGCATCGAGCTCCGTCCGGACGATCAGGTGCAGAGGCTCCTCGTCCGTCTCGAGAGAAAGGTCAAACCTTCGGTACCTGTAAGCCTTGGACGCCGGGGGATCAGTCTCAACGTCCTCGTTGTAGAACGGATGCTCGTGAGGCATGTCGACCTTGTTGGTTTGCGATTCAATAACAACCTGGAGCGGGAAGACGTTGTTGATATGGGTGGCTTCCAGCATGAGCGCGCTGGGGCTGTTCATAGAATCCTTGTTGCCTTCTGAGATCTCTAGCGGTGCATCCGTAGCGTTCTCGTTGACGGTGACCATGTCCAGATTGGAGCCGTCTCGCTTGTCGATGAAGAGCTTGTTACCCCTCTTCGTGATGACCAAGTCCCAGGAGTATACCGACTTGGTGGTGCACATCAGCATGGACAGGATGCTGTCGGTTGCAAATACAGTGCCTTCGTCCTTCTCGGCGAGGTCCTGTAGAATAGGGTCGCTGGATGTGGTGACGTTGTAGGCGGCTCGCTCGAGGACGTTGAGTTTTCGCTGCGAGGTCACGGCGCCAGGCTGCTTGTCGTAGCTCCGGTCGTAGTAGTACAGGAAGCCGTAGCTGTCGATATCGTCGCCATCGCCCGTAGCCAGGTTCAACTTGGCCAGACGAGAAAAGTCCATCTCCTCCCGCACAGTCCAGTCGGGCTTGACCTGAACCGATGCATCGCGGTTGCGCTGCGGCTTGTCGTCCCTCCAGCCAAATCGACGTCCTCCTCTGCCGCCTCGCCCGCCGCGATTGTCATATTGCTGCCCGCCTCGGCCACCGACGCGCTGGAAGGTCCCTCGTCCGCCGCGCTGCTGCTGTCCACCCCGCTGTCCTCGTCCGCGGAAGACAGTGCCACCTCCCCTTCCGAAGCCGCGGCCCCTGGCAGATGTGCGCGTATTGTCTACGACAGAGAACGTGGCCTCCTCCTCGGCGGCCTGAATGGCGAACGGGTTCGTCTGCTGGTTTGCACCGTAGACTTGCTGGTCTGCGGGCAATGTTAGAGTCAGTAATTCCAAGGCGCTTGGGTGGCATGGTACGAAGAGAGTCCCTACCTCTGTAGCCGCGGCCGCCATACTGCTGGCGTCCGCCCCTTTCCCCGTCCTTGCCCCCCGTCCAGTCCGCCATGCGCCCAAGTTTGTCGGCTTTGGAGTATGGCGCATATGGAACGCCGTCGAGCATCGTCTCGTCCGAAACCGTAGGACCCCACCCATCGTGCGTGGGCAGGGCAGACACAAGATCCAGAAGCGATGCCGGTGCCATGTTGATTTCTTGTGCTGGTGGGGATTTCTGCGTTCGCCTTTCCTTACGACAATTCTACAGCCCACTCGAAGTGCGGCCAATAATCTTGGCACGCTAGGCGAATCGATCTGCCGCCCCGGCCGATTTATGAGCGCCGATCTTTCACCCCTGTGCTTGCATCCGAACACTCGATGCTACCGCTTTTGGATTATCAGTGCTTTGCTTGATACTCGATCATGGCCATTTCAAATCAACGCTGGCATTCGAGATTGGACAACTATGAACGTGGACTCCGAGATTTTGGTGCACATCTCCGCACCCGCGACGCGGGGAAACGATGACCTTTACCGCAACTTGACTGATGCTTATCTTGGTTTTGAGCCATATACAGCTGAAGGATTTCAGAAGCGTCGAAATGAAGCCGGAGATGCGGGTGTCGCAAAGCTAGACCTTACTCAAGCGCCACCGCTCGCGAGCAGCCAGCAGAGCAGCCATCCGCCTTCTACAGATCCGGGGAATACGACTTCGAGCAAAGACTCTTATGGCAGTTTCCCCTCTCACGTAGCCTCGGCAGATCGCTCCGCAAGCCAGGAAGATGTTGCAATCCTTGGTTCTTTCGGCACGATAGAAGAGTCTATCCTGTCGACAAGCAGACTGGGCCGGCTCGAACGCATTCAAGCCAGATGGCGGGAGACAAGAGGCTCGGATTCGAGCTTTCTCCGTGACCGGGGGCGTATTGGAGCTCCCGTGTCTTCCGGGGCCAATGGCGACATGTTCATCGAAAACACGCAACTGGCCGCTCAAGCCATCGAGAGCCAACTTTTCGATGAGTACTCCACGACCTCAGAAGATACTTCAGAATCTGATGTGGATGCGGCTACCGACACCGAAATTCCAGCTTCGTTGATCAGGAATGAAGACTTAGCTCCTAAGCGTCCTGTGGCGGAAAGTCTTTGGAGACGTTCACAGAAACTCATCTTCGCGGAAGAGCCTGAAGCAAAGCTGGTATCTACGTCAGAGATCCTCGAAGCAGCTACGCAAGACTGCGCTACCACAGACACCAATTCAAGTCTCGGCGATCTCGAGAATTCTGTACCACCCTTAGACTTCAGCAGACTCCCTTCCGAAGTTTGCCCTCCGGCCCCGAAGATCACCGTGCTATCTCCCGCAACCCTGCCTTCCCAAGTGACCAGGCATCTCGAAACACTAAAACAGCAAAATCCGCAACGATTCAAGCCCTCCAAACGACTGCGGACCTTGGATACCGACGAACGGGGACATTGGTTGATTGATTGCGCTGGTTGGGCCCGCAAGGTTCAGTATGAATTCTGGATATCCCTCTGCGATGACATTCGCAGCGGAAAGCTCGGTTGGGGCGTGACTTTGCATCGAGATTCTAGGCGCCGTCATGGGCTTGGTCAGGCTCGTGTCTATTGCTGGGGCGAGGTTGTGGAGCACGTTTGGCTGTCATTGTGGCTTTGCTCAAAGGGGAAGATAGTCAGTTCGGGCTCACGATGGCTTGACGCGGAGGATGAGATGGTGATTGAGATGGCTTGAGGATGACAGTGGAACCCACGGATTGTTCGGGCCTAGTCCACACTGCTAGGGGATTCTATGCTACAATCGATCTGTTCATAATGGCAATTCTCTCGGGATTCCGCGTCACAGAAGACTAGCCACTTGAAACGCGAATATATATTTTTTCTACCCAAAATCGCTATGATGTGCACTTGAAAGCAAGGGCTGAGTCCGACCGGTGAAACAGAGGAACGCCAAGCCAATGCAATTGCTGAAGTCAGCACGCAACTCAGCCTTCAAACTGATGCCTACCACGAAGCCCTATCTCCTTATACCAGCGATGTGAGATTATCCTCCGGAGTCTAGCAGCACAATGTCTACCTACGCGCACGACGAAGCCAGCAGAGTGGCCAGTTCGGACACGTTGAGCGCCGACGAACGGACTCTCGTCGACCACCCCGAGACCGGTGACGAGGGCTACGGCGCCGGCAGGCTATCCTCTGAAGTATCCGACGGCGACCACGATATTTTGGAATCAGAGGACGAGCGGGAGCGGCTATTGACGCAGAAGGAGGGCATCTCGGGTCTATTCAACAAGGGCGTCAAGATAGGGAAGCGGGACCGCAATGCACCCGCCAAATCTCGAGAGCGTAAGAGAGGCCACAATGGCGAGACGAGCGCGCTCATGTACGAAATGGAAGAAGGGATCGGCGTGTCGAATTCGAGCCTGTCGCGGAGATCGTCAGAGAGCGATGAGCGGCGGTTACTCGCGACGGCGAGCCAGAGAAAGGTATGTTGGGCTGTACGGGAGCTATTTCCAAGGCTGACAAGAGGAAGCAGACACGTCGTAAACGCGTATGGCGCCGACTCGCCATCTACTTGAGCATCGTGGTGCTGTTCCTGATCCTCCTTTTCGCTGCGTATCGAGTATCCAAGCCAGCCTATGCGAAGGCTGCGACGGTAATGGTGTCCAATGGCACCTCGCTTTTTGCGCCTACGACTATCTTGATATCCCTCGATGGGTTCCGCGCCGACTTCCTATACCGCGGCTTGACGCCGACCCTCAATAAGTTCATAGAAGAAGGCATATCGCCCAAGTATATGCTGCCCAGCTTCCCGAGCGTCACATTCCCGAATCACTACACCATGGCGACGGGGCTCTATCCGGAGGCCCACGGTGTGGTAGGGAACACCTTCTGGGACCCAGATTTACGGAAAGACTTCTACTACACAGATCCTGAACGCAGCATGCAGCCATACTGGTGGGGAGGAGAGCCCCTATGGGTGACTGCAGAGCGACAGGGCGTCCGAGCTGCAATACACATGTGGCCCGGATCGGAGGTAAAGATTGATGAGTTCGAACCCGTGTACGTGGACAAATACAATGGGTCCGAACTGCTCCCGCTAAAGGTCGACCGCATCCTGGGCTTGCTCGACTTACCTGGCGCAATGGATCCCGGCGCGATGGATGACCAGCCCCGCCCTCAGCTCATCGCGGCCTACGTTCCGAACGTGGACAGCGACGGGCACGAGTACGGCCCCAACAGCACCGAGATCCGGCAGACGATCAAGAACGCCGATACCATGGTCGGAAACATCCTCAAGGGACTCCAGGAACGCAATCTGACTGACATCGTCAACGTGGTAGTCGTGTCCGACCATGGCATGGCCACAACCGACGTCTCGCGGCTAGTGCAGCTTGAGGACCTGATCGACCCAGCTGAGCTCGACCACATCGATGGTTGGCCACACTTCGGGCTGCGGCCAAAGAAGCTAAGCGACCTTGAGCGCTTGCACAAGCAGGTGCTCGACAGGGCACAGAACATGTCGAGCCTCGAGATATATCTCAGAGACGTGGACATGCCGGAGCGATATCACTTCTCGCAGAACGAACGCATTGCTCCGCTGTGGATCATACCGAAGGCCGGATGGGCCATCGTCGACAAGAGCGAAATGGACGTCGTGGAAGCGCAGAAGAACGGCGATGTGTATCATCCGCGGGGCATTCACGGGTATGACCATGAGCATCCACTTATGCGGGCTATCTTCGTTGCCAGGGGCCCAGCGTTCCCACATAAGCCGAACAGTCGCGTCGAACCGTTCCGTAAGTTCTCGAGTACCGTCAAGCTTAATGCGTTGCTGACCAGGCATACAGAAAACATCGAGCTCTACAACGTCATCTGCGACTCCATCGGCATCACGCCCGCGCCCAACAACGGCACCCTGCGTCTCCCACTCAAACCCGTAGGCCTCCACACAGACCCCGAGACGCCTCCCAACGAGACGCCAGCCGATCCGGTCAACACGCCAGCCGCTACGCCCACGCAAGCGGTAGCTTCCCTGCCCGCTCCACCAGCAACCACATCGCTCGTGAACGCTGCCTCATCACTCCCACCCGCTGCTCTTCCAACGCCGACTTCGAGCGCCGCGCCGCCGGCGGAGTCAAAGCCCGCTGGAGAGTCGCTGTGGGAGTGGTTGAAGCACAAGGGGGAGACCGTCGAGGAGTGGGTAGAGGACTTTTTGAATAAGCATCATAATCCTATGAAAGAGGACGGTGAGGACACGTGATAGATGGAAAGACGAGGATAGACGGAGTTATATTTGGGTATACGGGTGTTTGGTTTGGTTTGGTTTGGTTGGAATAGGCGTACGTTAGGTCAGGTTATGTTAGGGTAGTTTAGATCCGCAATGATACCCCTAGTTTGAGCGCTTCGTGCTTGGGCTTCTCCAGTCATGTGTTCTACCGACCGGCGGGGTGGAGAGATGGCTTTTTCTACTTTCCCAATTGAACATGTTTGGAGTAGTGATGCGGACGCATTTACCGTTTCTCCATTCAACCGCAACAACAACGGCATGCCATAAAAACCTGAAGGGGATACTTTTCTTTTGACTTGCTCAAGCCAGGTCAAGTACTCCGAAAGCTACATAACTCTTCTATATTTAATAAGACCTTGCTTATAACCCCTTTAATCTCAGACCAGAAACTTCAACTGCTGTGCTCGAGCACGGCCGATACCGTTCCGACGTATTTTTCTGAACCGAAGCCTTGCTAATCTAATAACTACAAAGCGAGCGGTGACCCCGATAGATACATATATCAGCCTATCCTAGAGCGCTTGCTCCATGAGTCATTGGAGTGATGTGTAGAGCCAACCAACCAGCCGAAAATTGTACAGTATGAACGTACGATAGACAAGCAAGCAGAGCAGGAGAGGCAGATCGGATCAGATAAATAGGAGGAGGTTAGGATAAGAGAGACAGGACATGCCGACCGACCGACGGAATGAATGAATGTTTTGCCTTCCTCGATTCTAACTGATCTGGCGCTCGTTGCCTTGCCTTCGAGGAAGGCCTTGATGGATGGCGGGACGGAGCTGTGCCTCGCTGTAGGGACGCCAGGATTCGTGCAACGGATCAAATGTTGCTAGCTATCCACTAGAAGCGCGAAGGTATTAGAACATTGTTGTTGAATTTACTTCAAGGGTGATCTCACGCGCAGGTTATATAAGTTAGGAAGAGAGGATAAAGTAGATGCACTCCCAGATGTGTACAGTCGCTAATAGCGAATGCAGCTTCACCCTTGCATCTTATTTTCTATATGCAGTAAAGTACGATTTCTAAAGAACGTGATAATAAGTTAACTTAACAATCCACCACCTCCTACACTAGCCCGCACCGCCATCGCCACACCACTACTACCTTCGAGCGCCAACCCTTCACCCGCTCCTGCGAACCACACCTGCACGAAACTAAAGCGCTCTCCAACGAGCGCTACAACTACGTCCCATCCGGAGTCACCTTGAAGCTGACCAACACACGCCGCCGTACATCGTCCGGTAATACTGCTTCCCCGTCACCATTGCCACCCGCGCTAAACCACACCTGAGAGACCCACACTCCAACAGCGGCAAAGGAACATTGTTCGCGCACAACGTCCCCCGCGCTACCTCTTGCCTACGCACCCACGACTCGAACCGGTCATGCACTACCGCGTGCCAGTGCCACGACACACTGCGCAAGTGCTTGACATCCTTTATGCCATCCAACCGTTCCACAACCATCCCCGCCAGCTCCGCCAACAGCGACTCCATGCTACAGAAAAAAAGCCCAAAAACCCCAAAAAACCAAGAAACACAACAGCAACACAACAGCGCGCTGCCAACCCTCCTATATACCCTCTAGAAGCACACCATGACTCATACCCGCCAATACACCACCTAGCGCTGCCCGCTCCTTCAGCCCACTCTCCTAAGCCGCGTGACCTCTGCCCCCACCACACCAAACGAACCAACGGCTTACTTGCATTCTAAGCATGCAGCGGTGAGCTCGCGGGAACGGAGCTAAGCCTAAACGCCAGCAAACCACGACTCGTCTTCGAGACGCTATCTCACGACAGAGCTATTTCGCCGACGTGGTTCCCGCTAGGAATACGCGCAACCCGCGCGTCCCCTCTCGAGCGAAGTTGAAGCCCAGCCACGGCGGAAGCGCAGACTAACGACTTTGGCGCCGTCTGTCAAACTACAGTAAACCAACGCATCCCGGGCTCTGCGATACTTCCCCGTCCTCCTAAGCGGATCTTTTCGCGACGTCATTGGAGGGGAGTGCATCGGATGGCAGAAGGACGTCGGCGTCGCTGCGAACGCGATAACGCGGCCAGGAAGTGTCTGACATATTCCATTCCATTCCATGCTACGCAGGGCAGAATGGAACGGAACGGAACAGAACCTCCTGCACGTGTCCTAATAGCCTTGTCCTATCCTATATACCCCCGTTTCAAAAACCAACCAACCAACCCCAAGTCCTCCCTGCTCTCCCAATCCCGCACACCGCACACTGCACACATTCCAAGAACGCGAACCTTAACTCTCCGCGGTCTATAATCTAAAATTCAACCAATATCTACCGCATACCTAACTCCCACACTCACACTCACACTCCCACCCTTTCAAACCGCCCTTTCCTAACCAAACCATCCCTCCCAAACCATCCCCAATAACTGCAAAGAAAGAAAAGAACAAAGGAAGTAAAGATTTAGATAGCTAGGTATCCAGCCAGCTCTAATATAATCCAACGCCTACACCAACGCTATGCGCGCCGGCAAATGATACTGCAAAAACGCAATGCAATGCAATGCAACAGATAGGTAGGTAAGGTAAGTAGCCAATAACAAGCCATTTTTCTCGACGCAAACGCGAAGACTTCCTCTTTCGCAACGCCATACTATACCATACCATACCATGCCAGATCATGGAAATGATCCATATGCCTCTATAGAAATTCGACTCGCTCCGGTACTCAACATCCAAGACCAAGACCAAGGCCAGAGCCGTCCCCGAAACCCCCAAAAGGTCCGTTCAAGCCGCACTCATATCCAAACCCGCCCGCTTCAAGCCGTTCAAAAACTGATCCTTCACATCCGCCTTCCCCGGACCCTCCAGCTGCGCCATCATCATCTGCTCCACGGCCTCAAGCCCCCTCTCCTCCGCCGCGCTCAGCTTATCCGCCTTCTTCGCGCCGCCCTCGGCGGCTTCCTCCCCAGACACCAGCTTGTCCAGCTCGAGCTTGCTGATGCCGAGGGCGTGGATCTGCTCCTCGACGGTGCCGCTAGTGACGAGGCGGACGACTTCGACGGGGCGCGTCTGGCCGACGCGGTGGGCGCGGTTCTCGGCTTGGATGTCGTCTTGCGGGTTGAAGGAGGAGTCGAAGATGATGACCTTGTTTGCGCAGGCCAGATTGATGCCTGCGCCGCCGGACTTGGTGCTCAGCATGAACACGGGGATCGAGTCGTCTTTGTAGAACTCGTCGAGCATCTGCTGGCGCTGGTCGATCGGGGTCTGGCCGTCGAGGCGGAAATAGCCGATGTCTAGGTCGTCTAGCACCCACTGCAGGATATCCATGACGGAGGTGAACTGCGAGAAGACGAGCGTGCGGTCGCCGTTCTCCTTGAACTTCTTGAGGAGTTCGACGAGCTTGGACACCTTGCCCGAATCCATCCACTCTTTGTGCTGGAGCTCAAACTTGCCGAGCGCCTTGGGGTACTTGCGTGCCAGGTCATGGCACTGATAGTCCTGGTACAGTTGAAGCTCCTCGAAAACGATGTCAGGATCGCTGTTCCTGAATCGCTCTTCTTTTAGACAAGCCTTGGACATCTTGCGGATCTTGTCGTCATCGTAGCGTTCGCGGAAGAGTAGCGGGTGAATGGCCGCCTGGCGCAGCTTCATCATGACGTTTGTCTGCTCCTTCGACTGGATCCCGGCAGCGCGATCGAGAAGCACCTTGCGCTGATCCTCGAGTTGCTGATCGTACAGCTTCTTTTGCGTGGGAGTGAGTTCACAATACTCCACGCGGCATGTCTTCTTCGGTAGATGCTTGAGAACCTGAGCCTTTTTCCGTCGCAGGATGAAAGGAGTCATCATCGAGCGGGCCCGATGGATACGCTGCGTGGACAAGAGCGTGCCGTGGGTATCGCTCTCGTTGACCTTGGCCTTGTGCTTGAAAGCAATCGACACGTATTCTTTGATCAGCTCGCCCTGGAAGATATCAGGCATGAGGAAGGCAAGGATCGACAAAAGCTCCTGAAGACTGTTCTGGAGCGGTGTACCGGTAAGGAGCAGGCGGCACTTCGCGTTGATGCGCATCAGGCTCCGGTAGCGCTGTGTGTTGGAGTTGCGAAGAACATGGCCTTCGTCGAAGATGCACATCTGCGGCCTACACTTCCGCAGAAAAGCGTTGTCCTCCTTCTTGAAAGCGAGGTCATAGGTAGTCAAGACCACATCGATGTGCCCATTAGCAACACCCTCTAGGATGTCTTCCTGCTTCGCAAGGCGTTCCGGTTGCCGTCCGTAGTACACCTCGATGTTGATCCGGTCAGAGAAATGCTCGAATTCGCGAGCCCAGTTCTCCAGAGTTGACCCTGGAACGATGATCACATGAGGACCCGGTTGGCGTGTTTCCTTCAAATGAGACAGGAAAGCAATGACCTGACAAGTCTTGCCCAGCCCCATATCGTCGGCCAAGATACCGGATATCCCATTTGTCCAAAGGAGATTCAGCCAGTTTAGACCCACGACCTGATAATCCTTGAGCTCAATGTCGTCGTTCATGATAGCAGGCTTCTTCAAAAGCCTTTGTTTTCCCTTCAGCTTGCCCACAAACGCTCGCTGCGAGATCTCGCGCAAGCCATCTCCGTCAGTATCGCTCCCGTGGGCGCTGCGCGGACTCTGATATCCAGAGTCGCGAGCAGAGCCGGCATCGCTGCGGTTGTCGAGGCTTGTAACGCCGACCTCACCTTCCGTTGAAGCACCAGAGAGATCGATACCCCAGCGAGCCATTGTGGCCACCATGGGCTTCCCGCGAAGTTCGCATTGCTTAACAACGTTATCGATGCCTTCGTAGGCGCTCCACATGTCCCTCGCAGCTTCGACCAGCCTCTGACCAAACGTATACTTGGGCTTGCGACCCTTCTTGTTACCCTTTGCCGCCTTTTGAGAGTCTACGTGGATCTTCTCAACTGCATCCAGGGACTTGAACGGGCGTTGTTCCAGGACCGCGCGGACGTCGTCCGTTTTGTGGCCAGACAGATCCACCATGGCCTCCACAGAGCAAGTGTTGAAGAAGCCGAGCAAACTGCCTTCGTCGAAGACTTCCTCATTCGAGGCTTCGGCTTCGGAGACAGTGTCAGACAGGATTTCAATGGCTTCGTCCCCGCTCTGTGGCAGTACGTCCTTCTTCTGCGGGCGCTGAGGCGTCGGCTGAGGCGAGGGGGAACGGTTGCGTCGACCACGAATAAGTCGGCCTTTCCTCCTGGGATGTTCCGGGCTCTCCGTAGCGCTGGGAGTTTGATACGTCTGGTACGTCTTCGAATACCTCTCCTGCAAGCTCTTGACAGGCGCATTGAGAGTTCGCTGGGCCGTCTTCTTCGGCTCAACAACGCGCTGGGGCGACTGTCTCAGCGCCGCAATCTCTGACGGGGTGCGAAGCAGCTCGTCATCCGAGGTCTCTTCGGCGAGGTAGCTCATGGTATCATCGAAATTGCCCTTCTTCTTCATGAGCGCCTCATACATATGCTTCACAGTCTTCCGAGGAAATACAGCCTGAATCCTCCGCACCTTGTGCTGCAAGCCCAGATCCGGGATATCCTCGATGGTCAAGTCCTCGTCCTGAGTCAAATCGACGGCCACGGCGCGCGACGGGCCGGTCTGTCGGGGCAATGGCCTCGGCTTCTTCTCTCGAGGCGGAGTGCTAGGCATGTATGCGTCCGCGGGACGCTTTCGGGGAATGGCAGCGTAGACGTAGCCAGACATGTCGAACGCCGGCTTCTGGGGCGTCTCCTCGACACGCAAAGTCCGCGGCTGAGTTTCGATCTTGGAAGGAACTATGTTAGAGCCCCTGTATGCATCCTCCTCTTCGGAATCGGGTTCGACGGGCGGGTCGTCGGAAAAAGTCAGGTCAATCGCGGGCGGGCGCGCAACAGGCTTCGGGAGGCGCCATGAGGTGCCGGGCGGTGCCATTGCATTGATAAACTGGCGCTGCGACTGGGACACTGCTGGGGAGTACCCTCGGTCACTCGCGGGCGACGAGCGCGCGACTTGGACTTGCGACGGATTGTATGTCCGGTTCGCCCGCGGTGTAAGCATCTGCGTGGGTTGCGTCGTCCTGGGAGCGGCGAAAAAGGGTGAGTGGGTGGCATAGAGTGGTTGGGTAGGCTGCGTGACGAATTCGCCGGCGAGCTCGTCCGCGCTGTCGGACTGACCGCGTGGACGCGAAGGCGAGGACGACATGATGGGGTCGGGTCGGTACATTGTGAGATGGCAGTAGATGGGGGAGTTTGCCAGCGAGTTGAGCGGTGATCGGGCGCAATTTAAATCGACAATGGCCTCAGCGGGACAAACAAAGGCGGTTGTGTCTCGACAAAGCCAGTTGCATTGTTGCGTTTCGTGGGCGCCGCTGGTGATAAAGAGGGAGTCGACTGTGGCGGGGGAAAAAAGAACGACCGACGCGACAAGACCGCGTAAAGTGAAATCGCCAAAGCACGGGCCGGAGCTTATCTCACACGAGCATTCACTACCGTCAGCCTACCACCCGTTCCCGATCCAGGAACCAGCCCATCCACCCCCGCCAACATGACAACCCGCCGAATCGTCAGCAACGAGAAAACCTACCTCGACGCCGACAGCAAAGGCGCCTCGGAGCCATCGAACATCACGCCGGCCGTGCCCGCGTGCGTCCTTCTCCCCCAAGCTTCATGCCTTATGTATAGCTCACGTTGTACTCAACAGATCGGTCATCTGGAAGCTGCTAAGCTTCACATTCGCCATGATCACACTGCCAATTGGTAGTTATTTCTTCACGCTGAAATACGTCTTCAACGGTATGTTCACTGCTCTTGTGGATATGAGAACACATGCACTAACACTAGACTAGGCAACTCCACATATGCAGGTGCACTGGCGGCCGTTATGGCGAACGTGGTCCTGATTGCCTACGTCGTCGTGGCCATGAAGGAGGACCAGTCGGAGCGGCTGGAGGAAGAAGAGCGAAGCAAGAAGTCAATGTAGCACGTCAGACCTGCGGTACGACCATTCCTCACATGTATTCCACACTCCATTATGGATTACTACATAAGTTCATGCATGCTTGGATACTTCGCTCTATGATTGCAATTCGGGGTATAAGGAGTGACATATCGGCCTCTTGCCATCGATTCTGAAGTTCCCAAACTCCCATGACTCCCACCGACCCCGGTCGCGCTTAAGCACGGCCGGGGGTAGTGATAACCCTCCCGCAAGGCTCGCAGCCTATATCCCTTCGTCATCGTGACATATGGGCGGTATGCCGATTCGTCTCAAAGTGCGCCGGCCGTCCTTCAACACCAGAACCATAGAAAGCCCCCCTCGCCCATATTTCTTAAGCAAGCACTCAGATGATGGAAGCTTGAGAAATTGGTACCTCCTATAACGCCCCCGAGATGATCCGTATAACCGCCATATCCTTCTTCATCTAGTCTTTGCTGAACCGCCTCTTGAACCAACTCCGCCTCTTGTCCGTGCTCTGGCGGGACAGCATGTTGGGTCTGCCATCACCGTTGACTGGAGGCGCCCCATTCGACTTGCCGAGCCTGATTGGAACACCGTGCGCCGGCGGCAGTGGGCCACCCTTTGCGGGAACGGGAGGTGGGCCGTATCCGTTGGGGCCATTGGCTTGCGGTGGGGGATAGTCGTTGTTCGAGGGGCCTGTTCCAGGGGCATACTCTTCAAGAATTGGACCTCCTCCAAAACCCTGGAATCCGTATTGCTCACCAAGGTCCGGCGCCGGCCTCGTTACCGGCGTTGCGCGCTCAACGGAGCTGTTGTCGCTGTTTGGGTCGCTATAGGGATCGCTCTGGCTGCCGTTCGATCCGTTGGTATTCACAGTGTCTCGCGACTGCTGGTAGCCTTGCTGGGGATACACGTTGTTCCCATTGCTTCCGTTGTTATAGCCGTGGCTGTAGCGATTCCATCCTGGGTCGGATTGCATGCGGCTGTACCGTGTTCGGGGAGGTCCTCCAACGGGCCCAACTGGACCGCCCTGGCCGTGGCCATTGTCCATATAACTATCTCGAGCGGCTTGCCGATTGCCATAGTAGCCGCTGACCTGGGAGAAGCGGTTCTGGTCATTGGCACCTAAATCAAGAGTCAATATGATCCGTCAAGCGGATCCGAGAAACGTTGTCGGGCACCACTCCAATGACACCACCCATTGGGACTGCACATGTCCCAGACACTTCCACCCACTCCCTGCCCCCAACGCCTGCAAACGCCCGCAAAAATCTGTAACGACTGCCATCCCAAGAAACACGAAACATGAAATTTTTGTACTAACCTCCATAGTAGCTGCTCCTGCGACTTCCATAGCCGCTCATAACCTCAGACTGATCTACGCAATCTCATCAGCACAAGCTTATCCACCGCGACTATCGCCCAACGTACCAGCCCGCACCGTGTGCGCCCTGCGCCTGTATTCGTTATCGATGGCGGCCTCGAACGAGCGGATAGTGTCGAGCGGGCGCTCCCATCGCGAGCGCGTAGGATTAGAGAGATCGGGCTCGGCTGCGGCGTGTCAGGATTCAAAAGGCCACATTTCGGTCGCACAGGCATACCAATGGGGTTTCCGTTTATATCAGTGTGCTGGAACGAGCGCAGCGACTGCAGCGTGGGCTTCTCGAGCGCAGCGGCGACTGCTAAATGTCAGCAAAGAGGGCCATCGCAGGTGCCGCATTTCCGGCGCTTCATACTTGGCTGAGATTCGTTCATGGCAGCATTCGGGTCGGCCTTGGTGGCGGCGTGCAGGTGGGGTTTGTTCTCGCCGTAGCTCGAGCTCCTCTCGTGGCCGGCGGAGTGGCGGGAATTGTCGCTCTTGAAGCTGAAGGTCGACTTGGACCGCGGACGGTTCTGTTGTTGGGGTTGCTCCATGGCGGCGGACATGGCGTCCTGTTATCTAGGGGATTGACGGTGAAACAGGGCGGCTGGTAGAGATGCTAATGACGGACGCGGCGTAGTGTCCGCAGCGATCGCAGCCGTTGGTGCCGTTCAAGCTGCGAAGTGGTCCCGGCGTGGGTCCGGGGGAGGTTGTGCAGGAGTAATGGTAGGTTGCTAGCGAAATTAGAGATAAGACCGGGTCCGGAGTTTGGGGGTGAAAGTCGCAGAGGAAGACAAACAGGCGGACGCAGAGTGGAAGCGACGGCGGGAACGAGCGACGGGGCGGGGAGAAGAGGTCAGCAAAGAGTGCAGCGAGCCGCGGGAGGAGGTGAAGCGTTGGTGTTGTTGAGCAGCTCTGGGCTTCACAAGACTCGTCATCCGGCGTGCGACGGCGTGGAGTGGAACCGGACCGGGGCCAATGGGCGACGATCTGCCGGAAGAGAAATGCACCAAGGATACACGAAACACGGAGCGCCGGAACCGTGGGGCGCTCAGACAATCGAAGAAGCTGCAGAGAATATCGCAATACTGTGAGGGTGGAGACAGGGCAGATCAAGGGAGTGAGTACTCTGATGAATATCCGCCGGTGTTGTCAACGTCACTCCACATATCTACGATGCTGAGACGCGCGGAAGCATCGCCACAATGTCGCACATCCCGCCCGCCAACGACTCCCCTTCCAGCAAAAATAGTGTCTGAATGCGGCATTGCCCGGATGCTGCCGCAGCCAGCCATTTTCTTGTTGCGCGCCAGCCACCCCTCAATTCTCCATTCTCCAACCTCCAAGCCGGCCACACGGCACCCTCAGCTTCACTATACCCCCGAAATCCAGCAATCACCGTCGCAGAGCTAGGAAAAAGACCGGTTTCCCCGGCGCGAAGTTCCAATCAATAGCTGCGAACTCGTACTCGCCGCAGCGCATGCAGGTAGATTGCCGAATCAGGAAAACACACCTCTCTAGCTTGGCCCATACCTAGCTCCTCCCAGCTGCGGGTGTAACCCAGAAAAAAAAAATAGGAACAGTCCCAGACATCAGCTTGGTGTCGCGGACGCACTCCACCAACTATGACATCAGCGCCGTTCAAAAAGACGTTTACCAGCCTTGTGCGCAGGCCGCCAAAAGCCACTTTTCTCTGCAGGCTGGATGGGGCTGATGATCTGGCGGCGCCTCGCGTTTCAGTCTGTTCCGAAGCGAGCAGGCAAGGTGGGTCGTGTATCACCTGGGCGTTGGCATGCACAATCCATGCACTGTGGCATTTTAAACGCGATATATTGATCTGACTCCGGCCATGCCTTTTCCATGTTGCGCCCAACAGTACGCAAAACGATGGAGTACGAGAACACGAGATCTACGATGCCAATTTGACGATGGGAACATTATCTACATTGAAGAGGTACGCTGGTCCTGCTACCTGTCTGCCAGATACTCCAATTTGCCCACCGCATCTCGACCCGCTCTCTAGCTGTGCGTCGGCATGTTCACAGACGCCTTGCTCGCAACCGCGTCCTCGCTCCGCCACAGGCTCGTCACCGTCTTCTGCTGCGTGTAGAAGTTGAGCCCCGGCTTGCCGTAGAAGGTGTTGGCGCCGCCGCCAGCAATCGACTTCTTGTTACCGGTGAACGAGAACATGGGAAGCTGGGTACAATCAGCGACGAGTATGGATTATCATGGTGGAGATATACTCACTGGGACAGGGATGGGGACGTTGATGCCGACCTGGCCGGCCTCAATCTCGCGCTGGAAGCGACCGGCAGTGGCCCCAGAGCGGGTGAAGATGGCAGTGCCGTTGCCATACTCGTTGGCGTTGATCATATCAATTGCCTCATCAATTGTATCGACGTTCAAGCAGACGAGGACGGGGCCAAAGATCTCCTCCTTGTAGCACTTCATATGGGGCTTGACGTTGGCAATGATGGTGGGGCCGACCTAGCCAACATTAGCAAAGAGCCTCGATGGCTGTTCACAAAGCGCTCACCCAGTTGCCATTGGGGTACTTCTCCGGCTTCTGCCCGCGACCGTCGAGGAGGATCGTAGCACCCTCCTCTTCGGCACTGGCGATAAGGTCCTCGATCCTCTTCTTCGACTGAGGGCTGATCACCGGGCCAAGATCAGCTCCCTCCTCGAAACCGCCGTCCATCTTGATCGCCTTCGCGCGCTCAGCAATCTCCGCCACCCACTCCTTGGTCTCGCCAACCATGACAAGAGTGCTCAATGCCATGCATCGCTGTCCGGCAGCACCGAAAGCAGCACCAGCAATGGCGTTCAATGCGTGATTCTTGTTGCAGTCTGGCAGAACGGCGGCATGGTTCTTCGCACCCAGGTTGGCCTGGACACGCTTGCCATTGGCCGAGCCTCGGGTGTAGATGTACTCTCCCGCCTTGTTGCTTCCGACAAAGCTTATGGCCCTGATGCGCGGCTCGTCGAGGATAAAGTCCACAGTCTTTGCGGAACCGTGGACGATGTTGACGACGCCAGGAGGGAATCCGGCCTCCGCAGCGAGCTCGGCCAGAATCATGCAGGCTCCCGGGTCACGCTCGGAGGGCTTGATGACGATCGTGTTGCCAGTGACGGTAGCAATGGGGATGCACCAGAGGGGAATCATGGCCGGGAAGTCTGGCGTAGCCGTTAGCCAAGTATCACTCAATCAAACGTCTCTACCTACTGAACGGGCAAATGGCAGCCACGACGCCCAATGGCTCCCTGTAGCTTCGAGTCTCCATATCCTTAGCCACCTCCAGCACCTCGCCGGTCATCTGGGTCGTGATACCGCAGGCCGTCTCCGCAACCTGCAAACCACGCAGCACATCGCCCCTCGCATCGCCAAAGGTCTTGCCCTGCTCCAGCGTGATGCTGGCCGCCAGCCGATCCCAGTTCTCGCGGATGAGCTGCACGTATTTAAACATTATCTGCTGCCTGTGGAGCAGGCTTGTGAACCTCCACGTCTTGAACGCCTTCTCGGCGCTGTCCACCGCGGCTCCGAGCTCCGCATCGGTGCTCTGCGGCACGCGCGTCACCAGGTTGTTCGTCGCCGGGTCGTGGAGCTCTATCCATTGCGTAGCCTTCGAGGCCACAAACTGGTTGTCCAGGAAGTTCTGCGTGTCGGGCGGCGACTCGATGCGCTCGTGGCTCGTGGGATACGCCTGCGCGGCGGCAGCGGCGGCCGGCCTGAGGTGCTGGGCGGTGGCATGCAGCCGCCTTACGGCAGTCTGGCTTGCACTGTATGGCGACGACATTCTGGCGGCGCAGAGGGGAGCAACGCGAGGAGCTGAGGTGCGAGTGGCTAAAGTCGCAATGCCGCGGAGAGCATGGCGGGAGGCCATTGCGGGTGTGGGGAAGTGCAACTGCCGAGCAGCACAGAAAAGAGGGTATAGATTAAGCAATTGGAAAGGACAGAGCCCGCTGCGGGAGGATTTGGGGCCCGTACAAAACAACGTAGAAATGAAGTTGCCACGGCCGCAGGAGATGTGCGGCTTAGGGCGCTTTATGTCCGGAAAACATGCTCCTTTGACAGCCCTGTTGCCGACCGAGGACCTGCCGAGGGGAACTGAACCCCGCGATACCGGTGCTGAACGCTTCGGATATCCGCGCCTTTAGAGCTCTAGAGTCAAGCGTGTGCAGCGTTTGCTCATCCAACTGTGTACTTTCTGACAAATACACCGAAGACATATCCGTAGAAAAGTGATGAATAGAGGCGAATATAATTGTTGCCATCTTTCACAGCTTGTTGCATGCCCCACACGTTCTGAAGTTGAAGGTTATTCCGACACCAGGAGCCTTCCGCCACTCCGCGACCTCGCAAAGCAAGGGCAAGGTGAATTCATCATTTCATTCTCGCGGCCAAGGCCATATTATACACTTGTAGCGCCGTGTACCCCAGAGAAACATCTGACTACCTGAAATCCAAACCGCGGAATATGTGGAACCCTTGGGCGTCCCTCCAGAACAGAAATCGACTGGGGCCCTTTTGTGGTATTGACCATTCTCTATCATTTTGCACGTCCCCTGCTCAGTCCGACAATCGAGGCTTCCCATCTACGAAGCAGCGGAGCGCGTGGAGCGCTTGTTAACCTCAGCCTGTGCCTTCTCAGCACCGCTGCTGACCGCCTCCGCCGCCTTGTCCTTTGCATCAACCGTAGCATCCTTAGCCTTCTTTGCCTGAGCCTTGACCTGCTCCTTGGACGGAGCGGCACCACCTCCAACGAGGGTGGAGACAAGGAGCGCAATGACGGTAACCGCGATGACACCAATCCCACCGGCAACCTCTGGGACGAACTTAATAGCCTCCACGGGATCACGCTTGGCAATCTCAATGAAGAGGTTGGTCTTCTCCTTGATGTAGAGGACAGGGTCGTCCTTGAAGACGAGGTCAGACGGCGACTTCGGAGTGTCGGGAGTCTTGGGCTTGCTAGCCTCCTCCTCGGCCTTCTCAGCAGTGATCTTCAGATCGAAAGTCTCCTTCTTGAGCGCCTCAGCGTCAGCCTCGGAGTGGCCAATGTAGATGTTGTCGAAGAGGATGTCGTTCTGCATGGTCCAGATTTCGAAGCCAATCTGTTACTACGTCAATTTAAATCTCTGTATAGGGAGTTGCCAGACTTACAGCGCCCATGGGCTCAAACTTGGACGGGGTCTTGTCCTCAAAGTAGTCGGGGTTCTTGATCTTGCGAGGAGCCCAAACACCCTTGTAGGCAGGGTTGTCGATGAATGGTGCAGTCCACTTGCCCTTGTAGTCGGGGTTCTTCTTCATGGGAGGCTCCCACTTGCCGCAGCCAGAAACCTCATCGCACTTGGGATTGGGAACCTGCGGGGGGATCCAGTCACCGTCTTCCTCGTCATCCCAGTCCTCTGGCTTCTCAGCCTCGGGGTCAGGAATGGTGGTGGGCTCGTCCTCAAGCCAGTCATCGGGCTTGGTGGCCTCTTCGTCAACGATCTCGAACGGCGCATCCTCATCCCAATCCTCGGGCTTCTTCGCCTCCGGATCAGCAATGCGGGCCTCATCAACCCAGTCCTCAGGCTTCTTGTCGTTGGGGTCATCAATCTCCTTCTCCGGGTTGACGGAGGGGCTGAAGTCCTCAAGGAGGGTGCCGTTGCGGATGGACTCGCCATCAATCTTGATCTCGAAGCTGTTGTCCGGCTTGACAATAAGAGTGTAGAGGGTGGTGGTCTTGACAATACGCGCCATCGGAGGGTTCTTGAGGTGCTTCTCCTCATACTCGCCAGTCTTAGGGTTCCTGTGGCGGAAAATGAAGTGGACCTGCAATAGTTAGCTTGAGGAAACCTAGCAGCCGGCGTAAAAATCATACCTTGTTGGTAGCACCGCACTTGTCGGGACCAAACATAATAATGTACGGGGAGCTGTTGGAGAACTCCTCCTGGTGAAGAGCCTTGTTGTCCTGGAGAAGCTTCATGTAAGCTCCACCACACTCCAAGCCGTCTGCAACGCCGTCAGTATGCCATTGAAGCTCAAAGCTGGGTTCTGGTGTCGCTCACTCTGCAGCTTGACTTCATACTGCACAACGAGGGTCTTTCCCTTGTTGTTGATGGCCTTGGGGAATTTGGCCGAGATGGCGTGATGGGCGGCCTGGTCCTTGATCACCAAGCCCTTGTCCTCCTCCATGCCCTTCAGCACGGAGGGCTCCTCGACAGACCATTTGCCAATGTAGGCCCACTCCTCCTCTGTGGATTTGTCGTCTTTCTTCGCGTGTGAGACCTTCCAGCGGGTTTCCCAGTCGTCGGTAAACTGCTCGAGGAAGGGCGCCTTCAGCTTGGTGGGCTATCACAGCGAATGTCAGCCAATGCTTGCATTATGCGGGATGTATCTAGATACTCACGGTAAAGGTCGGCTTCGCGATAGAGGACGTGGACGACTCGACGTCGGCGGCGGAGCTGGAGCTTGCTTCGTCGTCTGCGCGCACAAAGGCGGCAGCAAGCAGCGCTGTGGCTCCAATTGCGAAACGCATTGTGCTTTGCCTGCTGTCTGGGAGGAGAGCAGAGGACTTGGGTTGGGTGCAGAGGGAGAGAATGGGTGTTCGAGGGGTGTGGAGGTCGAATTGGATTATATAACGGCGAGCTTCCGCAAGTGCAATGTGGCCCTTTGAAATGGAGTGGGGAAGCTCATTGGCCCGCGCCTGCTCGGCTTCACTACCGGCCCCGGCGCCGCCAGCATCGCATCGATTCTTCGAGAAAGACGTCCCGATAAATGACAACTGGCCTCTGCCTTCACCCGTCTGTCCAGATAGGTCTATATGCACCGCTTCCGTCTTGCACCGGTACATTCCCATTCACCCATCCACCTCTGCATTTCACTCTTGAAGCCGATCTCACAAGTTCTCTCACCCCTCAACAGCCTTCAGCTAAAGCACCGCTCAGCATAGCATAAGCTTGATTCAGGCTCTGCGTCGCTGGCCCTTTGTCTGAGACTTCCGGTGGAGCATGCTGCATGCGTGGCCTGCGTGCTCCGAGACCTTCTCCAGGGCTGGTAGCGAGCGCCCACAGGTGGAAATCCCCGCACGTGGCTTCCGGAATAGGCAATCCACGACGTTGGCGAATAGCTTGAGACGAGCGTCATTCCCCGCCATTGCATCGCTTGCCCTTGTATGATTGCGCTGCGGGATTGACCGTGTAAAGGGCAATCCGTTAGATCTCTGAGTCTCCTCGTGGTCCGTTCAGTCAGCTGCAGATTGGACCTTGGTTACGCTCGCTGTAGGATGTTAGGATATTATGCAGTTAATGGCTCTTCTTGGGCACTTGAAACTTAAGTCACTTAAGCAAAAATCGGGGCTATAGTGTCTCGAGTCTAGTGCAGGACATCTTCACGCATCCGCAAGTAATGCCTTTGGAATCAGGCAAGAATCGAGTATTTCTCAAGGTACCATTACATTAGACCGTGTGCTCATTACTATGTAAAGCAGCCTACGATATGTCGTTTCACATATGGCAAGGCACCAAAGCGAGACTGCGGTATCGTTTGGGGTAGCGGAACGTATCCACGGCATACCGCTACCCAGGATGCAACCGTAGCTTCAATCGAAGCATTCGGGAAGATACCGCCCCAGTGCCCATCCGGGACACGTAAACCCATATGTGTGTAACCGGGGCCGTACAGAATGCTATAAAAACACCCAACCAACGCCAAACATTGCAATGCTATTCTCAACTTCTCCACCCCACATTCCATATCACGTGGGCTATGTCTCGTGCTGTGTTCACCGTATCCACCACCCGGCCTATTATGCCGGGCGGCGGTGGATTCTCGTCCTCGTCCTCAAACGGCATAAACATGCCTGATGCCGTTCGTCGCAGCCCTGATTCTGATGATTCCGCCGGGGGTGTAGAAGGGCGTCTCGAGTATGGGTCTGATGGAGTGGGAGTACTTGCTCGCTTGACACTGTAGGTTCCGGACGGATCGAAAGAAAAGTGACTGTCGTCGTCATCGTCGGGTAGAAGAAAATTAGCGGAAGGATTAGACGGTCTGAGAGTCTCTTGAGACGGGGACGGCGACAATCGGCTGGATCGCCAGAACCCTAGCGAATGGGAAGGCTGCTGGTCGGCAATGTCAGGAGAGTCTGTCCTGTATTTTAGGGTTGTGGCAGGCAGCTTGGCGATTGTTTTGCTCTCACTGCTGATACTAGTGCGTGAGTTGGTCCGTGATAAAGGTCGTTTCCGTCGCGCTTTCTTCATCATGACCACGCCCTCATCAGACGAGGAATCATCGTCCCGGTATTTCGCCCACGGGTTGTGGTTGTAGTCTTCCTCGTCCTCATCGTCCTCGCCCTTGCATTCCACGGCGATGCACTGCTCGACCTTCTCATCGAATCGAATGTGTCTTTTCTCTGATTGATCTGGCGTTTGCAGGCCCGAAGTTGACTGGGAGGAGAAGCAGTCGGTGGTATCCCGACTTGTGGTCCTCGATGGAAACGAACCTGAGAAATCAGAAGATGCGCGGCCGATGAGTGGCCGAGATCTCCGCCGTTCGAGAGTGACACCAGTGGCCTGTTGGGCTTGCACTGCTGCTGCGGCCTGCTTCACCAAGGACGATGCGGAGAGGGAATTCTGCAGCATGACTTCCGACATGCTGCGTTTCTTGAGAATTGGTTTCTTGTTGAGGAAGGAATTGCTCTTTGACAGCCGGCTTGCGGGCTCTGAATTCTGCCGCGAGAACGACCGATTTGTCGCCGGTTGCAGAGGCCCATAGAGCCAGGTCACGTCAACATCCTTTAACCTGGGTGGCGAATTAGCAACGGTTCTGTATAGACAGCGGTTGTTGTGGGCACAGGGGGGCGATCGACAAAGCAAAGCAAGGATATCAAAAAGTAGTGGAACGTACCAGTTCAGCGAATCGGGCGTGACGGTCTTCAATCCAAATTGGGTTTTGGCCCATGTTCGCCAGGACGCATTCTCTAACCTCGACCGCTCGCCGTAGACCCTGCGGTGCTCGACAATGTGCCGCCACGACGACCATATGTCCTCCTCTTTCCAGTCGTGCGAGAGATAGTCGACATGCTGCGAGGGCTCCGCGCGGACGGCTGTGTCGTCCTCCGATATGGGCAATGGATCCGGGGATGTAACTGCAGCCTCGGCGTCGGAGGGCGTAGAGAGATCGGGGGTTGGTAGGGGACTCGATGGCGGGGCCTCGTGTGCGTCGGCGTCATACTTGTGCTGCTCGCCGGCGGAGTACGCCGGGAGCATCAGTTCTTCGTCATCGCTGCTCGAGTCGTCGGATTTGGTGTTGAGCGAGACGCTGCTGGCGGCGGTGGACTGGAGCGACGACGTCTGCGAGGAGCTCAGCGAGGAGGCGCGCAGGTCGGAGAACGAGTAGCTGCTGCGGCGCGGCGGGGAGAGGGCGGACGAGTCGAAGAAGGAGGTGTGCGAGGTCGAGGAGCGGAGCGGGGCATGCGAGAAGGACGGCGAGTCCGCCATGGCGGGCAGCACTTCAGCCATTGCGAGACGCGCGCAGGCTCAATGGCTCAGCAGCGCGGAGGTGGTGTTTTGTTCAGCGGCCGGGTTCCTCCCTCCACGAATTGCCCTCGGTGTCCGGTCTCGACATGCGGCCGTGGCGGCGATGGCCGTTAAGTACGGGGAACTGCGGGGGCGGGCGTTGTTGTGCTCAGGCTCGCAGGAATGCTGGGCCGCGCGAGTGGAAGCAAGGGCGGCCGTGGGATGCAAAGTATATTATTATCAGGGCGTGGGGAGCGCAGGAGGGAGAGCAACGGGCACGCGGCGGCGTTGAGATGCAGCCCTTGTGGGAGTTCGGTGCGCGCTATGGCCACGGCAGAAAAGCTTCGAGCCGTGGGCTAGCGGGCGGCCAGAGTGAATTGCTCCAGGGCTATTCCGAACGCGGCATCCCCGCTCTGGGCCTTTATCGCGCTGCGCCGCCCGTCGGTTGCCTGCTCGCTGGACGCTCACAGTGTGCGGGACGCTTTCGTCGACCGCGGTCCAGCACTGCGGCCAAGAGAGCCGTCCCTCGCCGTTGACGGCGGCGACACACACAAGCGCCGCCAGCCAAGGTGACGGCAGGGCCAGCGACAAACACTCGACGCTTCGCCGCTGACGCTCCGACGGCGTGCGGCCGTTTCGACAAAGGCTCCAGGTAGCCGTTCGCTGGCTTGCGGCGTGGCTACGTTCGGCTGATCGGCGCAATGCATTCACAGTCCCAACAGAAAAGAGCCTGGACCGCGCAGATCAGAGCAGCCTCGCGTGGCTGCGTGGCTGCTGCTGCACCCGTGTACCTAGGGCGCTGTAAGGCCGCGGCGGCTAGAAAATTTCCAGGGACGGCATCTCTGCGCCTGTGCCTCTGTGCGACGCCTCGCCTCGTCCATGGCTCCCACAGCACACCGCGGCTGCAGTTCGTCGTGTCGCTGCGGGGAAAAGAGGGGCTCTGATAAAGCCACAGATGACGCCTACCATCAGCTCCAAGGAATCCCCAAGGAGGCCGACAGAGCTGCGCTGTGATTGCAGCGCTGAGGGCCCGATGCCACTCGACGAGCGTCGATGCGCGGAGCACTAGCCGCGTCCTAGTCTCTCAACACCAACCCCCTCCTCCGCCATGACGAGCCTCCCCACCGAAACCCTCCGCGTTCTATCCCCAGATCTGAGACTTGGCTATCGGGAAACTGCGCACTGATAACATCTGGGTTCGACGACACCGTTCATCAGCGATCGATCGATCAGACTAGCGCAATGACGCTGCCGCGACCGTTCCTCCGCCGCCTTATTGGAAGAACTGATGATCGTGCTGTCAAAGCTCTTGTTGTAGACGCGTGCTTGTTTCTGTTACGTGAGCTAGACGGCTGCCGAACCCTTCACATGGGCAATCTTCGTTGGGAGTGTACTGTGTATCTTCGTACCATCGGTGTGCGTTGGTTGGTCCCTGACAAAGCATGCCCCAGGAGCCCTCCCGCCAACTCACGTTTCCAGCCCACAATTCCTATTGGACTATTGGACCGAGTAGACTCCTGGTTGATGCGTGCTTACAGTCCTCGTAACTTCTCGGATGAACGAGGGTTCCGCATACACCATTCTCCTAGCGTGCACAACGGAGGAAGTCGGTGATAATGAATGCCAAGGGCGCGGCCCGGCGATCCTGCCCTTCAGCCTCAGCTTGGCAGCTCCTTCCGATCTAGCAATACATACAAAGACTGCTAGCATACCATCCTTTTTCGACCACCCTTCTTTTCTTTCTTTCTTTTTAATTTTTAATTTTGGTCTAACCAAGCGGTGTCGTGGCCCCGTTCACATCCCCCCGGTTGAGTTGCAGCGCTGCTGCATACCACAGTACACCACGTCGATATCAAGACACTGAAAAATCTCCGTCTTCCCACTCGTCCTATTTCTATAATTGCCGTGGAAAGAAAGTGCGACATACTTGGAGACAGTGAACGAAGAGCCCAAACCCAAGATCGATACTCCTTGGACCCTGGCCATTCCAAGGTTCCCAAGCTCGCCCAGTTCCCTTCGCTCCGGGAAGTTGAGCTCTGGTTCGAGGAGTATTGTGGCTTGGGCGGCCGATTCAACGACTTCAAGCAAGCCATCGACTACCGGAAGTATTACCAGGAGCTGCGATTGAGGGGTTGAAGGAAGCACGGCTTGTGGACAGCGTCACGACCGAGGACATGCAAGACGCCAGCACTATGTATACTATGTACCAGTCCGGAAAAGGCAAGGTAGTGTTCCATGCGCAAAGCACGGTATGCTACGGTGCACTCTTTCCCCCCATTAGAGTGAGAGCAGAATATATCTGGGCGTTCCGTGTTGTTGGCATAACAATCTTCTCGAGGCGTGAGGACAAGGTTGTCGTCGCACAGGTGTTGTGCTGGGTCAGCCGAAACACCGTACAGTACATGGCTGCCTCCTCTTCGTACGAGAGAATAACGGTGTCGCACGGATTCGTACCATTTCCGAGGGTCCTGAGTGCGAGCCAGGAGACTCTTGCTCTTGAAGGATGGTGTCCAAACACCACTATCGCTCTGCAAGACATGACCTGAGCATATCTAATCGACACGAGAGTACAGCGTAGCGGCCTGTCGGTCCTGATAGGCTCCACGGTGGAGCCAAGCGCAGCAAGCTTCAAACCGTGGCACCCCTTCGCCCCACCTCACGCTTTCCATCTTAACATCGCGAGACTGAACTTTGACACTTTTGGCTCCTGGGACCTCATGATCGACGGTTGCGAGATGGCCGAGGCCTCGGAGATCTCCATGCGGCTCGTCCATGTGCCCCGCAAGTCTAATCACTTCGCACATCGGCTTTTTCCCGCGCCGAAACCGAGCGCCTCTTCATCGAGTCATCATGTAGATTGTACAAGCCGCTGCTGACCCTGCTAGGATTATGTAGCATCAAAAAGGTCTCTTCTTCTTGCGCTCATTGTTTTCTGGCATTATTGATACGATGGCCACCTCTCCCAGCGACGACACCACGGCTCCGCGGAGCAAACCGTGCACGCCTCCGAGCGCGCATCCTGTGCAGGACAAGGAAATCGGCACGCCGGTCCCGTCATCGAGCAGCTCCAGTCCCGAAAAAGAGGAGGGGTCTAGACAGACAGTTGATATGGAAGGAGGTGAGCAAAATGAGGAGGGCACTGCACCACAAGCTCCAGCGCTCGCCGTGCAAGAGGAGCCGAAGCCGCAGCGGAGCAAGCTCAAGATTGCCCTTATTATGCTCTCGCTGGGCATCGCTGTGCTGCTCGTGGCACTGGACATCACCATCGTAACGACCGCGCTCCCTACCATCGCCGCAGACTTCCACTCCGCGTCCGGATATACTTGGGTCGGGTCCGCCTACCTGATCGCAAACTCGGCAGCCACGCCAATATGGGGCAAAGTGTCAGACATCTTTGGAAGGAAGCCATGTCTGCTCATCACGAACGCCATTTTCTTCGTCGGCTCGCTGCTTGCTGCCGTCTCGGTCAACATGAACATGCTCATCGCTGCCCGCGTTATACAAGGCATTGGAGGGGGAGGCCTCATTGTCCTCGTCAATATCGCCATCTCGGATCTGTTTGCCATGAGAGAAAGGGGAGCATATTTCGGCATTATTGGAGGCGTGTGGGCACTGGCGTCTTCCCTAGGTCCTGTTGTCGGAGGCGCCTTCACCCAAAAAGTTAGCTGGAGATGGTGCTTTTATCTCAACCTGCCGCTTGACGGATTGGCCTTCGCCATCATCCTCTTCGTCCTGGACCTGCACACGCCCAAGACGCCCTTGCGGAAGGGACTCAAGGCGGTCGACTGGCTTGGCTCGCTCACTATGGTAGGCGGCACCATTATGCTTCTCCTTGGTCTCGAGTTTGGCGGCGTTACTTTCCCGTGGAAATCTGCAACCGTCATCTGCCTCATCGTCTTCGGCGTAGTCACCATCGGCCTCTTCTTTCTTGTCGAGCACCGCCTCGCCCCATATCCTCTCATGCCGCTTGATCTCTTCTCAAAGCGGTCCAATCTTGCGGCACTAGGAGTCTGTTTATTCCACTCATTTGTATTCATTTCGGGCTCCTACTTCTTACCACTCTACTTCCAAGCCGTACTTGGGGCTACACCGATCCTCTCAGGGGTCTATCTTCTACCCACCGCCTTGTCTCTTTCATTCCTCTCTGCCTTCACTGGCATCTTCATTAGGAAGACCGGACAATATCTTCCTCCTATCTGGTTCGGTATGATCTTCATGACAATCGGCTTCGGATTACTCATTGATCTCGGGCCCAATTCGTCTTGGGCAAAGATTATCATTTATCAAATTATCGCGGGCATCGGCGTTGGACCGAACTTTCAGTCACCGCTCATTGCCCTACAGAGTCTCGTTCCGGTATGTATTACCCAGGCACACTTCATCGGCAATACAACGTTGGCCCTTGGTAGGGCCACGGCGTATCATGGGTCCACTCTTTAGGTTTTGTTGAGACTAGCACTGACAAATCTGCAGAAACGCGACATTGCCACGGCCACAGCCACGTTCGGCTTCGTACGCAACCTTGGTTCAGCGATATCCATCGTCATAGGCTCCGTCGTCTTTCAGAACGAAATGGCTTCCAAGCAGCCCATGTTACAGGCAAGCCTCGGATCCCAGACTGCTGCCGCCTTCGGAGGCGGCTCCGCCGGCGCCAACGTTCGGCTCATTCAATCCCTGCCCGATAACGAGAGAGCGGTGGCACGCCAAGCATTTTCAGATTCTTTGAGCACGATGTGGATCATCTACGTGGCGTTCGCGGCCGTGGGTCTAGCAGTGAGCTTCCTAATTACACGGAACGTGCTCAACAAGCACCACGAGGAAACTAAGACGGGCCTGGATGTGGAGAAGCAGAAGAGGGTAGAAAGGGAGGCTGAGAGGGCGGAAAAGAAAAGGAAGAGAGCGAGCAAGGGAGATTTGCCTGCGGATGTCGAAGCAGCTGCGAATGGCGCCACCGCAGAGCGGGAAAAGGAGACGAGTGCATAACAAGTGTACGGAAATGTAATGGGGATGTAAAATTATGTGGTGGCGAATCTGCTTGGCGTATTCATATCTAGCAGAATCATCATATATAGATGTAAAAGTAGTTCTATAGCAAAATAATTCCTGTCTACCTACAGTCTAGTGAAATTCTGGGCAACCCCCAACTAGCGGGTGAATGGCCCAGAACGCCATGAAATAACCACTCCACACGTGGACGTTCGCAACCCAAGCCAGTGACGGTCGAACTGTGCATACGTGACGCTCGCAACCGATTGCTCATCCATACCTCAGCCCTATTACGCAGCCCACAAGTCCCTAGCCTTGAATAGCAGGCAGGCAGTCCGGCATTCACAAGTGACGACGAACGCAGACAAAGAACATTCATCGACAAGACAAGACATAAAGCCCACGTCTCCGACGCCCCTGTCTTTCTCAAAACACTATTTTCCGGGACAAAGCCATTTTTCTGTTCAAAACACCACTTTACTTTACAAAACGAGTATGCGCAATGTGCTATTACCGCCTCTTCGTCTTCTTGGGCTGCGGCCATGCGGTGCCCTCGCTACGGCCTGTCCGCCCTTGCGCAGCCGCAGCCGCAAGGTTGAAATGTAAGAGAGGGGAGATGCTAAAGCAGCAGCAAAGGGAAGCTGGGGATGAGGCATGTGTGCTTCCGCAGGCGGAGGCAGAGAAGCATACCGCGCTCGAGGGCATGGAATGCGGGCCAAACACAGCACCACCGCACACGGCCGTCGCCTGCCTAGCCCTCCGAACGCACCCCTTCCAGTCCCTCAAGCTGCACCGCTCTTGCGCGCTGTGCGAGCGCACGCGCGACGCGCTGCTCGAGCGCGTGGCTGAGCGCCACGAAGTGCGCTTCCGGGACGGGCGGTGGAGGGTTAGGTATGCGAGTCCGGGGCCTGGGGAGAGGGGCGCGGAGTGGAGCGGGGTGGGGGAGACGTTGGGGAGCTGGGTGGGCGAGTGGAGGGGTGTGGGGGATGCGGTGGTGGCGGCGTTGAGGGAGCCGGGGGGGAGGGATAAGGAGATGGGCAGGGAGATGGGGTATAGAGGGTTTGCTGTGTAGGTGATGGAATGTGAGGAGGAAGTAAGGAAGGGATGAAGGGATGGGGATCGGTGCTCGGGAGGGTTCAGTCACGTGCCAGGTCTTGGCCTGCCAGGATCCGCTGCGACCGTCATTGGAGCTCCAACCCTCCAGCATCGCCAGCTACCACCACCACGACATCACCCCATTGACGGCCACGACGCACTCAGCCGTCCCACTACAGCCATCCCCGTACTCGCGACTGAATTTCTCCACACGCAAAGCGCCGCGCAGCCGCAATGCCGACCCCCGAGTCCGAAGCCTTCCTCGCCAAAAAGCCCAAGGTCGCCCCGACCTTCGAGGGCGTCGACTACGACGACAACCAGGCGCTCAAGGCCGCCCAGGATGCGATTATAAGAGAGCAGTGGGTGCGGAGCATGATGGCGCGGCTGGTGCGGGATGAGATGGGCAAGTGCTATCGTCGCGAGGGCGTGAATCATTTGGAGAAGTGTGGGCATTTGAGAGGTATGCGTATATCGCAATGGTATTTATATGGGTCGGACTGTCTGGGCGTGATTGCTCTAGCGGATGTGGAGCTCCGCCCGCTTTGTTCGGCTTGTCGCAAGTTGTTCTGAGGGGAGTATTGGCTGACTGATGGTGTGCAGAGCGATACTTTGAGTTGCTGAAGGATGCTAAGGTCAAGGGATACCTTTTCGCGCAACAGAACTATATCGAGAAGACCGAGTAGATGCCCGTATCGAGCAGACAGTGGCGGGAAGAATGACGGATAGTGGCGGTGGCCGGGTACCTGTTGGACCATTCACGGGAGGCCGGCTCTCAAGCAGTGGCATGGCACGAACTCAGCCGTAGAGGATCGCTTTCACAACATACTGGCGGCTTCCGTCAGACTGGCGAATTGTACATATGTCCACCAGCAAGCGGATGAGCTAGCATAACCTGCTGCTGAGACAGGAGGAGTTATCTGATTCAATTCACAGGTTCCAGCATAGTCTAAATCCCGTGCTTTCTTGAACAGACATCAAGCCTCAGACTTCGCAGCTTTCCTCCCTTGTCTTTAATACTCAGCATGGCATGATAGCATGGTGCCAAGCTGAGCCCCACCATCCCAGTACCTGCATCAACTCCCAGATCGCAACATCACCTCACCACCTCCGAAAATGCCGTTCCCATTCGTCTTGCCTACTACCTCAAGCATTTCCTTCACCGATTACTTTAGCAGTAGCACCCACCCTTCGCTCCCGAACTGCGCGACAACCGCTCGGGGCGTTGTCCGAGACGTGCTGAAGCGGCACAAGCGCATCCCGCCAGCCTCGCAAGCTTCCCATCTCTCCACCGTACTTTCCGCGCTACAAGACTACATACCATACCTCTTTGCCCTAGATGCTGGGCTGAGCGGCACAAGCTGCGCTGGCGAAGAGATCGACCTGGTGCTCGTCAAAGAAATCGAGGTCGAATGGCGCTCAACGCTTGGAGCTACCATCCCAGGGCGTGAGCCCCCACGCATCAAGCTAAAGAGCCTGGAGAGCGAGCTCTTCTTCACATTGTCTACGCTGGCCTACGTCTACAGTCTCCAGGCTCGATCACAGCTTCACACCCTCTACAATGCGACCCTGCCGACCCCCGAACAGCGCGCAGCAGCCATCAGTGCGGCAATGAAGCACTTCCTCGATGCGAACGCGGTCCACACATACTTGGTGCATCGGGCTCAGCAATGGCATACGCAGCCCGTAGCAGTGGACATAACGAGTTCTGTCCTCGGGGCGCTGGCTGAGCTCACCATGGCAGAGGCAACCCTTATCACGGTCCTGAAAGACGACCCATATCCAGCGGCTGTCGTCGAAGGAAGGAATAAGAACAGCAAAGATTGGATGTTCAGGGGCGTGGAGATACCCAAGGTGCGCGCGCATCTTTTCGCTCGCCTGTGCCTAGCCGCCGCCGAGCATGCGTCGAAAGCCCAAGCCATGCTGGGGCGAGCGAAAGTCGATGAGGGCTTAGCAAAGTATGTGGATGACTTCCGGCGAACGGCTCGAGGAAAGGCGTGTCGCTTCCTAGGGGTGGATGCCGAGCTGGCTGGCAAGACTGGAGACGGGATTGCATGGCTTAGGGGCGCGAGGAAAGAGCTGGGTTTTACAGCTGTGGGGGCTGAGGAAGACAAGAAGGCGTCGGGCTTCTCGAAGCTGAAGAAGGAGTTCCAGGAGAAGCGGGAGGATCGCAAGATCGAGAAGGGAGAAGGGTGGGGAACGGATGCTGGGAAGTTTGAGGAGGGGAGGGTGGTGGACATGCTCCTAAAGAAGTGGGAGAAGATGAATGATACGGTATGTGGCGGCATTCTGTTCCTCTGCATAGCTATATTGACTCACCGTGACAGATGGAGGTGCAGTTAGTACCGCCATCAGAGCAGCTCCTGGCAAGCATGCCGTCGGGCAGGGAGTATCATACTGCTAAGATGTTTGTCGTGCCGGCACTCGAAGAGGACGCAATTATCCGCATGAGGGCACCCCCAGATCCTGGCGACGCTTTCGAGGGAGAAGAGGACGATAGCGCCGACGAGGATCAGAGGCACTCTCCCGTTGGCGCTTTTCCAGGCACCAAAGCGGAATACTCTGCAAGCTCGAACTACTTTTGAGGCTGCGGCCTTTGTTTCCTCCGGTCATCGGTCGATGGAGCTAGGGAAGATCCAGAGGGTAGCGAAAGCGCTCAACGCCTAGAACAAAGGGCGATGTCACACGGAGTCGACGGCGGTCCCCTTTGAAGTCGGGTTTTCCGTGGTCATAGGCCACGCTCAATGGAGACCTGACAAAGGCTCGGTGGTGAGCTGGGCAACAGTCTAGCGTCCTTCTTTGTACTGCATCCCAGCCCTACAACCCAGCATCAGTCTGGGACCCTGCCTTGTCCCATGACGGCCCGTTGCATGGTAACGCACTTGCCTGTTGCGGCAGGTTCAGCCGAATATAGTCGGGTTGCGACCCCATGCTCTGACCTGCATTCAAACGAGTCGTCGGAACAGGTCCGTGAGGGGTGTCCGCAATCAACTCTCGACGTCCACGTAGCGACAATGGGCCATCAGCGTCTCTTGACAATGGCGCTTTTGTCTCGTTCTCCTGCACCGTGTGCGTCTGAGTGGCGTCTGCGCATGTGCACGCAAGGGAGGGCTAATCGCAGCAATTGGTCAATTAAACGACACGAAGCAGCTCTCGACCAACCGGGCGGCCGTGCAAGCATCCGACCATTGATAAGAGGCGCGCATCGCCAAATCGTACAGAGAGCACCCCGCGCCGCATCATTTGCTGCCCCTACGCCTATCGCCAGGCTGCCGGGTACAGGGTCGAGTTACCGCTTCCGACCTACTGGCCGCGTGCGTGCGGAGATAGCTGCCCAGGTGTTGATCGGGAGTGGCATTTCTGTATAATATGAGTTCAGCTGGCTTCCCGTGGTTCAACCTGGACGCCCGTCTGGACTGTCAGCCTCGATACCATAGCGAGCCGTTTGCCGCCGCGACCATGTCGACCGATGCGCCTCGCAAGCGCAGCGTCGCCGATGAACCCGTCACGTCTGTGCTTCCTGGTGGTGATGTACCGTACGACCCGACCCACGAGTTCGACGCCGACGAGGAGGTGCTGGCGGCTTTGGGTTACAAGAGCGAGTTTAAGAGAGAGTTTTCCTTGTTTACGACCTTCTGTGTTAGCTTTGCGGTGCTGGGGTTGCTTCCGAGTTTCGCGAGTACACTGTACTATGGCATGGGTTACGCGGGCACGGCTGGTACGTTGTGAGATGGAAGCCATGCGGTTGTGTGACTGCTACTTCATTCGACGGGAACTATTGCTAACCTTTGGTAGGTATGACATGGGGCTGGATAGTCGCTATGGTTGGGATCCAGTGCGTAGCGTGCAGCATGGCGGAGCTCTGCAGTTCCATGCCCACCAGCGGAGGTCTGTATTACGCGTCTGCGGTACTTGCACCTCCCGGCTGGGGTCCTCTTGCGGCGTGGATAACAGGATGGAGTAATTGGCTTGCCCAAGTCACTGCTGCACCATCCGGTAAACTCTCACCGTCCTAACATATATCCTTCGAAGCTAACTCAGGGCACCAGTGAACTATGGCGTAGCTGCCATGATCCTCGCAGCAGGCTCCATCCAGAACCCCGACTACGTGCCTACGGAATACCAGACATTCCTCCTCACCGTCCTCCTTATGCTCATCCACGGCGTCATGTCCTCGCTCCCAACGAAGTGGCTCGCGCAGATCAACTCAGGAGGCTCCACATTCAACTTTATCGCTCTAATCATCGTCATCATCATGATCCCCGCCGGCACGGACCGAGAGTCGCGCGGTCTCCCCAGATTCACCTCCTCGAGCGAGGTCTGGGGGACTATCTACGAGGGCACCTCCTTCCCGCCCGGCATCTCCGTCTTGATGTCCTTCATCGGCGTCATCTGGACCATGAGCGGATACGACAGCCCCTTCCATCTTGCCGAGGAGTGCTCAAACGCGAACATTGCGTCGCCACGCGCCATTGTGCTTACTTCAGGCATCGGCGGTCTGCTGGGCTGGTTCCTCCAACTCATTGTTGCGTACACGGTCGTCAGCATCGACGACGTGCTGGAGTCGGATCTCGGACAGCCGTTTGCGGCCTACCTTATGCAGTGCATGTCGCAGAAGGCGACGCTGGCTATCCTGTCGCTGACCATCATTGCGGGCTTTTCTATGGGCCAGGGCTGCATGATTGCCGCGTCGAGAGTCACGTTCGCGTATGCGCGCGATGACTGCTTCCCGCTGTCCAGCTACTGGAAGAAGGTCAACACTACGACGCGCACGCCCGTCAACGCCGTGTGGTTCAACTGCGTCATCGGCATCATTCTCCTGCTCCTCATCTTCGGCGGGGAACTCGCTGTCGGCGCGCTGTTCTCCATTGGCGCTATCGCTGCTTTCGTCGGTAAGTACGCCTCAATCCAATCCAATCCGATCCAATCCACCCTTCTCTCCCTCCCACATATGCGTAGCTAACCCCCTCCCCCCCACCAGCCTTCACAACCCCCATCTTCATCCGCGTCTTCTTCGTCGGCCACCGCTTCCGCGCCGGCCCCTGGAACCTCGGCCGCGCCAGCATCCCCATCGGCGTCGTCGCGTCCGCCTTCGTCGCTCTCATGGTCCCCATCCTGTGCCTGCCCAGCGTCACCGGCGCCGACCTCACCCCGGACATGATGAACTGGACCTGTCTCGTCTACGGCGGGCCTATGCTGTTCGTGCTCGTCTGGTGGGCGGTTAGCGCGCGCAAGTGGTTCAAGGGCCCGAAGGTTAATGTCCAGCATCTTATGCTGGGCCGCGCGGAGAATGTTGTTGAGGGCGTGGGCGAGGGGAAGGCGGGGGAGAGGGAGAGCGATGGGGAGATGCCGGAGCTGGGGCTGACGGGGAGCACGGATAAGCCGCCCGAGTTGAAGTAGAGGGGCTTGTGTGGACAGGGAATGGGGAGAGGCGATTCTTGAAGTGCGTTGGGTTGAGTTGCTTGGATACTGTTCTTTGCTTTTGGGTAGTGAGTGTTGGCTGGAGTGTTGTATAGTTGTATGAATGGATGAATGGGTGGATAGATAGCGAGGTAGCAGACAAAGTGCGCCGCCATTCGATCGTTGATATTTACGTTCCTCTTCCTTCTTGATGTTACCGCGTGAGTAATGCTTACAATACTCGAGGCCCGCAGATAGGAAAGAGAGATCGAGATTAGAGGACTGCCGTCAGTAAGTAGGCTTTGCGTTTACAGTATCATCTTCACAGCACTGAAAGTCCAGGAGCAGTCGGTTCGTCTAACGGTGTCACGTAGATTCAGAGAAATGTCTATCGCAGAGCTAGCTAGCTATCCCTGCGCTGCGCTGCGCACCGCACCGTGATCTAGCAAGCAAGCAAGCAAGCAGTCCCCTTGCCAAAGAAGACGAAGAAAATTGGTATCCTAAAAGATTAGACATACAGCCATCGCATTCACTCCTTGCTAAACTGAAAGGAAGGAGACCACCCGCACTCCTCCCTCCTCAATCCAGCACGCTATCCCCCGCCTTCGCCGCAGCCTTCGCGCTCTGCTGCTGCGTCTTCTCCTCTTCGCTGCTGTCCTCTTCGTCGCTGTCCTCTTCGCTCTCCAACGCTCCAGCGACCTCTGCCTTCCCCGCGTTGTTCTTCCCCGCCCCCTTCCTAGCGAGCGGCTCGTACTCGCTGTCCTCCTCTTCGGTGCTGCTCACCTCCGGAATCGCCTGCTCCTGCTCTATCTGCTTGATCTCCTCGTCGCTCACCATGCCAACCCTCGACCCGTGGAACTCCGTGATCGGGCTCGTGGGGTTCGAGCCGGGCGACTGCGGCACGGGCGATGCTATCGAGGAGCGTGGGGATCGGACATTGTTCGCGGAGGAGGAGGAGGATATCGGCGCGGCGCCGAGGGCGGGATTCGCGTCGTCGATGTGGCGGGAGGGCGGCGAGTGGACGGGTTTGGAGGTCAGTTTGGGGATGGTGGGGCTTTTTGCGGTGGGGGGTTGGTCTTCGGCGGCTGAGGAGGAGGGGGCGGCGTGTGGCGTTGCAGGGAGGGGGATTGAGCGCGGGGAGAGGATGGCGCTTGTGTCTGCTTTTGAGCCCTTTGTTGGTGTTGAAGCGGCGGGCGAGTTGAGCTTCTCGGCTAGCAGGGGGTTGGTGGTGGTTATCTTTTCGGGGACGTGCTTCTTCGACGCTGCGACCTTTGCGGCTTCGGCGCCTAACTGGCGGAGAGCGAGGTTCTGCTCTGAGCTAGATATGGGCGTATTCTCCTTCTGGGCCGCGGTCGCGGCTGGTGCAGCAGCAACTGGGGCGGGAGTAGACTTCGCAGGCACAGGCGCTGGTGTAGAGGACACGCCCAGTGCTTCCTTGAGCTCGTCATACTCATTCCACTCTTCGATCTGCTCGAGATCCTGAAGCAGCCGTTAGCGCCCCCATTGTGGCTCGACAGATACACCCGACGCACCGCAATCACAAAGCCCTCCTTCACAAGCAGCGGCAGCTTTTTTCCCCTCGCTCTCCGCCCATAGAGCTTCCGCGCCAGCTCATCCGTCGCGGTATCCACACCCTTGAAGGGAATCTTGTTGGCTTTCAATATCGTCTCAATGCGCGACGTAGCCGTGACAATATGCGAGGAGCCAGCAGTCAACGAAGTAAACAGGTACAACGTGGGATCGTTGTCGTAGACGCTGAGTTCAGACATGGCGTGGACAGGGTGATGAGGCGGGGCCGGATGCGGTGCTGCCTTGGAGCTTACGGATCTCTAAGTGGAGCAGGGACACGAGAACGAGAAGGAGTAGGAGCGCAGAAGCAGTGAATAGCGTGCGTGTGCGCCCAGCGCGCAATGGTGCAATGAAGACGTGTGCTCTTGGGAGGCTGGAGCGCCTCGACTCAGGGAGAGGCGAGACAGACGGCGCCATCCGACGGTGGGGCTTAGCGCCGTGATTACATGATGCGGGGCGCCTTCCACTTTCAAATGCAGGGCAAGCGCATCCTTGATCCATGGGACGATGAAGTCGATCACAACTCGTGACATCTATGGTCTTTGAAAGAGGAATCGTGAAGCCTATACAATCAACGGAAGTAGCGGCCATTGGCCTTCGTAGCCAGCGGCTGGACCAGGGTGACAAACTAGGATCGAAGAACTGAGCGGCTTCTGGATTTGCAGAAAACGTGAACTCATTATATACGTATGCAAAGTAGATTAGAGATTAGACCCAGAGCGGCCTCTCCAGCTCCCTCGCCATTGCGTCCAAGTAGCTGTTCCGGCGATTCATTGTGCCATCGTCGTATTCGTCGACGTATAATTACCATTGCCCTTCCCAGCGAGGACGGTCATCAACGCATCCCGAACCTCAAACTCCTCGAGGACGGCGCCAAAGCTGTAGCGAGCGAAATCAGTACAGGTCCTCATCGTAGCAAGAAGGAAGTCGTACCCATAGCATCTAACTTTGGCAAGGAGCTCGCCCTTGATTTGTTGCACGTCCTCCTTGGAGAGCTCCTTGAACTTCTGGTCCTGCAAGATCATCGCCCAGGCCATGATAGGCGTGATCTCTCCATCGAGGGGAAGACGGTTGCTGAGGTCCAGCAGCTTCATTAAGTCCGGCATCGCGATATCCGGCATCTGATGCGGATAGTTTTCTTGCGGGTGGTGCGCAATATGATGTTCGGGCGGCGCAGTCGCCATCAGCGCGTGGCCGCTGATTGTCTCGTCGGCGTCGTGAGCCCGCACCATTAGGAATTGCATGTGGTCCATGCAGGGACGCTCTAGACTGGATGGCGAAGAGCAGTCAGAACAGAGCGCAGAAGATAGAAGAATCGAGACGTACGATGAGCGAATTAAAGAAAAGAGAATTGAGGGGTGACGGGCATTATTGCTGGGGTGGAGGAGAAAGATAAGGCGTTCGATCGTACGTTAAGACGAAGTCCACTCCGATTTGATCATAATCCATCCCGCCGTTGGGGTGAGGGACCGGTTGCGGCTGGTTGACGGCTATGTCGTGGGAAACGGATCCTCGATGCGGCATCGTGGGCGGCGACGTGTAGCCGGTTGAATTGGTCCCAGGGCCGTAGCCGCCTGACACGCTGCCCGCTGAACTGCTGCCGTACGTTGAGCTCCCGAAAGGGGGTAGGCCGTTGCTCGGACTTGAGATGTCAAATGATATGCCGTGGGCCATGAGCAGTTCCTTCAATCGTCGGTTCTCCTCCGCGAATGCGTCGCGCTCTCTTGAAGTGTTGGCGAATGAATCCTTCAGGCGAAGCACTTCTTGCTCTAGCGCTTTGATGTACATCTCCTTCCGCTCTCGGTGCGTTCTTGATGTCTGTCAGAGCTGAGATTGCAGCGTCATCCGGCGATCATACCTTTGCGCCTGCCTGTTGAGCTCCTGGCGCCGGGTCAAGGCCGGCTTGCTGTCGGGCTTGGGCCCCCTCCTCTTCGGTGGTTGTCCATCTGATGATGATTAGCGAACTCCTGCGACTGACGCCTGAAGGTCGCACCTCGTGTCGTCTTCTTCTCGGTCAGGTTTTTGAAGAATGCGAAGTTTGCTAGCGGACTTTTGGAATCTGAGTTGCTGCCTATTGATTGCCATTGCCCCTTACTCTCCATTTCCGCCGCGAAGCCAGCCGCACTACCTCTCCGGCTGCCTGCCGCCTCGGAAAAGCACTCCGAAGGGCGGCGAGAGACAGGCGAAGGGTACTCGACGGCAGCGCCGGAAGGAGGGTAGGTGGGCGCCATGGTTAGCACATCCGACCATGACATGTAACGATTATGCGACATAGTGAAATATTAGGGAAAGATGTTAATCGCAGAGGATAAAGAGAAATTACAATAGGCGTATGTATATGGGGAGCTTTGACATGGTGAGGGTTGCACGGCCTTGTATATGTATTTCCATGGTCCTGCTGGTCTCTGCTCGCAGCGGTGAAGGGTGCAGTCGTCAATGCGACGATGCCAGACTTCGGTAACGAGTATGCCGTAGGAAAACGTGATATAGCATTGCGCTGGGTGGCACGACGCTGCCTCGACGAGACTCGCGGTGTCTCTGCAGAATGCTTTTGGACATGGGCCTGGCAGAGGGAAACATATGTAGCAGAAATAGACCAATGCCGGGGGCGCGAGCGGTGCCAAGCAGAACAGGCAGGAGGCCAAACCTGTTGCAAGGCGGAGACAAAACAGAATGGACGTCAAACGTAGGGCAGTTCAAGCACGGGGAGGACGCCAAGACGAGAGCAGAGACTCACCAGAGCCATCCGGAAATCGAGCGTCCCCGGTCGAGGGGTCGGGCGAGATAGCAGCCATGCTATGCGGCTCGCATTGATCAACAAGCACGCCTCGAGGTCAAACGGTTCAGCGCCGTCGCGTATGCGTTCGTCGAGCGGCCGCGGTGCTGGCGCTGGCGCTGTGCACGGCATGTCAGTCCACGTTCCGACCCTGCACATCCGAAACATACGCACCTAAGCGCGGTCTGGTGTTCACGGTGCGGCGGCTGCGAGGATACTGTGTATGCACAGGACTCTGGCTGTAGCCTGCCCGAATCAGCGGCGGGTCGAGATGCTTTTGAAGGCTCAGGGCGCGCGGCGAGAACGGGATATCGATGGTGGTGACGCGTGCGGGCGCGAGTGTGGTGGGACGCGCGAGGGGGCGGGGGCGCACTTTGGAGCTCTCTGCGTCGCAGGACGAGGCCAGACAGGAGGGCTGAGGGCGATGCGACCAGATGCAGTAGCGAGCCCGACGTGCTTCAAACACTTGCAGCGCCGCTGTTTAAAGCTGCTCGACGAGGCATGCGCAGCGGTGGCTGCGGGAGAGAGCGGAAGAGCAGGCGTCTGCACAGCCCCGGGTGGCTATTTGGAATCTTGCAACTGGAGAGCTAGTGGGTTGCCAATGCTCGGAGAGGCCGGGCTAGACGCTCAATGCACGATGCACGCTCAGCGGGAGCGCGGGTCGACGTGTGTGGTGAGCAGAAGTTGCGGCTCTGCGGTGATGTGCGATGTACGATGCGTGGGCGACGGGTGAGTCCGCGGGCCGCCTACACCGATTGGGGAGTGGACTAGTCGGCGGGCGCAGGTGGGGAGGCAGACGAGATGCTGGAGAGCGGCGGAGCAATTGCACTCGCGCGCGGCCGCCAACTCTCTTTATCGTGGAGAGACGCGCGCCGGACGGCTGATGGCCTGCTGATGGCGCGCTGGCCGGTCCAGGCCCTTTGCGCTTGCGCAGTGGTCTCCCACGCCCAACCATCCATTTCATGTGAGCGCTCCAACTTCCCCAACCCCAATATCAACATCTCCGCATTGTTAATCTGCATCATGCCGCACGCTCAGGCCACAAGTGCCTATTTCTGTCCCCTCGTGGCCACGCCGGCTTGGACTTTGCGGAGACAGCGAATCGCGAGAGGCTGGCATATAGCCAAATCCCCATGCCGACCGTTGCTCCTTACGAAGACCTTACGAATCAACAACTCCTGCTGCACTCCTTCGTACGATCCTTGCGAGCTGGCCCATCACCTGCACCAAAGCAATGGCCTTGTTCCTGGCCGCGCTGCGGCGCACTGCAGCACACTGCAGCCGTTGGCGATCCTAGTCAGCAGTGATTTGGAAGCCAACCACCAACGTCACTCACTCAATGCGCACCCGTCCGCGCCGCGACTTCTCGCCCAGAGGAACACGATGTGCCTGCATTGCAACTATGTTTGACGGTCAAGCACGTATCAACGCGACGCTCTACCCCGCACGTCTATATCCAACTTGTCACGAGTCCTCTAAGCCCTCCTCATGGTTACACGACCGCCCTTACAACGATGCCTTTGGCTTGTTTTGTAGGATGTTCTCAATCTCCCCCATGACCTCCGGAGTCATCTTGGGCAGCAACTTCAAAGCCTTGCAGTTGTCGTGGACTTGCTGAGGCTTCGTTGCGCCCAGGATTACGGTGCTTACGTTTTTGCTGCAACATGTCAGTGTCTGGGAGACGACCTCGCACCTTGACTGCTGTCTGGGGAGAGAGCTTACTTCGCAGCACACCACGCAAGAGCGAGCTGGGTAGTGGTGGCTCCGAGCTTCTCGGCAACCTTACCCAGCTGCCTCACCTTCTCTAGCTTCGCTTGGCCTTCCTCGCTCTTGAGTTTCTCGATGGTATTCTTGAAGAAGTCAGGGTTGTTGGCGAACCGTGAGTCCTCTGGGATGCCCTTGTCGTATTTGCCAGTCAAGATTCCAGAGTCTAACGGGCTCCACGTTGTGGTCCCATACTGAAATTTCTCATACAGAGGCGCGTACTCTTTCTCGAATCGCTCCCTGTGGAACGCATTATACTGCGGCTGCTCGGCGACCGGCGCGATGAGGTTGTACTTCTCGGCGACAGCGTGGGCTTCCTGGATCTGCTCGGCCGACCATTCTGACGTTCCCCAGTAATACGCCAGGTTCATGTGGATCGTCTGCGTAAAGGCCTCGACGATCTCCTTCATTGGCACGCTGGGGACGGTTAGGAGAGCCACAAAGAGGACTGAACCGTGACATACTCTGGATCATAGCGATGGGCGAAGACGATGTCGACGTAGGGCGTCTGCAGACGAGCCAAGGAGCTCTTCAGTCCCTCGATGATGTGCTTCTTGCTGAGGCCCCTCGTGTTTGGCTCCTTGCGTCCGGTTCCAAAGAATACCTCAACAATGTTAACAAAGCAGTCTTCAAGAATCGCCCAGTGCGAACTCACCTTGGTCGTCAAAACGTACTCGTCGCGCGGCCAGCCCAGCTCCTTGAACGCCTCACCCATCTCGAGCTCACATTGACCCCGCGCATACGTCTCAGCGGTATCGAATGTGTTGACGCCGTAATCCCAGGCCGCCTGCATGCAATCTTTCACAATTGAGCCCTTCTGCGTTCCACCATACGTCAACCAGCCACCGAGCGAGAAGACCGACACCTTTAGACCCGCAGGTCCAAGGCGCCGAAACTCCATGTCATGAGGATCGAATTTAGACTCGACGGCAGGCATTGCGAATCTTGCAGAAGTTGACAAGTATTGGATGCGTGAAGGATTCAGAAAAGTTGGGCGAGCGCGCGGAAAGTTTTTCAGAATTGAAGCGAGCTGTGGACGCAGCGTGGGGCAATTCATCTTGGATTTCTAATCTACGTCATGCCAGCGAGAAATAGGAAGGCATTTTAAGCGGGAGAAAGAGAGGGGCATCAACGCCACAACACGTCGACATCACCATATCGCCGTCAACGCCGTCATTAGCTCCGGCAGATTACCTGAGAGTTTCCAGTGCTGCTCAGGGGTCAAAGGGGATCGTCCAATCTCTCAGGCTCTCTTCCGAAGGATTACCAAGCCGAGAAGAGCCCCACCAGACCTGCGATTGGCGGTATAACCCATGAAAAACGACTTCCTCTGCAGAATCCTTTCCCCAGACTGTCAAGAACTGCGGCGCAAGGTTGGCAAAAGCTTGACGCGGCACTTTGTTTTGAAACGAACCTGCGGCACCGAAGGGTGAGATCAGCGCCCAGCCTCACCAATCAGACCGCGCCAATCGCGCTTTCACGTGACCCCGTCAATCATCCGCCAAGCAAGGGTTGGCTGCCGTTCTTCCATTGTTCACCCCTGAGTACTACGCGCGAGGTAAGATTATTGAAGGAATGAGCCAGCGCACTCGCGCACCAAGTCATAATTAGGCTTTGTCTCGCTCCCTTCACACAATGTTATTCTCTTTCTCTACCTACCTCGTGAAGGCCTTCATTATTGTCACGGCGCTAGTTCGCCCATATAAATTCTACAGTCGCTCTTTTTCCTCTTTCGTTCCCAGCAAATCGAAGCATTACATACCCAGTCCTAGATAGACTCAATACCCCCACTAATCATCAACAACATGGTCAAATCATCAATCCTCCTCGGCTGTGCCCTCGGCCTTTTCGCCGCCGCACTACCCGTCGACGAGTGCAGCACCCCCAACACCAACTCGGGCGCCGCCACCACCTCTCTAACCGCGGACACCCTCATCGCCATCGACCCCAAGACCGCCTCCTGCGACGGCGCCACCTTCCCCGCCGAGTGCGCCGACGCCTCCCGCGCCGCGGCCTCCATCAGCAAGTCCTTCGAAAAGTACAGCATCGCCTCTCCCGGCGAGCAAGCCGCGCTCATCGCCCTCATGCTCTACGAATCCGGCTCCTTCAAGTACAACAAGAACCACTACCCAGAGCCAGGCCGCCCGGGCCAGGGTACGCGCAACATGCAGATGCCGCAGTTCAACATTGACTACGCGGCCAGCCTGTTTGGCAGCGCTGCTGTCCAAAGCGCCGGCTCGCTGGACGGCGTGCTCGAGCTCGTGAGCAAGGATGAGGAGAGCTTTGGCAGCGCGGCGTGGTTCTTGAGCACTAAGTGCTCTGCGGATGTTAGGACGGGCTTGGCGGACGCGACGCCGGAGGGCTGGGCTGCGTATTTGACCCAGTGTATTGGCACGACGGATACGCCGGATCGCGATACTATCTGGAAGGCTGCCGTGCAGGCTTTGGGGTCTGGGAACTAGAGCACGAGCGTCGTTGTTTGATTTGATACCTTTTCGCTGCGGTCTTAGTTCGCGGTTAGCATTATGCGTTCTTTTCTGGCTTTTTAGACGGCTGTGGAAATGGCCTGGAGTTGTTGGTTTTGTTTTGTTTTTTTTTGTTTGGGACTTGCGTGGTCCTGTCGTCGCCTGGGTCCTTTCTTCTGGACTTTGGGTGACCTTATAGATTATTTATTGTTTGGGTTGCAAATTCTGGTTCGTGCTTGGAGTCGCGATGTGTGAATGTCACTACGTTTGAGCCGATTTCTTGGCTTCTTCGACTCTACAAACATAACCCGTCTCCTGTTTCAGCAGCCTTACCGTTCTTCCCGGCGACCACCATCTCATTCCCCACCGTGATAGACAATAATATGTACGTTTCTAAACAGACCAACTTCTTCGGGAGAAACAGGCCACTTGCATGACAGCTTGGGTCGTGCACATCTCAAAACATCTACTTTTCCCCATGAGTCGGGTGAAGTAAATTTCCATGCGGTCCAAAGAATTTGGTACAGTGGGAGGTAATCTGCCTCTTCCCATGACAACTCAGTAGTCTCCGTGGATTCTAGGGGGAATTGTTCGATAATAGCCTTGAAGTCTTCAAATCCGTAAGCTTCATAGTCGTCCCAACTAACGAGACAGTATTAGCAGAACATAGGAATAGGATAGAAGGGATTACATACCAGCCGCTATTCCAAAATTCATGCCTGGCTCGATACCTCGAAATCGCTTCAACGAAAGTCTCTTTTCGAACTAGAGGGCTGATCTTGTGGATGGGTACAGCGACAGACATCTTTAATCTTGCACATGGCGTCACTCCGAATGAGTTATGGCAATGCCCATGTCGGTCAAGATTAGTTGGATGTGCGCTTTGATACAACTTGTAGAGCCCTGAGCTGACAAGTCCCTCTCCAGCGATGCCCTTGAAATGATGCTTCAAGAAGCCGTCGAATATCTAATAAACGTCAGTTACACATCAGCGAATACGAGTGCTCCTATGTACCGGCCACTTGCTGAACCACTCATACGGCAGACTAAAATCCCTTCCCAGGAAATCTTCAAAGCGAATGTTGTCATCCAACAGCAAAGTTGGAGCGAGGTATAGAAAAGGCGAAGACAGACGAGAAAAAGCTCGGATGTGAGTCATGACATGCCTAAAATCTATTAATAGGGAGATCCAAAAGCGGATTGGGGACTTACATGAAGTACATAAGAATACTTCGGATAGTAGCGAGGATTTGGAATAATCTGCAAAACTGAGCTATCGTACAGTAAACTTATTTATTCCGGAAACTTACAAGTTGTTCAAATTGTCCAAAACTTTCATACCGGGACTAATTGGCCGGACAGTCTCAATTGAGGAGAGGTCCGTGTTCGCGAAGGATACTCTACTATCCCGGTGGGCGTCCGCTCTCCCGGGGGGATAATGCGCTCGAATTCTGTCTCGGCTGTGGTCCTGAATACCCGGAGATCTGTTCAAGTGTGTTTTTAAACCATCAACGGCTTCCATAATCGTGGTGCCGAGAGAATTGTGTTCAGATCTGCATGCTTCTAGATGGGTCTCCAATGATCTCAGTCTTTGGAAGGAGGAACCGACTACACGCCTATATCATCATTATTAGATCTCTATTGTCGTACAAGGGTTGCGGGTAGTTTACAAAGTTTCGTATTGCAAGAGTAACTGGAGAGTTTTAACTTCGGCAGATACTTGGTTCCTCAGGCGGTCCACCTTTTCGGAGATGAATAAAGACCACTTAATCTTGCGCAAGCCCGCGCGTAAGGCTTTAGAGGCATTCGTCGAAGATCTTTCAACCGAAGGTTCGTGTTTTTGGATCTCGGTGATGAAGGTGCGGAGTGGTCGTTCCATTGCATTGGCCAAGGTTTGTACAGCTTGTCGAACCATTGGGTCAAGCGTTGAAATGTTGATATCTTGTAGATACTGTAGAACAATGCACAGGCATTGCAGGAACTGCATGGTATCCTGATATTCGGAGGCGGCTCCGTTCGTTTCATTTAAGGCCTGTACGATTTTCATGAAGACCTCAATAGCAAGAACGATGTCGCCCGCGCTGAAGCCGAATGGGACGGGCATGACTCCTCGACTGGATGTTGTAATGCGAGATGAAGAAGTAGGCTTAACTACGGAGTGAGGATTATAATAGCGCTGCTGCCTGGACTATGATGGGGCTTGGGCCTGTCTGCGGGGTAGCATTTTCGCAGCGCAGAAGCTGATTGGGGCACGACCTGGTGCAGCTGATATAACTAAGAAATGGTTACCATCTCGTATTGTCGTCCTTCTTTGGCGAATTCCTCCACTGCCTCGCCCTCCATGATGCCAGGGACATATACTTTGCCTACCAACCTTCGTGACCCATCCACCTTCCTCAAAACCGCTGGCATAGGAAGGCCAAAAAGAATCCATAGCTCGTCTCCGGACTGGATTCGATCGATTGTTGCGCCAACGTAGCCACTTGCTGTGGTGAATATGTTTCCCCTTTCTTTCCGGTGAATATCTACTAATGGCATTAACGCGGGTCCTTCGGTTGGGTGCATGTATGGTTTCGCTTCATGCTGCCCGAAAAAGAATCCGAGATCCTTGCCCCAGTAGTCGACGGTTGCGGCTCGTTCGTAGAATGAAGAAAAATAATCATGTTCCGTTCGCTCTACGAAGTCGCCGGATTGAAGGACCGCTTCCAAATTCGCATTCGCAGTTCTTGGGACTTCGAATACGGAAGTGACATCTCTTCGCTGCGGATTTGGCTGCCACCCGATAGCTGTGAAACACTCTGCAAGAGCGTTCTCGAGACCGGCGTCGCTGCCGTACCGGTGCTTGTTCGGTTTCTGAAATTTGGGAAGGCTTGGCCCTCGAGCGCGCTCCATCACGCTCGAAAAGATATCCTTTAGGTTGCTTGCCAACGTTTCTACCGAACATTTGCTGATGTCTGTCAACATAATGCGGAACGCGTCCAGAAGGACCTCCTCCCACTCCTCCAATAAGGGTAGGCCAGAGTATGGCCGCTTTAATTCTATTGCTTGAAGGAGGAGGGGCTTAGCGTACGCTCCTGTTTCCGAGATAACGTCTATCATGGCGCCTTGACATGTTATGACTGGGACTCCGAACGATTTTGCTCCTATTGTGATCTTTGCAACCTTTTCCGGTCCGTCAGCGTGATAGAGACTCATACTGCCGGTTACCTCTGGTAAGGCTAATTGACCGTTTCGAAGCGCCCAACTTAGCGTGATGTCTTTCCAAGGTATAGCCAAATTGGGGACCCAGGAGGGCCACGCATCTACTCCAGGCGAGATATCACCCACGAAAAGAAGCATATGCAATGTCGACGTTGCTTTAATGTGGGCTATTACGAACTCGGCCATTACCATAGCTGGGCTAGTCGAAGGACTGTAGTCTGGTTTGATGGCTGTAGCCAAATCCCCAGGGAAGAGATTCATCAAACCGTAGATCCTATCTCGGGAGTCCTTGCAGTGCGTCATACTGGCGAGACGGAGGATCAGGCTTGGGAACCACCATGACATGGCATTTTCGTCAGAGAACGAAGAGCTCGATTTGATCATGGCGAACGCGTCAGCCAGACTCATCAAATGATTGTTGTATCTCAGGAACCTATGCCCAAGGCTCGGGGAGGAAGAGGCCAAGTCAGGAATGATAAGTGCGTTCGAGAATTGTTCCCTTCGTCCGATGTTGAAGTAGTACACAAACTGAAGAATATTCATCCAAGGGAACCTTCGGTTGCCACAAATAAGGAAACTCCCGTTCGGAGCAACGGATGTTTCTTGCACGATCCATGTTCGGTACCAGTAAGGCAGAGCTGAAAGAACTGCCTGCATTTGAACCATCTCGAGGAAGTCAAATTGGGCTAGCCAAGTCGACGCCAGCTCCTTGTTCTTCTTTTCGATATGACCCATGCATTCCCCGACGAAGTTCATGAATTCGAGAATTTTACAGTGTTGCTCTGTGACCTCACTGAGCCAGATAGCTACTCTGGTGGAGTTCTTGTAGATGGAATACATTCGGGTGACCTCGACGTTCCGCTCTTCAATGTCGCCCTGATTAATGCATATAGCATCGGCCCATATAAGTAGACCAGAGCGGACTTCTGGAAGCTCGCGCAGAGCTCGGAGTGCGTTCTCCAAGTTCGCTCCGACCTTGAAAGGGGAGCCGTCGAGGAAAATGTCGGCTGTTTCGTTGGCTTGGTCCGACGTGAGATGGTTGATGAAAGGTAAGGCTTTGTTCATGAGTTCTGCGCACCTTGGGGAGATGTCTTCCAGAATTTTTCGCAATCCGAGTAACTGAGCGTGCTCGTATGACGTAGCTGGCTGTCTCGCCCAGACGTAAGAAAGAGCAATATATCCAGACAGCGCTGCCTCATTCGGCTCCTTCGGTAGATCGGCCCAAAGCCATGTCTTCATCCACTCAGTCCATAGCGCTTCGTCCTGTATCTCATCCCAGTTGTAGCAAGGCACAAGGGTTTGGAGATGACTTTTGCTTTCTGTGAACTCCCGACGAAGCAGATTCACGCGTTCACGGCCCACAGCCTCGGGGCTTTCCTCATGGTGATCGTACGCTGGGCCGTCGGATGGAGTAGACATGTAGTATGCTCGCATCTTCTTTATGATGAGGTCGAGCGAATTGATGAATGCGGATGCAATAGTGGCCAAGGTGCTCTTCTCCTTCGCCGCCGGCGTGAACTTTCTGAAGTCATGGTACTCCATCTGACAGCGTACGGGATCATCGTTTATCGAAAGAGACCGGGCAGACGAAGGTGCACAGGTGGATGGCAGAATCCTCAAGAATCGAATCTCGTGCCTTGACCGGTCCAGTGGGCGATAAGGGTTTGAAGGGGGTGAACTCTGGCCGGCAGATGTCTCCATATATGCGGTGCCTCAAGCGCGGGCGTGCGGATATGGATGTCTTCCGCCCCAAAACAATAGCGTTGTTGTATCTACCCCGTGTTCTATCGTCTCTCAGTTGTGCGGAGCTGTATTCAGGTCGCTCAGTGCGGGGTACGAAGCCACAAAAGCCACTAGGCTTGGCGCTGTCAGCTGGTGATTTGTGAGCAAGATATGAATTACCAACGATACTTGGTCCGATCGGCGTCGCCAGACCCGTGGTTGGTGAATTGGGGGTGAATAAGCTTTACGTGATGGAATGGGGCTAGACATAGGACAAGCTAGAGTATATGATAAGAGACGACAGAAAAATATGCCAGTTTGAGAGCGGCAGAAATGTTGTACAACTGTTGCCTTCGTCTCTGATCTATTTGAGTCCCGTCAAGATATGGCCGTGAGAGCTACATATTGTCATGACTAAATACGAGCGCGACGGAGAGAGCCGACTTGACAAGTGGGGTGCTTTGTCTCTTATACCGTGGGATGGTTTCAACGAGACTGAGGTGGTGCGTTCTCGTGGGTGACTTCGTGGAGTTTCGTCACGTTAACGTAGCCCCGCCTCGTCGCAAAGGCGTTACCTTTCGTGATCGCCTGGGCTTAGGGAGCCCTACCCTAAGACTTTGCTGCGATTGGTAATTAGTATCAGAGAGGAATTCTCACAGGAACCTCTCCACCGTTATCTTGCCCGAGCTATTCATCTTCATGCGCTTCCAGTATGCCGCCACTTATTGGTTTCGTGACATTCGGACAAGCTGAGATGGCGTTCCACCATCATGACTTGCAGAAGGTGTATGAAGTAGAGTTGGATCAAGAGTCTATTACGGCGGATTTTGTCTTCTTGGAAGGCAAGGTTTTCCTACCCAGATAATCAAGGTGTGCTTTGTGGTTTACTAAGCGCCGTCTCTGGCCCCACAGCGGCCCGTTCCTTCGGCCCACCGTCTCGAACACAATCCGTGTCTCTTGACTCCATGGACTTCTCACAGAACAGTCGACAATGGTGTACCGATCAGGAAACGGACGCGATCGCGCGACACGCCGACGTAGCCACCCGCCATATCAGGAGCGCAGCCCCGGAACGTATGCCACTGGTTTTCTTTGGGCATCGTCGGGCGTTGCTCTAACTCCCCCTCTTCTCTTGGCTGTGTCCCTGCGCCCTCTTCTGTCTCACCTTTTGCCAACACAACGGTGTTGCCCTGTGGCATCATGGGCCCCGTCCGCTTGCCCTCTCTCTGAGCAGTATGTTACACTAATATTTTAATACAATGCCTTCCACTGATGGTATCCTTCCATAATTCTTATCGCATAAACCATGGCTTCCATAGCGCGCTCGCAGAATAGTTTCGGTGCGCCGTTAAAGCGAGTTTCGGGCGGCCGACGCTATAAGACAAGTAAGGAAATCCACTCCTATTCCGAACTTTACGGCTCACGTGCTAAATGCTGCAGATGTTCGGCCTGCTGACGACATTCTGCTATCGATATTCCCCACCGCCGCAGGGCCGTCTTTGACGTGGTACAAATACTGGCTACCATATCAGGTCCAAAGCTTTCAGCACGACCTCAGCAACTCTTTCGCTTCCACACCATTTGAATCGACAGATTCGCTATTTTCGAAAGACTCGAACATAATGAAAGCGTTCTGCGAAATTGCACGCCTAGCCAAATGCGACGACGCGAGCACGCTGGAGCTTATCTCGAGAGCGGTGCGGGAACTGGACATTTTTAGCAAAGGAACAGAGTCAGATCACAATCTCCAGCAATTTTTGGTATTCACATTTCTTGGCTGGCAGACAATGCTATGGGCCCCGTCCTTCACGCCTTCGTTCGACGAGCTCATCGTCCAAGATCCTCTGATTGGCGTCAAAGCGACGAAAATCATCAACAAAAGTCAAAACCAGAGAGACGCCAAATTGCCTCTATTTCGCTTCCTCTACGGCTTCGGCCAGTTACTACCAGCACCCCCGAAGAAGGACGTCTACGATGTGGAGAGGGGTACTCCCGCGAAGCATTCGGAGATGGTAACTCCTAGAGACCTGAATTGGTTCCTCCTCAGCCGGATAGGATCCGTCACAATAACTTGGATAGATACCATGGCCGAGCACTTGACGTTCGACTCCGGGAACCGCGTCTTGTACCTATTCCGATATCCCTCATTCGCTGCGCGGTGCATGGGCGAGTTGAGCGAGGATGGCGAGAGATCCACAGACAGCGTTCTGCATGCGTAAGTTGCCCGCGTTCAAGGTAATGCCTTCTATAACTGACGTCTCCCGAATAGGTGCGCTGCGCCGGTAAAGAATACCACCGACTGGCCTTGTGCAGACGACGTGACCCAGTTGTTGCAAGAGATTCTCCTATCCTACAGGCTCCTCTTTGGCCAATTGAAAATCTCGCGTAAAGAGTTCAGATCTCTCTCTCCTTTCAATGGCCTCCCGAAATCCCTCAAGGACCCGTTCCTCAAAGAGCTGTGTAGCAGGAAATCACCCGATATAAGTCAATGGATCGAGGAGAAAGACCAATATTACTTGTCCGATGACTTCCCAATGTTGAGCGAGCAGGTATTGGCGCTTCATCGCTTCTTAGCTAAGCACAATCCGCGTGGCTGGCGCCAGGTATGGCGCAATCGTCAGTATACAGAAGAGTGGTACGCATTCTGGGCTATCCTTTTCATTGGCATCATTGGAGTGGTCTTGTCGCTTATATCGACGGTATTACAAGCCTTTCAGCTTTATCTATCGTACAAAGCGAGGCGTACCTAGTACAATGCCTTCAGGAAGGTTGTCGAGCAAACCACGATGCTTCCTCTCGATAATGCCACTGCCATAGTACTCCGGAAATAACACCGTCGGACTCCCTTCGAAACCGCAGCAGACCCATTCGATGATCGAAATATTCGAGCATACAGTCTTTAAGCCATTCGTCGCGCGTCTTGGGCAGGAAACTGTACGTATCGCCGCAGTGGTGGGCCAGAGGATAGGACGAGGAGATCTGATCGTTGAACCGCACGGCTGGGGCGTCTTGAGTGTATTCTATGTAGATGGTGGTTGCAAGCTCAGCGTTAGTATAGGTTCCAATGTAATCTGGAAAATCCACCTTTCCCGTCTGTTCGGTCCGGTCCTTCTCCAACGGCGCCAATATCCGAGTCTTGAACCATTGCCTACTTAGCTCCGCCTCATCCTTAGCAGCAACGACGAAGTCCACGCGAGGCTTCAGATCAAAGAGCGCTTGGGTAAGGATGCGGCCTATCCAGTCACTCGGATCGCCGTCAGTGCCTCCGCTCGACAGGACTACGATGACACTGTCTGTTTCTGGAAACATCATAACAATGGAATTGTAGCCAGTCACTTTTCCATTATGCATTATGACTTGAAGTGGGGGGGAATGCTCCCCAAGTATAAGACGATGGTCCGCTCCAGACAGTTTCGTTTCCTTGTTGAAGCTGAGGAGGCCAACATTGGACGAAGGCAGAACGACCTTGAGCCAACCGAGACAATATGCGCATAGGTTCTGATGGCGATCGTTTGCAGGTTGCGGATAGAAATCGCTTAGGATTGTGGATATCTCCTGGAGGTCGTTTGGGGGATCATCCATATTCGACTTATCTTCGGACTTTGCGTCCTCCCATTTCCATCTTGCGAGTATGCTCTGACCCCAAATTAACATGTCCTCCACTGAGCTCCGAAGTCCGCAGTGGATAGATGCTGTAGCAGTCTCTGCCAGAAAACTCGTCGGATGCAGCCGGGTCATCGTCCCATCACTGAGTCTAGCGTACGGGTGGGCCGAGTTCTCGTCCTCTTGCCGTCCGCTCGCGAAAGTCCTCCTCATCCCAAGCGGTTCAAAAATGTTTTCCCGGAGAAACTCTCCGTAATGTTTGGTCGATTTCTTCTCAATAATCTCGGCCGCCAGTGCCGTAACGTCGTTATTATATAGCCAGTAGCGCCGGAACCTGGCTCCGTGCTCGTTCGCCGTTGGTAATCCGTTCAGAATCCGCACTAGGTCGCGACGGTCTGCGATGTTCGTTCCCCTCGGGCCAATATGCAACACGTCATGCTGCGCAAGTCCCGTAGCATGGCAAAGTACATCGATGAGGTTCGCATGCCGTGCAATATTCGGGTCGCCCACTGGATCGAAATCGGGGAGGTACATCTTCAGCGGCTCACGCCAGTCTAGAACTCCCCTGCTAACCAAAATTCCCACAGCGGCTGATAGGAATGATTTGGATAACGATGCAATACAATACAGTGTAGAAGAGTTGGCTGGGAGCTCATTCTCGATGTCCCTGAGACCGAAGCTGGCCTTGTAGATTGAATTCCCTTCGTGGACCACGCCAATGGACACCGATGCGGCTCCGCAGAGTCCCATTATCTCTTTGATTGGTTGCTCACAGTCCTCTATTACAGAGTTCATCGTTAGTTCGCGGAGTTGAGGAGAGTTAGCTTGCAATGACCTGTAAGTTGCCCGGATTGTTTCTTGCTGACAATCCTAGGCATTGCCATATTGCTTCGAACAGACAGAACCCTCTCAGCAGCATAGCCACGAAAAGCGATCATGTCCACTTACCCCATCTACAGATGCTCATTGCTAAGACTGCTCTTCTTGGGCCTCTACCATCATCGGCCAATGAATTCGAATCGCGTGAAGGACCATCTGCAGGACCACGAAAGAGGGGCGATCACAAGCACGATCAATGAGGTAGGCTTCGGGATAACGGAAGAAGCGGACGACGGAAACGAAGAACGTGGGTCTACATGGCATCCGTACCCAGTCAGAGTCTCCCGTTCAAGCCACGGCACTGTTCATCATCGGTGAGAGCCCATGCCCCACATAGCCATTATTGTTACGAGCCCGATAGCCTTCCGAAGTGTGCCCCATAGTCGGGAGTGTGCCCCATGATCGGGTGGGTTGGAGGGCTTTGCCCGTTACACAGCAGCGAGGCTACGGTGAATTGATAACACCGGCGTTTATTGGTTCTTCTTGTCCTACCAGAACCGTTGAATACTAGCGATCCTCGTCTTCCCGGTAAGGCAGTCCTCCTCCACGCCACATACGAGGTCCATGGGCCGTTTGCGGAACTCCAGCTACTGATAGTAAGCAGACCCTTGGCCCCATGACACACACACGCTGCAGGTAATGGAGCGCTTTGCATAGGAAAGCCCTGGGAGCCTGATGGAGCGACCTCATTCACCATGTGACAGAAAAACTGGCCTGATGGAAATGCATACTCAGACCACTGGCTAATGGAGAGGGTATTTATCTTGGTGCATGAAGGAAATGCCGAGACCCAAAAGTATGGATATTTAAGCCTCCTGATTCTCCCAAAGTTGTAAGATGCACGAGTGCTAAAGATTCGCAAGGCTACGTCAGGCTGAACTCGAGCATCCCAAGCACGCACGAAAAACATCCCAGCAACAGGTTAGTGGTTGAATATATGGTAGGCCGTGAATGAATGCTAAGGATTTAGAAAGCACACATAACTTCAACATGGCCAAAGGCGACGCTAAAGGCGGCGGAGGTGGCGCCTGCGCTGGCATCGGCAAGCCTGCTATTGGAGGTGGAGGCCCTGCTCCAAGGCTCGGTCAAGACGGTGGAGGCGGAGCAGGAGCTTGTGCGGGCACAGCTACCGCCACGCTCGGAGGTGGTCCAGTCCCGGGCGGCTGAGGAACGTTCTGGTCAGAGCTCTGGGTGTGAAGCGTCAACTTTCACTCTCGCTTGAAGCCGTTGTTAAGCCTGTCAAGTCTCTCGTTGATGCGGCGCTGGAATTGTTTCGCAGACCAATACAATGGCCGATGTCCCCTTGCAAACATCTTCACGTGTGATGATTGTGAGCACAAGAATTCCAAGCTACGTCGTTTTATTTAGTAAATCAGCATTCCGCAAATACAGACATCTCCTTTACCTCTTAGTAGTAAGTATTAAGATATAAGTTAATCATATAAATTAAGATTATATAAACTAGTAATTATAAGTTCCTCTGCGGAAAACGATCCGCCCAGCTCTGAATTACCCCAAGAGGGGTCTCTTCATACTCTCGTAGCTCTACCTCACCGTTTTCCTTAAGGAAAGTGTTACCTTGGATGAAAGCCCAAGGCTTTGACGGTTGTGCCTTCACAAGCTCCCGAACCTTGACCCATTTGTCGCTCACCGTTGTCAACGACTCGTAGCGTTCCGTGGCTGCAGTGACGTCGCCAGTACAACGCCACATGTGCAATTCGAGCATGAATTTCTCCACTGCTCTCCTGCCGTGGGTGATGATCTTCGTGCGATCCAGGTGTACGGTCACTCTTTTGGATTCGTTGTCTTGGGACAAGCTGATGAAGCCTTCTTCGGCCATCATCACTTGCAAGGTTGCGAAGAAGCCGCGCTCGTGCGCCTGACCCCAGACCTATTGCACGTCAATTAGGAGCGCTTTGCAGCCCAATTGTTGTAGGAACTCATACCTTCTGTTCAGGGTCGTAGACTCCAAGCGCTTCGACTCCGTTGACAGCAGCGTGAAGGTAGGCGACATAGATCACTGGTGCACGTTTAGTAGAACAAGGGTGTTCCCGATGAGACATACCCACGATCATCGGCCTTGATCTTGCTATTCTCATCATAGCCAAAAATGGACAGGACCTTGGGATTAGTGATCAGATAGAGGCCCACGCAGTCTGCACGACACTCCTCCAAGGTGGTCGTAAGCTTGCCGAACACGCTAGTTGTGGTTTCGCCTTTCTTGTAGAAGGATTCGATAGGCTTATCGGTGAGCGGATTGAGCGGCGGATGGTCCTTGTCAAAGTTAAAGGAACCATCGCTATTTTCTCTCAGCAGCCTATTGCCCGTGCCATGTCCAATCAACTCGTGCAATGCTATTTGAATGTCCCATGTGTAATACTCTACTGAAAGGTATTCAGCCGCCTCCGAAGGGACCACGAAACGTGCTTCCTCGGCCGGGTCGATGAGGCGGAGATCAGGAGGTTGGTTTCGGTTCGCGATCATGACATTCTTGAAGCCGGCGCGATCTCGAATGTCAGGGTACTAACAACATGAGCGTTTTTTAACGACTGTGGGGAATAGCATACGTTTGGAAGATTAATACCGAGGAATGTGACGCTCGAACAATAAGTCAATGCTGCATTCTTGTTAGCGCATTCACGGCTGGGTGGCACGTGCATACATACCATGAATGGCGGTGAATTCCGGAGCTTCAAATCTGTCGCTTTCAAAAGGACCCATGCCATCACGATCTTTAAAGTATCTGACCCAAGGCATGCCACTAATGAGCTCTTCAGATGCCTCAACGAGCTCTCGAAGGGTCTTCGATGCTTCCTTGTCAGTCAGAGCAACCACCCCTTGGAATTCTGCTCGTCTTCCGGCGGGGTCTCTGTACTGTTCCACGAAGCCGATGATTGACTCAACGATAGGTGAACGGTCCTTGAGCCACAAGGTTTGGGCTTCTTTGAAACGAGCAATGTCGCCGCATGTAAAGTAGGCGATGTACTCTGAAAGGAATTTCTTTTGAGCATCGGTTTCGCTGTTGTCCCGGGCCTTTTCCAGGGACTCGCAGATGCGCTTCAAGGTCTCGGCATGTTCTCCTCTTTCGAGTTCAACCAAGGCCCCAGACGCCGTCTTCCCGAGAGACCTGGCTGGCTCCTTCTCAACGCATGCCTGCATTACCTTAAATCGACTTCCTTCGTCTGTCACATATTTGGCGATCCTCGTGTTCTCCGGTCCAATTGCGTTCTTGTCAAGGAGCTTATCGATCTCGTCGACCTCCTCCTGGGATATAGGTTCGGGCCCAGGATAATAGGCACTCTGCGCGTGCTCGCTTGGATACCCTAAATGCCCTGGTTCGGTTGAGAGCATCGGCTCCTTGCACTCTCGAAGTAATTGGACCGCTCGCGCGGAAGCGTTCTTGGCGACGGTCTCCAAAAAATCAACCGGAACACCAGGGACGAATTTCTTGTCCCCATAACCATAATAGTTGCCCTGATTGTAAAGAACTAGTGCGGCATATGTATGGAGCTTCTCGAGATGCTCAGCTGCGTCGGGGTTGGCGGTTTTGTCCAGTAGCGAGTTCCACTTCCCATCACAGCTGTGGTGTAGCTCAAGGATAAGATCGAATATGGCAGCCGACTCATGGGACACTTGCTCATGGGTAATGAGGGCTCCATCCCAAGATGCCCTGAAAAACCTTACTATGTTTCCTCAAGTTTTGGCCGGGGACTCACCTGCTCAAATGGTGAGCGTAGAGCTTTTGGAAATGGCTCAATTGCTCGAACGCTTTTCGAGCTGTCAATGAACGAACTGATATCCCATCACGCTTGGGAAGGACGCTTGCGCCCCTTGGTTCTGAGTCTTGTCCCATTTTGTTCAGCGTTCGCCTAAACGGAGGAGCGGTTGAGCAGAAAGTAAGATGTCAAGCTACCCCAGTGGATTAACCTCCTCCATCGCGCGTAGGAATCATACAAAGGGTGGAGGCCACGTCACGAAAGGCAATAGACAAAACGAAAAGAGGGGCTTTGTGCCGCACGACGGCAGATAGAAAGGAGTGGGGTAAGCCTGTTCCCACTAAATCCGGGCCTCTGCATCTGTGTGACGCCACCTTGTCCGCAGGGGTGCCCAGAGAGTCCAATGAGATTGCGTAGATCGCAGGCATGCGGAGTACAGTAGTAAGAATGCTATAGTGTAGCGAGAGGTATTATTAGAGAGATCTTACTAATTAACGTACTTTATCATCGAACCCTCCCACGATTTCTTAGCAAGAAAAATTAACAAGAATCTAACGTACTTTATTAGCGAAAGCTCTATATTACTAAAAGCTCTAAAAATACTAAGCTTTTACTAAATACTACTACCTCTATTATAAAGCTCTCTATAAACGTCTAATTAACTTTAGATAAATTCTAGATATAGCTTACGCTTTAGACTATTTAATAGAATCTAGAGCTAAGCTTATAGCACGCTATAGCTCTCTATAATATACTATAGAAGAAAGTCTATAGTTAATATAATAGAATTACTCTATAATATAAAAAGATATCTAATTTAATAAAGCTTATAAAGAATAAAGAGTAGATAATAGTTAAGTATATACTTAACCTAGATGCGTAAGAATTTACTCTCTAGCTTACTACTATTTAAGATATAGCTAATAAGCTACTTACTAAGTAAGAGAAAAAAGGTTATAGGTAAGAACTAGCTAAATAACTTTATTACACGCTATTCTAAGCTTAAAATATAGCTTAATTATAAGTATAACTATTAGAAAGTAAAGTAAGAAAATTCTATAATTATTTAGACGTAGTTTAACCTAGTAGGTAATATAAAGGTAAAGTATAGTATTACTAATAAAAATATATAATATACTTTATAAGTAAAAGCTCTATATAAGTAAAAGCTCTAAAAATACTAAGTCTCTACTAAAAAGCTACTATCTTATTTAGATTTCTCTAACTCTAAGCTACTTAAGATAAATCTAGATAAGCTATCTAACTTATTTATATTATCTTTAACTATCTAGTATATTCGCGTATTATACTCTAGCTTACTATAGCGTCTATAGTATTACTAAGCTAGCTAGCTATTATATACTACTACTTCTTTATACTACTTCTTACTCTTATTCTAATCTATAGCCTTTCTTTAAGTAACTAGCTATAAGCTAGCTTTAATTATAAGAGTATTCTCTTTCTAAATCTACTTTCTTTTACGTAAATTATACTTCTTTTTCTATACGTTAGCTACTTAAAGCTAGGTAACTTTAGACTTTATAAGTACTAGCTAATACGCTATTAGCTTATTATCTTTCTTAAGCTAATTAAGTAACTTAATAATATAAGTTAGTAATAAATTAAGGTACTATATAATCTTTAATTAAATTAGAGTTAATTAGAATCTTACTTTAATAAAATTACTAGATATTTTATACTTCTAAGTAGTAGTATTATTATTAGCGTATATAATTAAACTTTAAGCTTTAATACTACTAAATCTAGGTTAAATAAAACTAAGCTAGCGTCTCTAAATTCTACTCTAATATTATTATCTATAATTAACGCGTAAAAAGCTAACGTACTTTACTACTAAACGCCCTACAATTTCTTGGCAAGGAAAATTAACGAAAATTAACAGGTTTTTCTTAAATAACTAAGCGAAACCTTAATATTTTTTAATAAAAATTTATATATATATTCTCTATAATATATTACACCTTATAGTAAAGTTGCACTAAGATATATTACGTAATTAAAAAGCTATACGTATTTAACTAACTTTTAAGAAAAAATCTAGTTTACTTCTAGTAAGTACTATTATATCTCTATAATAATCTATAAAACTTATAGTATAAAGTAGTTATAACCTAATAAAGGTTTCTAGAAAACTTTTATAAAGCTAGCTCTTCTAGGTATAGCGTAATAAGAGATAGAAGTTTATAAGAAGTCTTTCTAGAGTTTTCTTCTCTAACTATATATATATATTATAAGATTATATATACTATAAGCCTTCTATATATTTAGAAGTAATAATTTTAAAATAGTTTTAGTATCTTTCTATCTTTCTATACTA